TATTAGAAAACATTATTTTCAGTTTTTTTTTCTATTTTTGAATAGAATATCTCATAGGTCACTGTTCAAAACTTGAGCTTCTTTTTTAATATTTAATGTTTTGACGGTATTTATGCGATGAGACTACGATATAATTGTATATCGACATCAAATTTTTTCAATCCCTCAGTATTTACAAATATTTCGATAACATTCTCATATCAATTAAAAACTCATATTTATATTTAATGTAAAATATCATTTAGCAGTAAATATTACTTGTCATTGGTCTGCGCAATTAATTGAAATTTAAGATACGGAATTTTAGATCGGCTGACCTCTAGTGGCGAATGCAGGAGGTAGTGTCGCCACACTTTCATAAGGAATCACCTCGGGTCCGCTTGTACATGTCATTCGGCCGGACCTTTATATTTTTTAGAACCGAAATGAATTCTTTTTCCTTTATTCATGATAAAAATTGTATCTTGCATTCTACCAACTATCGTAACATGCAAGTAAAATATACGTATCTCGAAATCAGATCAGCAGAAAGGTACATCGTTGTAGATGCTTGATGTTTGCCATTTTATTTTCTACAAGAATATGAAAAACGATACAATACAGTTCGATCTTAAAAAAACAACATCGATTAACTTAAAATCTTACAAAAAAAATGAGAAAAAATTTGTTCTGTCGTTATATGTATACCCTTCCCAGATAGCACATGACGCCCAATGACGCCTTGAAAACGGCTTAAAGGCACCTTAGACCTAAAATAGTCGTAAAATGGGCGTCTTCAAGACGTCATGTGCTATCTGGGTTGTAATAATGTAACTTTATCCTACGGAATTTTTTAACACAACCATAGATAAAGATATTTGTGTAAGTCTTCATTCGAAAGCTTCACTGGTTATACAATAATGTATGGGTATGTGTGTGCCGTTGCACACAATACATAAAGACTTTAGATATCTGCGTTTTGTGTTAAATAAATATATCGAAGTTACATTTCTTTTTTTGCATCAAATATTAAGTATAACAATAAGTAATAACGTAATAAATATTAAAGAGATTACACTGGTCAACATGATTTTTGTCGCAAAGAATAATTATACTGATTCTTATAGATTTTTGATTTTTAAAAAAACTGCAAATTTTCAGCTTTGAACATTTCCTGTATTCAAACATTAATAGTTATTCAGTTGATTATTGCGTCAAATTATTCTGTAAACTCTCCCGAATAAAATGATATACGTTGTTATCGCATTATCAACATTTAAACATATTTAAACAACGATCAAAAGGAAAAGGACACCCAAAATGCACTAATTTTTGCAGATATGTTTCAATTTATTTCAAAAAATAAGGGTGCAAGACATAATGTGATTGCGTCAGCAGATACAGTAAACATTTTTCTTCTGGAAAGCATTAACAGAAATGATATGATACGTTTTGTGTTCAATACAAAAGCGAAATAGTTTAGTAAAATCTGCGATGCTGGCGGTGGTACTCAAAGGTGACAGTCGAACGTCTGCGCTTGCCGCCTTTGAGTACCACTGCCAGCGTCATAGGTTTTACAAAACTATTTTGCTCCTGTATTGAACAGAAAACGTGTCTTACCATTTCTGTTAATGCTTTCCGGAAGAAAAATGTTTACTGTATCTGCTGACGCAATCATATTATGTCCTGCACCCTTACTTTTTGAAATAAATTCAAAAATATCTGTAAGAACTAGTGCATTTTGGGTGTCCTTTCCCTATTGATCGTTCTTTAAACATGTTTAAATGTTGATAATGCGATAACAACGTATACCATTTTATTCGAGAAAGTTTACAGAATAATTTGACGCAACAATGAACTGAATAACTATTACTGTTGGAACACAGGAAATGTTCGAAATTGAATATTTGCATTTTTTTTTTAAATCAAATTTCTCGGAAACTGAGGGTGATGGCAAGAAACTGTTTACGGATTCGTATTCAGCACAGAAGAATCTATCAGAATCGGCAACTGAATGTTCGAAGACAAACAAAAAGTTAAATTTTGTTGACCAGTGAATTATTATTCATGTCTATGGAATTCAAGGATCTGCATTATTTGATATGTTTTTAATGTAAAATATATCTCGTCATAATTATTAACACTAATGTACTACTTTGTGGTGTACTTAACACGTTGCTTGATTCTAGGAGACAGCAACTTTTACAATAGACTGCTAGACAATTAAACTTTAAATTATGTATTCATGTCATATAAGTAATTAATTTGAAACAGAGTTGTATGAAAATTACACTGAAATATATGTTATTCGTGTTTCTTTTCTTGGTAATGCAATTATTAAAATATCTTAACGAAAGGTGATCGCTTGAAAATTGTCTCACCAGAGGACAACATAGTATATAAATACATGAGACGCGTATAAAAGTTTGATTGAGGCCACGTTTCGTACATATACATATGTATGTGTACATGTTCATACGGACTCACACGATCTCATTCATACAGCGTGTTCGGCGGTATTCTCAGCTCATAAAAGTGAAAGCGATGCAAACCAAGGAGAAAATATGATCGTGAAACTCGACCAGTAGATAAATTGGGCTTTTTTATATGTGAGTTTGATATGAACTTGTCAACTTTCATCGTTTAGGAACTTGTGAATGATACGAACTTACATTAAAAATTCAGCATTGAAGGTACTGCATACATACATACATATTTTTTTTTATGTAGGTACTACATACATACATACATATTTTTTTTATGTAGGTACTACATACATACATACATATTTATTTATTTATTTACACTCATATTCGTTTAGTCTGGTGTATAGTTTGGAAAGGAACGAATTTAATGACTCACATAGCAAAAAGGAGCTAAAAAGTCTTTAATAATTGTATGGACAGAATTTTTATAGAACTATGATGTTGCTTAGATTTAAATTACGTTCCACCGAAGAATTTTGTAATATTATTGAATAATACAAGAAGGAATATTTTTGTATGAACGTATAATTTTAATTTGTATTACTGAATTAAGCTGAGATGCTACATGTTACATATAGTACATAGTGATATGAAAAATTTGTGATACAATGAAGAAAACAAAGAGCTATCTACAGGTGTAAAATAATTTTTTTCACGTGAGGTCATGGCCTTCAGGGGACATGGTTTGGAAATTGCATAAAATTAACGTGACTTGTGCGAAAAATCGTTTTTATGTTTTTCTGTTTATAAATATCAAGTATGTTACAGCCTCTGTTATTATTGATAATTTTTTTTAAATATATTACGTATTAGAAACTTCAAAATCACATTATTTCCTTTGAAGGAAATTCCAATGTATTACCATTGAAAAATGTAAGCCCTTGCGAAAATATAATAAAAAAACACTGGAACACATCAAACCTGGTTCTCCAAGTCTTCATGGTCTAAACAATTTATATGTAGTGTAAAAGGATAAAAAATGAATTTCTTAGAAAAGGACCAGCAATACAAGAGTAATTACGAATTTCAAATATGTCTTATAACATCGAGTCAGACTCGTGGTAACGATATCAAAATAGATTCGACAAACAGAAATATTATTCGTTTTCTTTGAGTCAAAATGAAATACTAGTTTGCTGATATTAATATTTAACTTTTAAAGAAACTGTAAAATTGCGATAAGTACACAAATTCCTTTTGTTTCTGGGGAATTATTGATGATAAGTCTGGGGACTGCAGTGGAGACTATTTTAAATGCAGTTTAAATTCCATATCTAGACATCGGACTCGTATCGTCTGATTGGATTTCACTCTATTAAATGCAATACGAATAGTATTTATGATGATGTGTTATTATTTGTAAATATTCTACCATAGACAAAAATGTTTCTAAAATATGTATACGCTGCTATTTATTACAGTATATTATAATACCCGGATCCGTTCCCGGAAATGTTTAAATTTAGAGTTTATAAAAATGCAAGGAAAAGGACCAAGAATACAATATAATTAATATTCCTTCCAGTTTTTATTTAAGAGTCACAGCTTTAGATAAAATTAATGTGAGTAACTAGAGTATTGTGTTCACAGTATTGCTTTAGATTATTCCTATGTCTTGACTTTCTTATTACAGCATGAAATAACAAATTTATAATATATATTATATTACACTTACGTTAGATGACGTTGACTCAGTATATGAGTTATCGGTCTTATGCATAAATTCAGATAATGCGTTTGCTGCGATGTTTTATAAAACTATACATTTTATATTAGTTTTTACAAATTTTCGTAAATGAATTGTGAAAGTTTTATATAGTATACATGTGGTGTCTACTACGGGTCACGAGTGACCCGGTAATCGGTTTCCACGGTCAGTGATGCTAATGTTAAAAGCATGCATGAATATGTATAAGTTTCTTTGTGGTGTCTTTAAATATAGAGTGATCATCTGTAATGGTAGGTGGGCGCGGTTTGCTCGTCAAGAAAAACGGTACGAGCTCCTTAAAGAGGTAGGGATCCGCCTGTGAAAGAAAGAGTTGAGATCTATAGAATGGTTGACGATACTCTGAAAACACAAAGCATCCATCGGGTCTCAGTTCCCGCATCGCGTCGTTTGTGTTCGCTTCGCTGATAGTCCCGCGTGCTGGTGATACACTGTGGTGCTCTTGTCGTCCCCTTTCTTTCCGATTTCTTACCCAGTCAGCATCTTGCCTTATGTCAAACTGAATAATGTATATAAATATTTACTAGCGTCATTTGCAGAGAATAAAAAATATTTGCGCAGTCTTATTTTAAATTTAAACTCCTTTATAACTGATATATTAAAAGGCTATGTATTTGATAAATGGATATTTTGATTCGAAATAATGTTAATTATATTAATTTGAATTATACACAGTCAATTTTTCAACAGATGGCAATATATGTTTTATTTCTACCGCATGATACCGATTAGAACAGTAGCAAAGAAAAAAAAAAGAAAGAAGGATGCTGATACAATTCTAAGATACTTAAATAGAAACTGTAACAACTATGCTTCTGTGGGGTCTGGTTGGCGTACATTTTTTTACGGTAGGCTGTGTTCATAATCTTCTGCGTCGATTTGTTTAATAGTTTTTAGTATTTCATAAACTTTAGCATTTAGTACAATTGAATAAATTGATAAAGCGGAACTATTTATTTCATATCTTACTGAAGAAACTACACAATTCTAATCAAGATTTATCGAGATATATAATTGTAAAAAGTAACAAATAATGTTCTATCTGTAGATAATAACAATGTAAAAAATAGATTACTAGAATATTCAATTTTATACAACTAACATAAATCTTCGATATGTATTTATTAAATTTTCATTAGAGCCTCAAGTTAAAAAGTTGTAAAAAACGACCTTTACTATTTTCTTCGTGATTCCAACCAATTGCAACTTCTTCAATTTTTTTTTACACATCATTTAGTAAACTAATGTTTTTAACTTCACAAAATAACTCAAGTCATTTGGACCAATTTTAAAAAAGTTGTTCCCCGTTTTAAAGGGTGTACGAATAATTTTGACACCGACTGTATGCACAATCGGGTATCCGAAGGGTAATTTTTGTTTACTCGGGTATCTTACGGGTACTCGGATACTTGAGTATCGCATAAAGTAACAGTTCTAGTATACAGGGTGTTATTTTTAACTTGAGCCCCTAAATTATTTCCTCTACTATTGAAAGTAAGAAAAAATGACTAAATAGGATGTACATGGTTTCAAGGCGTGCATCTGATGGTGATAAAATGTTTTTTAATTCTTATAACGTTTATTCACTTCTGCATTCTTCAAATTGAAGCTGATTTCTTCGCCTTCAAGGTCACTCCAAGGTCATGGTGTGTAGGTCATTGAACTGATCTTGACGCCGCCTACCACATCGGGTTATAAAAAATACATGTTAACATGCAAAAAAATACGATGCCCTTGAAAAAATCGTTAAAATGACCTTCACAGGATTTTTTTTATCTACATCAGATGCACACCTTAAAACCATGTACATACATCCTATTTAGTCATTTTTACTTTCAATAGCAGCGGAAATAATTTAGGTGCTCGAGTTAAAATTAACACCCTGTATATAGGTATACTCATTGGCAGTTCATATTTGAAAAGAGGTCAGTTCTGGTGCTCGTATGGCGTGAAGAACGAGTGAAAGAATTGTAAGAGTATTCTCTTCTCGCTATTTAAATTCAGCTCCAGTTGAGGAGTCTTATTGTCTCTTTTAAAACAAGTCACTTGTTCTTCTTTTTACACCATAAGAATTCACAATGCAGCCTATGAAAACAAACATATACGCGGACGGATGAGTAATACCTTATTGGAACATATGATATAATGTCTCTTGCAATACAAAAAATATAGCCCAGTACATAACAAATTGTAAATTTGTTGTACAACAAAGTTCCTGAAAAGGGTATTATAGTACATATGATCATGTTTTATTTGCAGTACGAAATGCATTTGAATCAGCTTACAAAATGACGTTAAGAAGCATATTTAAAAGTTAGAATTTCCTGAATAGGGGAAAATAGGGTAAAATGGTATACCTAATATATTTTTTTGCTAATAAAAATTGCGAGGGCTAAAAAAACGTTAAACTCCACTGCGAGTTTGAAGTTAACCTTGAATTATCAGAAAGTGGAACTCTGTATTTAAGCAAAATATTTGACTACAAGGGAAATAAGATTTTCCAAAAGTGTCGGAATACCCCATTTTGCTCTGTGGATGGACCAAAATTAGGTGCCCATTTAGAGTCATGTAAAATTTAATATAATTACAAAATCTTTATTAACATAAGTTTAATCTCTTATTTTAACATAATCTAACAACAAAGATCACAAATAAATATATCAATAAATATACCTAGAAACTCGAAGGGATCAATATGCATTACACATTCGGTTCATAGAATTTCTTGTCCATAAAGAAATGCTTACTGAACTATTTCATATAAATCAATTATGAACAGCATATTCAGCGTATAAAACGTATATTATATCCTAGAAAGGTTTAATATAATTAAAAAAAAGTTTTGCTTCATTGTTATACTATATGTATAATCACCCTGTGGCCAGTCGTATTACCCGCCCTAATACATCCTGTACATTATAAATTGAAGGATGTACATATATGTACTGTGTACTTATTATGTATAAGAACTATATACCTTGTATCTGTAACGATGAAACATTTATCGTAGCAGAACGTTATACTGAAATTTTCTTGAGTGAAACATAAATAATTAATGCAACGTGTCATGCATATAAATTCGATATAGTGAAGGACGCGATTCCATATAGGAACTGAACCAGTGCCAATGAATATCAAGTACATTGAGCATTAACATTTTTACTATGACACATATCCGATCGGATAATTACTAGTAGATGTGTTGATTCGTCCAACAATTACGTGACAATAATATTGTTCACATTTTTAACAGACAAAGAACAAATATATTTCATTGTATATGTATTAACATTACTATATGTATATTGAATCTATGTAGTTTTAATAAGATTCCTTTATTACAAGAAATGTAATAATAGTAAACTATAAAGAACAATACATACCTTCTATTTACAACAAAACAGTTTATTTTTATTTTAGATTTCAGTATCATGTTTAAATGCGGGAAATGCTGATAACAGCGGCTGGAGTTTCATTCCAAATACACAATACCATATTCAGACGGATGAAGGTCCTGAAAGACATTTTCGTTTTCAAACGTTAAATGGACAATATAGAAAGGAGAAAAGGTTAGTTGATGGGACAGTAATTGGTACAGAAGGCTGGTTAGATCCTCTGGGATACTTACGGCTTAAAGATTACGTCGCTGATAGCAAAGGATTTCGTATATTAAGGTAAAGAAATATGTTATATTTGTATATTAATTTTTCATTTATTTACATTCATGTTAACGATTCCGGACATAATGCAAATGTTTTAAATTAAATGTTATTTTGATTGTACATATTTCTGTGATACTTACGTTATATTTTATTATATTTCTAAGGGATCTTAGGAAATGATAATCAATAATTGATAAGCAGTAAAAATTCTATACCTTTAGAAAGTACGACTTTTTTTAACGATTTGCAAGATAGATAATTTAACTTACTAATTACTTATATATTGTCATTAGATCAAAAATGATATACGTGGGTAAAGGCAAACCTATTTACGATACTATTGTGGAAACGAAAGGAGTACCTCCTCAAACCGGGATTCTTGTGGATTCAACCCGACCGCCCAATCCTTTCAGGTATTGTATTAAATTAGATTAATATTCTAACTGAATGAAATATTTTGCAAAAATACGTTCATATTATTGCAATGTAAATCGTTGTAACACTAAATAAGTTGTTCAGTTTGTTCTCCTTGTACAAAAATACTTTCAATTAACTTTAATTATATGTGCAATCAAATATTCATTAGTTTACAAATACATTTTTCTTCATGTATTATTACAAATGTATACTAATTATGGAAAATCCATTCTGTTTCAGGCATTGGAAAACAAACAATGTTGCTCCATTACTTGAAAATGATATTAATTCTGGCTTTTATGTCACTAGTACAGTCAGACCTCGAATAGATGTTTCTCCTGTATCTGCTTCAAACGAAGCTTATTATAATACGGATCAAGCAAGTTTTTCTTCCGGATTACAAAATGTGAAAAATTATCCACAGCTTCGAAATACTTACTACAATCTTTATCAACGATCCGATAGTAGGGACAATGCACGCTACAAAGACCTAAAGAACACATTCGAATTAGAAACACCTACTTCCCGAAGCAAAGCTGACAAATATCCTCCATACGATGGAACACATAGTACTTCCGACGGATTTCAGTATTATCTACGACGACAGTATCACGAGGAAGAACGAGACTCAACTGGAAGTAATGTTGGTTCTTTCGGTTATATAGATCCATTTGGCATTAGAAGAGTAATTTATTACAAAACAGATTCAAATAGCGGGAATTTTCATCATCTGAAGAATAATAAGTACGTAGGTTTTGCTGGAACACCGTATGATCCTTCGCCAATGCCACCATTGAGGCAGAATAAATAATATCTAAAGTATTAATGTTGACAATCGAATTTGTTAGTAACAAGTAATATGATGAATATTAGTGCCACCATTGAGGCAGAATAAATAATATCTAAAGTATTAAGGTTGACAATCGGATTTGTTAGTAACAAGTAATATGATGAATATAATGAAGAAATTTATAAGACTTTTTTAATTGTTAACTTTAGGTGCCATATTAAGCTACTTTATTATATTTAATACTTCACAAGTATTTAAAGTTTCGAAAATATAGTGAAAATACGTGAAATATCCTGAATCAAGAGTATTAGTTATTTTATATGAATAACTCACAATTTAGTTTCATCAAGGTTAGTTAAAACGCAGTTATATGTAGGTAGCTACCAAAATAATACAGGGAAATTAGGTAATTTTATTACATTTGTTTATACAATGTACTTACATTTCACATTCGAATACCAGTAAGACTACGATATTAAAAAAATTAAGCAATGTGTCTTTTTTTCTAACGATCACGATATAACCTACAACGTACTCTATAATACACACTTTTACAAGTACCAGCCCTATTATAGCATTTATACATTTATAGCACATATGAACAAACAAAACACATGAAAATAACAACATTAATAATATTACATAAGGTTTTCATTTTATTCCTAGCCGATTAAAGCTTTTAATAAATGAACAAGTGCTTATAAACAATATAAACCATCATATAAGAATGTGAATTTACGTACCAACAGCTTCAGTTTAATAATACAGGGTGAGACTCGTAATACGACGATTTCAAATAACTCGTAAGTTATTTGTTGTACGAACAAATTTTTCAAACAAATGTTGCATGCTTTCCTGGTGGGCATACAATGTTCTAATCTTTTTTTTATTAATTTGCTTTTTTATCGAGATATGAGGGTCATCTTCAGTTTTTTAAATGGAATGCCTAATTATTTCTTATCGAATTCGGATAAAGCACGTATAACTTGAATGTTTATTGTAACATCATACAAAATGCATAAAATAATATTTATATTTGCAAGAATGAAAAATATATGTGTATAAAGTTTCTATGGAGTAGCAGTGAAAAAGTGTCAAATATAAATTTTTGGGACTTAGTTTACTAGCTTACAGAATCTGGAGTCAAACTAGGATCTGCTTACTTTATTTACTGTTCTACCAGGTACCAAAGAAAATAAAAATTTATTTAAAATTTATCAAACACTTATGTATAGTGAATTCTAGAGCATATCGTGTGTGCTATAAATGCATAAAATCCGCAGTCTAATCATGACTAATTGTAAGACTTATTATAGTTTGCTATTGCAGCCTACCGTACACATATTATTAGCGCAACACTGCAGTGTTATCATAACAACAGAATGAAAAAATTTAGTTTTGTCTCAGTGAAGTATTTATTTTATTCATAAATAAGTGAATATGTTTTACAGAGAGTGGGGCTCAGGAACGGTAAACTATGAAACGAAAATAACCCAAAAAGAAAAATATTAATTTTAGACTTTCTTTCGACCACCTCTGTACGTCGGATGTGTATAGGTAGAGCTTAATTTTTCGTCCTCCTCACTTTCGGTGTTTTCGATCGTAATTGTCTCGTCGATCTACTTGCTGGTTTAAGGGTTGTTGTTGGAGCTTTTGTGCGGCTTCTCGTGCGTCTGCCTCCTGAAAACAGTTTATTCGATTATTAGGAAATTTATATATTCAGTCGTACCTGGAATTGAGAATGTAAACGTTCAAATAGATGTCTGGTTTATTTTTTCAGTCTCTCAACATGTTACCTAGGGACATCTATAGTTTGTATGTTTTCGAGGAAAACGCTGTGCATAACGACTTGCCCACTTAAATGCGCAGTTCCTACATTTTTGGTCGAACAGTTCGTTAGAATTAAACTATATTGGTACACTCTAAAGAAGAATATTCATCGAGTCGATATATTCTTAGCCTTTAAAAAATGTTTTATATATTAAATTTTATTGAATCCTCTCCAGACTTCTACTGTAACCCTTTTCAGATCGATCAGTTCCTGGAAATTAGGCTCTCTACACTGCCCCGAAATGATCAGTTATTGAGCAGTTACTGTAATCAAATTTGAATTTGAATTGAATATTCGTGTTCACAATAAGTAGAAAAGGCAAGAAATAGTCGGACACATTACCCGAATCTTATCCGTCATTCGTCTCGAAAACAAAGCCCTATCGTCATATATGTATTATTTTATAATATGTGCAAAAATGTTCTTTTAGACATCCGACTTATTTTGTTACAAAGAGTCTTACCTATCCGGTTATAACTCTAGGTTATCCCCCCCTCACATATTTTTGTCTTTGATTAGTGCACTCATAGAAAAACTATTTTCGGCTGTCATATTTTGAAAAACCAGAAAGTTATCTTAGCATAACATTTTGTTTTCCTTAAATCAACCTATTTAATATTCATTTGATATAAACATAAACCAAACTTTCATTATGTTATATACCTGAATGCAAGCGCCCAGATAGCACATGGCGCCTAATGACGCCTTGAAGACGGCTTAAAGGCGCCTTAGACGTAAAATAGTCGTAAAATGGACGTCTCCAAGGCATCGTATGCTATCTGGGCGGTTAGCGGATTACAGGTATCATTCTTAAAAATTTGTCGTAAAATATTGTTAAAAAAGATACTCGTCAAAAAATTCAGGTATCGGTCTATTTAGGCGCAGTTCAGGATCAGGATCGTGTGTTAAAATTGCTCGACTTAGAATGAATAAAAGCATGGAAGAGAAAGACACGAGTTTCTAAAGGCGGAAAAAGGAAAGAGGTAAAGATCGGATAGTTGAAAGAGGAACAAGGAAAAAAGAGGAAAGAGCTCGTAGGTAAAAGGAACATCAGTGGGAGAAAGTAAAAGTCCCGGAGTGGGAAAAAGATAACCCATAGGTCGTACCTCTTGCTGACGAATGCCTGCAAAGATGAGGTCGAGGCCTTTCTGAATCTCCTCACTGACTGGCGGTGGCGTGGGAATATGATCACCGGTTGCGTGAAAGCCAGTCTCGTCAGCTGTGTAGTGAATAGTGATTAGCGTCCCTTCGGGACTCATATATGAGTAGCTTCCTTGTTGGACCAATGCCTCTCCTTGTTCGTCGCCTTCGCCTACCTTCTTGATGTAACCACTCTCTTCAGCGATGATGCTATTTCCCGTTTCATAACTGCGAATAATTTATGCACTTCAAATTTGGAATCGTCTTTGTGTGAGTAAAAACATGCTATTCTCGTCCGATTATTTTCGAGGAAGATATAGGCATTTTTGTCTAATGTAAGGAAAATAATGGTTTGCGTTCGTCTTCAAGTTTTAAATCCATAACCGATTCTAGAGATTGAGCGAAATCTTTCCAAAAAGAAATATCGGTACAGACTCCTCTCGAGTATTGTCTCGAACTCGGGGCCGCGCCAGGACAATAATCTTATAGGGGGAAATGCTTTAGACCCTCGTAAATTCGTTTTCTGTCCGAAGCTGGCACAAAGCGGAGGGCCAACAAAGCATGCGCTTGACAGATTCCACGGCCTCCTTCCCGCCAGTGGTGGGGATAAGACAATAATCCTGTAGCAGAAGCCAGACAATAATCGAGAGGAGTGTGTAACACCATTGCTACTACACTATAATTCAACTAACACAACGACTACTTTTTATTTATTAAAAATATCTAAACTATCTATAATTAAAAAATTATCTAAACATTTGATGTTTGATTCAGAGAATGCTAGCTCGAGAAGTCATAAACAAATACCTAAAATAAACGTTTGTCTTTTATTTAAAGAATAAATTATTACTAACATCAATCAGAACTTATGCAGCGTGTACATAATATTATGTTTTGCGACCTGCTTGTTCACATATTCATAATTTAGCTGTACTCATCGCCTGTATAATAGTGCATAAAATTTTAGAGATCAATGCTTCAATAATATTGCATTGGCAATAAGACGTAAGATCCAGTTTTTAGATTGAGTATCGTACGCAACTATGCAAATGTCATGCAACTACTTACGGAAGATACAACCAAAGTGTGTCGATTGTAAAGTAAGTATTATGCATATAACGTAAACATATTGATACATTAAAGAAAAAACAATATTTGCAAAATAAAGTTATGAGCAGTTACGATATTTTATGAAAAAAGCATTGCCATTAAGTATTGTTACCTTCTTTACATTTTTCGCTTTTTGCATTATGTAAAAGTATAGAGTAATGTTATTTTATAATTAATATTAAATTCAACGAAATGTGTAGAATTTAATGCAATTAATTGCTATTGAATAAAGTTTGATATAACTTATATCAATCGCCGAGATTTGACGCCTTACAGACGTCTATTTTACGGCTATTTTAGGTCTAAGTCGTCTTTAAGCCGTCTTCAAGGCGTCATGTGCTGTCTGGGTCAAGTGTATACAAACCGACTATTAAATAGAATAAACTCTCAATTAGACTCTCAAATATAATAACCCGTCGTGTCAGATGTATTTTACGCATAATACAGAATTTCAATGCTTTATATTTGAAGAAAAACTCCTTCATTATATTATAAGTAAATCAGTGTTGTTTTTAATGCTAAATGCAAATAAAGCATCATTACTTGTTTTTTAATGTGTGTTTCCCTGTTTGATAACGGCTAGACTGAATGTGTAAAACTTGTTATATTATATGCTTTGCATAGATGTATTAATTGATAATTCCTTTGGTCACAATAAAATCTTAAACAAATCTTCTTCCTGTGGTGAAGCAATTCTCACGAGAGATACTTCTTTTAGTCCGTACCTATTTTGTGTAATGAACACATTATAAACGCGATACTAAAAAGAATTAGAATAATAAATATTGCTTGGTGTTTATAATTGCACTTTTGATAAACCGTGATGTCGCGATGTAGTGAACTATTTTTACTCAAAATAATCTTATAAATTCGATGAGTATCAAAGGATAAAGAACAAAAATAAGGCACTAAAAGTGTAATGCAATTAAATATGCAATGCTTCACGGCTAAATTAACTTTCTCAACGTCAGAATTGCATGCAATAACATCCAACTATAATATTAAGAGACTATAATTAATAATTAATACCTCGTTTTGTACGTTCCATCGTGTTCTTGCTGCTTATTCCAATGTAATATTGGAACGGGTGTTGTGCTATGAGGTTTTCTTTCTTCAACTGGGGAATTTTGCCTATCGTTATCGTGATAGGAGCTACGAGCGTTGTAATTTGAATCTTGAGCTGCTGCCAACCCCAAAATTATGGATATCACCTAATGTAATAAAACATTACATCAAACAAAACGTCGTAATGATGTGTGAAATTTATAAATGTAATAATGACTCAATATTGCATGTGTTGTCAATATCTTGTAACTGAATGTGTCATAATTGTATAATGTCGTATAACTGAATCACGGAGATGCTTTGTAATGAAACTAAATTTTAGTAGGGCGGACGACTGAACAACGGTATTTCCATTGTAGCATCCTTCCATGGAGAGGTAGCAAGATGAGTGAAAGTGAGAAGTAAATGCCAACGCAGGTCATTTACTCTTGACCTGCGAGGAGTCTCCGAATTCGTTAATTTAGTTTGTCTCTCTTTCACTTCAGATCACCTAACTGTATGTTATAATAATTACGCAAAATCTAATTAACGATCTACTGATCTGCTGAACGATCTTACTAATCAACATACATTTCAAAAATCAGTTCATTTGCAGAAATAAAAATAGTAATAAATTTCAAGATCTAAACTAATGAGTTATTCAAGAACAATTAATTGTAATCATTGTAGTATTGTATAAAATAATATTACGATCATTATTGCCGAAAAAGAATATGTAATAGGATTATATAGGTACATTACCGCTAATAAGTATTTGCCCCCTCATTGGGGAAAGACACTTTCAATGAATGATCATGACCTTTGCTAGTTTTATGTCGCTTATTATAAAAAATAGTTCTTTTGAAAAGGAAAACCCTTTTTACTAAAGTGAAACAAACGTAGGTGGAAAAATATTAATAAGCCTTACCTAGTGTATGTAAGTCAGTATCACAGTGAATCTACGCTATGGATATCTATATTTATAAATTGTTTTAAAAAAACTACTTCAGTCATAATCACGTTGTTAATAATTTATGAAAATAAAATTTTCGAATATATAATAACATAATAAACAGTATTCGTTAAAGCGTGACGTGACAAATCTGATTGAGGTTCGGTTAAATCGATACATGGTTCCATAAATGTAGTATGAAACTTTCAGCATTATAATTCATATATTGTGTTAAATGCTTTGATACCCCTCAAAAGCTTGCCAGTACGAACTGTATGTGTTACAAATGTATGCAAACCAATTTCTGTGAATTATTCAGACAGTTTTCATTGTTTGAATAGAAGAATGAATGGAATAGTATGCACTGTTACATGAAAAGTAAAATATTAAGAAGTTCTGTTTACACCAATGTCATATACAATTGTCGCGGTACGATATAATGATATAAAAATATGATGTCGTATCACTATATTTATTCCTTAGAAAAGTAATTGAAATTGTTACATCGTAGATTATAATCATTACATCAAAAAACATCATAATAAATAAACATTAGCGTTATTATTTGTTCGCAGCAATGGAACATATAAATAAACAAAATGTAATTTTAAATAAATTCAGAATGTTTCATTACAATTATCATTACGATTTTTATGAAAAATTCTGTTATTGAATAAATTATTTTCCCTTTGTAATAGTAGAGGAAACTAATACATGTATTCGTATATATTGTATAATGCTTACTACATGAATGTAGATATACACAAACATAAGCGAAAATAAATGTCACACAGCCATATAGTAAACAGGGCTGAATATATTTACATAATGATTACTTACGATGCTCTTCATCTTCGAAGAAGGAACTGTTGCACAAAAACGAGACGCAGATTGGGTCCAACCGATTGTAACTCCACTAAAGTAAAGAATTCACCTTTTATACCAACTCTCACTTTATCCCCACTCGGATAGAGATGAGCGACTCAAGACGCGTTGCTATATATGCACGTATACTCGATGATATAATAATCATTGAATGCCCTAACATAGGCGATTGTATCAAATATGGATGATATATAATTGACCATATCTCTTTCCTAGTTACCATTACGAAAAGAAATATTTAAAAAAAAGATTCAATGGTTTAAACAAGATTTCCTTTCTACAGACCAGATGTTTGTGAAATACTCAATTACACAATTTTTTTTAACACAAACATATATATGTTATTTGTAAACAAATCAATTCCTCCGGTTGTTCTGCATAAAAAGATGTTAAGGTATGATGATCGAAAAACGAATAATACATATTTTAAATAAATGTTTTCATTAAAGTAAATGCTCACACGCTTTCTACTTATATTTTAAACACTTCACTCATTGCTTCTTGTTCTCATGATCGAAACAGTGATCAGTAAATATAAAGTCTAAGTATAATTAATTGGGTCTAAGTATAATTATAAGTCTCTGTAAAATTAATTGGGCCTGAAGATATCTTATTTTTTAGATAAGTCGATAGACAAAAAATCAAAAAGACTCAGGCCGAACTAGCATGATGGTCAAAATGTCTGGCTGACATGGAACATCATTCAAGCGTAACACGCCGATTTTGATGAAATTTGGTACAGGGATAATACATTGAAAAATATTTGACACGTCTGACTGCTGATATTCACACCGAGAGCATGAAAGCAACCCTCAAATTGGGGGATGAAAGACACATTCTCCTAAATATGTCGCAAATTAACCGACTATGGAAAAATATTTATTAACAAAAATTGTTTGTTCCATATGATTAAAGATAACTACGTACCAAACCAATTTTTTCAAAATACCAATTTGTTTAAAAAATATATTAGGACCTATGGACCAATATAATAAATACGGATACTTCGAAATCTTTACTTTACAATTTCTAATAAAAAGGGGATTACTATAGTAAAACCGCTAGATGCGCGAGACTGAAACCACAGGAACTTTTAATGTACAAAAACTTCCACCACAAATAGAAAAATCCACTAACGGACAGACCTCTACAAGCAGGTATAGAGGATGTAGCACATAACTAGAATCACTTCGATTACTGCGTAAGTAACGATTTTAGTGAAAAATGTTTTAGATAAAAGTTGAATAGTTCCAAAGGGAATATAAATTGACGTGTTTAGTTTTTTTGTAAGTGGATGCGTAGAAGACATACAGGGTGGATCGCTCGCTGCTAGGGTCAAGAAGCAAGCCTCCTGTTTGGTCGTTTAAGTGGGGAGACTACCGAAGAATACTTGGTGCGAGATATTAGTATTTCTTAACAATTTGTATCTTAATAAATTGCTCCCAATTTGCTCCCTCGGAATCTAAAATTGCCCCCATCGCAAATATTATATTTAATGAGATATTCACAAATTAAAAATCAGAAATTTGTTATCTGCAAAATAGATAGTAAATGGTCTTTTATATAAAAATATTGTGGTACATTTGTATGTAATGTCAGAAGTAATTTTTCCGATTATGGGGTTAAACTTCGAATGTAATTCGTTACAAAGAAAAATTATGGCCGTTCAACGGTGTAATGCGATCCAAACCTGTTGTAATTAGGGTTGCCGCTTCGTAAGGGGTCAACGTTAATACAGGCGTAAATAATGTTACTTATTCTGGGATTCTGCAGTATTGGGTCCATGCATTAAGTCGTCAGAAATAATTTGAGACTAACGACGGTTATTTTGATAGCTTAATTACTGAGATATTGGCATTTTTCTATCACGAGGAATTTTCACTCACCAGTCGGTATGATTTGACTAGCAGTTTGAGCGAATTGCCACGGGTGGCACCACCAGGCTAAAAAATAGTGGTACATATTCCGCGATTAAATGCGATTTTAACAGTGTTCTGGTCGTTTATTGTTATTGTCACTGAAAGGGGATTAATCTACGTTCTTTCAACTACAAATCAAGTGCTTTGTCAAGACAGAGGCTGTCAGCATAACGTTGTAAGAGTTGTCCAAAGTGAACTAAACGGGGGACGCATGACGGGATACAGAGTAAACCGTTGAAAACAATTATGATTTTACCCATGTTCTTGTAATTACTTGTTCCCAGATGCTAGAGTGTACTGGTCTACGTTCTTTAAGCTTCGAATGTAATTCGTTACGAAGAAAAATAATGCCTGTTTATACATATATATATATATATGTATAGCTACCTTCGCCTTTAAAGTCCGCTGTAACATAGAACATGCTGTTACGAAATAAATGCAAAGTTCGCAGCCATTAGCTCAATATTATCTTCGTTTTACAATACTTTACCGAAGACAATACCGATTGCCCGGGCCTCACCACGAGGAGGTTGCTGCGAGTGGAGGCCCAAGGCAGGTAGATGGAATCACAAGTTCTGCATCTATCCACCTTTCACAATAAACCTTATAAATAACTTAAATCTTAATTATCTAATACGATCGGTACTAACATCCCTCGGCGGATGACTTCTTTCTTGAGCCTAAACCTATAAAAAACTAAATTCCCTCGTCGGATGTCTTCGTTCTTCAGCTTAGATTTACTATCTTAACCCTTTCAGACCTGGTGGTCACATTTGTGTAGATGAACTTTCTTACAAAATTTGTTTTTCTTCAAAAAAAAACTATCTAAACAGCCTACTGAGTTAAAATGTGTAATCAAATATTTTTGTTACTCTTAAAAGAAAATTCAGATCTGAAAGGGTTAATACTCCAATAGTGGAGTCCATATTAATCTTAATATATACCGGTATACTATTGAATATAATCTTAATACTCTTAATGCTATTGGTACAAAACAACTTGTACGAAACGCTAATATACCGAGTATTTATTCGAAAGATAAAGGGAGGGTATATATACTACGTATACCTACTCTCAGAAGGTGAGTACGTATATTCAGAGAGATCGTTGTCTCAGTATGAAAAAGGATGGACTCGACTGTCGCGTTCACGTGTCTGTTTCCTTTCTCCCAGCCCCCCGTTGCAGGGATTCCAGCCGCACGTCGTTGTCATCTCCGTTCGGGAAGATCCGGCACATTTAAACCACGGGTCGAACCGTTTTACGGGCCCGGTGTATAAATGTACCTTTAGCCCGACGTGCTTCCACAGGAACACCACACTAGGCCGACGTCATACCCGGCGCACACGATCGAATACGAAACGTTGGTCTTTCGCAACTGTGACACTGTAACAAAATGGACGAATCGGAATCGCGCAGCGTCATCGGTGTAAAATCCCAACGCAATGTACCGATCCTGTACACCGGATATTCCGACTGCCGCATGGAATCGACACGGTAATACGGATCAGCGTGCAGCGTGGGTATGACGCGGGAGGGCAATACAGTTAGGGAATCCAGTCAATTTGCACTAATGCGCAAACACGACGGCCGATTCACCTGCCTGTATCGCAAGGTGACCGGACCGAACAAAACTACAGCGAGAAAAATTGAAGCTAAGTGATTGAATAGTTACTCGGGATATGTTAGAATTAGTGATCGGCACCATCGACTAAAACTATCGACTTAGTCGATAGTAACCAACGACTACTTTCAGTCGACTAATTTTTTCAATCGTCGACTACTTTAGTCGCTTGAAGCGATTACTTTCAGGCGACTAATATTAGTCGCTTGAAGCGACTACTTTAGTCGATTAAATTTAGTCGCTTCAAGCGACTCGCTCGAACTTTCGAGCTATTGATCGTTATTGACTGGATCTTGATTATTTTCTTCGCGATGCAAACCAATTGCAATTGTGCCATATATTTTTTTATGCATTACCAAGAACTGTGAAAATTATTGCTTATAACCTAATTGATTTTCAGAAAAAATTTAGAGCAGTTAATGTTTCAAGTGCCAATATTAAATACCTTACAAAAAATCGAATATTAGTAATTGTTTAAAAAAACTTGGTTACCACTTATATTTTTGAAATTCTATCTATGAACTAATACATTTCTAAAAGGTAAATACACCAATGGTGCTGAAAAGTTGACGACATAATCTATACATAACCTACAAAGCAAAATTTCAGTCGGCTAAAAACTATCGACTAAATAGTCGATAGTATGTTGCGACTAAATAGTCATTAGTCGATAGTTTAATTTAGTCGATGTTGCCCATCACTAGTTAGAATATCTTAAACTGAAACGAAAGAGATAGATGGAATGAAAAAAGTTCCATCGATCATTTTGTTTATGCACTTAATATTCTATGTACCAAGCAGTTATTAAGTTTATGACGAACTATGTTAAACTACATTATTTATTATTGGTCTTCAAATGAAGATTTCTGAAACAAACCCTGAAAGATTAGAACAAGACATTATTATTGGTCTGCATATGAAGATTTCTGAAAGAAACTCTGTAAGATTAGAACAAGATATTATTATTAGGTGTGGGTACTTCAGTTTAAAGTTTGAATCTGCGATGATTCCTGAAACAGAAGGTCAAAGAAATTTGATAATACGGCGATCCCTGAAACAGAAGTTCAAAGGATCACAACAAAACATGTTAATGGACATTTCATTATGCATAAATTTCAATAATAATTGCAATAACAATTTCAATAACATGTAATAAGCATAAAAGTTTATCGATATATTTTTATACATATTTTGGTCCTATAATAGATATTCAAAGTATATATCACAATAAAACATGGTGACGGACATTTCATTTTGCATAAATTTCAATAAGAATTTCAATAACAACATATACATAATAAGAATACATAATATAATAACATGGTTTTGTAGACATTTTATTTCGGTCGAGTTGAAATTTAATCCCACGACGATACCTAATCTGAAACAGAAAACTCAATATATTATCTTCTCATGTTGACAAACTTGTGTTCATTGTAGGAATTTATGTAGATAATCTGAAACAAACTAATTCAGTGAGTAAGAAGCTGAAAAGGAAACGGGTTAGTACACACAAAATATTAAGGTTACCAGTGTTTTTTATCGAAAAAAATGAATTTACTAAAACGGCAGACTCGACTATTAAGCAAATGAATTTAAGCAAAAAATGAATTATGTCTCTGTGCAAAGACGAAACAAGAATAGATTTTATCGCGACTAAGTAGACTCGACTATTAAGCAAATGAATTTTAAGCAAAAAATGAATTATGTCTCTGTGCAAAGACGAAACAAGAATAGATTTTATCGCGACTCTATTAGTTTATTTGTGGTATGCAATAATTAATATTTAACATAATGAAACCATTTAAATCGAAATAATCGTATTTTACTGTATCGAAATTGAAATTATACTCGTATAGAGATAACAATAACAAATTAACGGCGATTCTACTTGAAAAATTGCTATCAATATGAAGTATCGAATTTGCATTTGCATATTTTTTTCAGTTGCAAGCTTTTCATTAATTATCAAGTTTAGCAATAATCGCGAAGAAACTTCGATTTTTGCAGAGAGATTCAAAAAATTTACAAAAATGTACACTATTTTGATATCAATATTGTATGCAAGTAACGTATTACGATTGAATAGTTAATCTACTAACACCTCTAACAACAAATAGTCATGCCTACTTCAAAAGACTCTAATTAAACTTTAATCTCAAATTGACTTTAATTTTCATTATTCTTGTGTCAAATGTCAGTAATTACTAATCTTCAATTTAATATACATATAATCTTCAATGTGTATGTAGCAAATATTAATGGTTCAAGAAATTACAAAAGAATGATTCTGTCATTATAACAAAAATTGAACACTTCTTTTAGCAAAATAAATATGTTTTTCAGCAATATTTCCAACGCAAACACTTGGCAAATGATACAGAAACAGAAAAATAGCAGCCACAATAAGGCGCTGAATCTGTCCACTCTTTACATTTCATTTCATCAAAAGGAAAACCCGTGAGTGGATAATTATATTTCTTTACGCAACACTAAATAATTGAATATATTATGAAAAAAACTCGCGAGAGCAGCCGCGTACGGCGCTTATCACTCGCAACACTAATCATTTAATGTCAATTGATGTTCAGAGGACTTTCAAAAAACGCGAGTGGTGCTCTTTCTTTGCTCGCCACGCTAATTTAATAAATATAAAAATGAAAAAGCTCCCGTGCACCTTCATCTCATAATACGCAACACTGCCTTTAGGTTGAAGAAATCGGTGTAACCATTTTGATAGTGGTTCCAGCATAGTTTTGGGCGTTTCATAGATCGCAACACTAAGCCAAATCCGATCAATTCATCTCGCAACACTAATTCAACAAAAGACGAGAACTATAGAAATCAATTAAAGTTGTGATCTTTAATCCAACAAGACTTTCATTCAAATAACAAGTATAAACAATCGCGCTCAGTCATTATCGCAACACTATTCTGAAAATATAAAAATGATTTTCATACAAACACGATTTCATCATTCGCAACACTATTCTCCAAGCAATTAAGAAGATCAATATTAACAATTTACAAGGTTAATGCAACCCGTGATCTAGTCTCATCCGCAACACTAATTCAAACCGCGATTTTGCCCAAAATTGCTGGTCGTTGGGCCGATACATTGGCCAAAAATACTAACTACTACAACTACAAGCGAGTACAGTGACAAAGTAGTAATGACTCCGCATCCGAAGATGCAGAGCCATTCGTTGCTGCCCTCTTCGATACACAGTTTGTGTCGGGCCACTTCTTTTCTTCGGCGGTCCGCCCGAATCTGAAATCCTGAAACTGCTCGGTCGTGGACGATCAACCGAACTCGCAAGAGTCTTGTACGATCGTACCACGAGTGCACTCGAGCAGGTCGTTCGTTTCGACATTCCTATCCTTCCGACCGCGACCGCGTACACAACTATTTGACCAATTTGAAGAATCGAAATCGAAACCAGAAGCAGACAGCATGCTCCGTCTGGACCAGTTTCGAATCGACGCTACAATTGATCCCGGTAGCAGGACTATCACGCGAAATGGGGGAGCCTACCCGATTAGAGACTGTGATAGCCTGCCCCGGCCCCTACCTACTTACAATCTAATCGTACATTCACACGCAAGAAAGTATGCTACCTACCTACCTAACCCTATATTTAAAAAGAAACGGCAAAAGACAGATTCTCACCAACACACAACACTCCACGGTTCTCAAGCATACGCCCGGGTGCAAGTTAGCCTAACACCTAGGGAGGACGTCCCGGGACGCCTCCGACACCCGAGCGTAATACACAACTTGCACACTCTAGATAGGTACGTACCATTTTCCTGAAATCGACTGGCAAAGACTAGCATCCATTGCGAAAATAGAAAAATTCTCTAAGTATTATAAGTACGTATATTTGGTATACTTTAAATCGATTACGTGTTAAATTTCTCGCATGATAACGAGAGACTCGAAATCAGTACATATTCCATGGACATTTTATTATAGACATTGTATAATGCAAAGGAGTATGTACGACCGATACCGGAAATTGTAAAAAATTCTTCCAAGGTACAATTACAGATGAAATGTTAATTGATAGAAATAGAAACCGACGCAATTCCACTGCCTAACCACACACACACACACAAGTGGAAAATACGTCGTGCACGGTAAGCTAATTTTGCCAGTCGCATACACATGTTATTTATATGAAATCAAGTCATCGTTCCCCGTTGCTCTCACCCAATCAAGTAGCACCTGGGCACGTGAAAGGGTTTGAGCAACGGACACGGAATCAATATCCTGAAAATCCTAACTAAAAAACATATTACAGAGTTCATTCTCTTCTAACGGGCTAATATTCTCTTGGAATAAAAGTGACTCGACTTTGTATTAATAAAAATTGAAAAGCAAATATTCATTATTTGTTAATGTTGTATAATTTAATTGGCAAGACTCTAAGCAAGATTCTGCAGTAAGATACATGACTCTAGATATATTGAACAACCCTCGGGCGATTTCGTCGTCAAAGCCAATGTAAGACATATATCATAAGTATCACAGACACGTTCACTTTGACTCAGAGGTCTACCCGTCACGAAATGCCTTCTTGTACATGGTCTCTAATATCACATATCTCTAGAACGTTACGTTCTAGCTCAATCTATGTGTATCAAAATGCGCTACTTAATGTTTATATCTGTTTTCGAGTAACGTGGTAGTACGTATTTGATATAATTTCTTCACTGTTTCATTAGTAAAATATACAAACAAGCATTATATATTGGTCAGTGATGCTTCTTGAATATTCCTATTTGTATTAAAGATATAAATGTAGACAAATATATCTTCGATACAAATAAGAATATTCATCAAGCATCACTGACCAATATGCAATACTTGTTTGTACATTTTACTAATACTGCATTTAAATGATAAATAAATTTACCTTATATTAATTTTCTTATTTCATTACAAATGACGGTAAGACTTTTGAGAATAATAAAGAACACACTAACGGGTGAAATCGAAAGTGATTAACATGCTAACAATCATAAAAATTGACTCTATTACCAGAGGTGTCCAAATGCCACCCACGAGCTACAAGCAATTACGAGCCTCCCCTCGTGGGTTTCCCCGACTACCGACCTCGGATTGACTCGAGCGAGTCAACCAGAGTCCCGTAGTGGGGGAACCTCCGGAAGGGAAGAATGCTGCTCGTAAGTGGTAGATGGACACCTCTGGCCCTGTCCTTTTTAAGGGACAGACTTTACAAATACTCATTTCTTCTGAGTACATACATGTACGTCTACCATACCGATATGTTTAAGTAACATTGTATACATGCTGGCCAAACACAGTAGTAACTTCCCTGCATTTAACGCTCACACTCCATTAAAGTGGTCGTGAGTACACACCAGCACGTTTCGATATACATATTACTACCCGTGTTTACGTAAAATTGGATACAATTCTTTGCTACTGGCATAAAAACAACCGGTCACGACAATGATCGTGCAATAAGTTAACATGTGTGCACCCATGTTAAATTATTACATAACACAAGGTTTTTCACGAGGGTGTGCATACAGATGCACAAACGACGCAACTCAACACACGTCTTCGTTTTATAGACCGATACTTTATAGGGATTTGCAAATACTAATGAAACCTCAACACTGGTTTCAATTTTTGAAACGTGCTGCCGCGTCTCGTGGTATTGCGCTAACTGCTGTATGTAACATGCACATCTAAGAAGGCACCACAATGTTTTCCCCTCTACTTTAAACATACCGGCGTGGTTTTCGTTATTTTGATTCTATATTCGTAGACATTTATTTCATACATTAATGAGTTCAGTATTATTTTTGAATCTACTGACCGTACTTGTAAACAACACTAGAATAATTTTTATGTAATCGTCTTGATTGATGAAGACATTAGTAGAATAATTTTAATGTAATGGTTTCGATATGACAATATTAATATACGACTAATTGTCATCAAGTTACTGCATTCTCTAGTTAACTGAATAACATAGTACCACGTTCTCGATTAATAACAAAATATCAATTGCTGTAAACAATAGGACTTCTGGTCCCAAAATATCAAAGATCAATATTAATCAATAATTTCACGTTAAGTTAATGTTCGTTTATAAATATACTTTCAATACAAAATATTTCTGTATTATATTACTAATAATAAACGCGGCGTACAAGAAGACCCTAGCCTATCTAAGAAACACAACAGATCGATGTCACTACTCGCGGATATGATTGCATATCCGCGTTCACTGTACTCGCCAAATTAAGCACGTATACAACCAGTCACCCGTGCCGTTTCGGACCAATCGTCCTACGACATGATTGGGGACCGGAGGAACAAAAGCATGCAGACTCACCCGATGACAGAAGGGCTCCGTCTAAGACTCTAGGAATCTGAAAAAAAAAAGGAACAAAATGCGTTACAATCTCTTCTAAACATGTTAGCTATTTCGATTGAATCATGTAAGTAAGAAAATTTAAAGATGCTTACAGTCTTGGCTGGTGGAGCTTCGCCCGAGGACGTCCTCTGCAATGGTCGTTGATACAGCGCCTGATGAATCTGATAAAAAAGGAATAGAAATCGTTACAACCTCCTCTCAAAATTCTAGCTGTTTCAATTGAATAGTGTAAGTAATAGAATATAAAGATACTTACGTCCTCTGTAAACAGAGCTGCGCAAAAATATTTTCTTCGGTGATGCATTGACTCTACTTTCGCGACTCAAAAAGCAAAAAGTGTCCAGACACTCTGACAGTAATTGATAACACGTAATAAACACTGACTCTAATTTCACGAAAACCTAGCATCTCCGGTGAGATTCTACACGGAGCCAGTTCGCTCCGCATAAACCAAAAATCTTGTACGATATAAACACTGACTCTATTCGACCGCATTGCGCGCGGCCACAAAATTCTCTGAAAGAAAAGTACATGGGAAATACAAGGCACACTTGTGCCTGCCTACTGTTTTAGTTTCTGTATCCTACCAAGTGTTTGTCGAGAAAATATTGCCTTTCAATAATTCACATTAGTTTAAACATTATTAAATATTACAGAATAATTATTCAATTCAATATAAATATATTAAATCTGTTATACGTATCTATTTAATATTTATCTATTATATTAAAGACATTTGTTGTTAGAGCTGTAAGCACGTTCATTTTCTGTATCTAAACCACGTCCTGATTTTTATAAATATTCAGAAAATCATTACAAATATCAAAGTTTCGTTATTTACCCGTGCTTCGATGAGCACGATGAATTACGCGGTATCTATATAATCAAACTTACAACCGAAACCGTATGCAAATGCAAACACGATGGTTAAATAAAGATAGACAGATGAAATAATTAATATTTAAACAATTTCGCGACCGTGACACAGGAAATTACGAATATTTCGAATTTAAATGTTTAAAAGTAATATTCAAATTTTCTAATGGCCACGGTAACCATTTTGAATTCTTCGATTGCGCAGTTTAATTCACTGTACACACTTCCCGGAAGAATTCTCGTTCGATCTTTGCACAATAAATAAATAAATCGCGTTCATGCTTACAGCGAGACATAATAGAAACACGATAAAATAAAAATATATAGTAGATGATCACCTATTTGTTACAACATATTACCGTGCTTCACCAATTTTCCTGAATGTTGCTACTGCCATGGTGTCAGGGGGCACGTCCTTCTAACCGGTGCTCTGAAACAGAAAATAAACGCGTTTAAACCGAGCAATTACATTAAATTACCAATGGTTTCGTTACAAATAAATAACTATTGTACTCGAGGTGTGCCGTAAAAGATTGTAAATAGCATCAGAAATGCGTAAATACTACAGTTACTTTTAATTTACAATAATTTACTCGAAATTGAATAAATATTAAACGAAAGTAACGATAAAGAACTAACGAAGGTACTAATAGTTTGTATAAATGATTAGATGTGAAAAGTAAAAATCACGTACACTTCGATAGGAGCGAATTCACTTCACGTCTTGTCACTTCAACTTGTGCGAGACAAATGACCCTTAGGCCGTCTTTGACTGTTCGCGATGTGTTGATTTAAGTATCTTAGGGGCATCGTTATTGGAGGTCCTCCTCGCCCCACTTCAATTTCCAGTTTAACGAAATAGAATATTCAGTACCATATTACACGTCGATACAATCTTTTTTTTTTGCGTATACCTGCGGTTAGCTCAACGAGCACTGACCCACCTCAAACGGAATAACAGACGCACAGCCACTCCGATGATTATAAACAATGTCAGAGCCATATGTTTCGTGCCTTTGTTTGACCACTTTTCGAAAACTTACATTCCAATGTTCCCTACGACTAATGAATGAATTCAATCGTGTACATATCCCAGGCTATCTTCGAAAATTTGTTATTTCAATTCGTTTTGGATGAAAAGCATTGATGTACGATGCCTAGTGGTATTTTTATTGCCCCTTTGTCAAAGTTTTGAATACGATGTTTTTCTGAACACCAGATGCCTAGTAGTATTTTTATTGCCCCTTTGTCAAAGTTTTGAATACGATGTTTTTCTGAACACCATCTGTGATAAATACGTTCCGTCAAATATTTAACAATTACGCCAAAGTTAATGAAATTTTCAACTACTACGCGATTCCTTTTAGAGTCTTGAGAATGGTGATGTGGTATTGCGTAAGGTGGTCGACGTTTGCAGGTATCAGGCATATCTAACTACATATGTACGCATCGCTTTGTTTTCTCACAGACTGAACTGAGATGTTTTTGCCCATTAATTGCAAGACTTCCTTGAAAGGTCTATATACCTGATACGACCTAGACAGGGCGAGGGTCTGGTCCCATAAACTTGGTGTGGAAAACAGCAATTTTCCAACACTTCGGTCAAGACACATATGTAAATATATTTCGCAGTTTCAACCATAGAGGGGTGCGGATGTTTCCACAAGTGACTTTGAAACAAAAATAACTTTGAATATTTCGTAAAGATATGGCCATTTTTACGAAAGATTAGTTAGTAATATAAGACCTTGAAATTTGGAATAACATTGGAATTGATGATAGCTGGAATATTTCAACTAGCTGTAGAGGTAAATAGAACATATATCAAGCGATGTTCCCGAAAACTGAATAAATAGTAAGTTTCTGATGGGAAATGTAACAAAGTAGCTAACAGGAACTCAATTGTCCTGAATTTTCGTGCACTTTTTAAACGAGCAATTGGTTTCTTACAATTTTAACAAAATGAACAACGTGATAAATCGAGAACACCTCAATCTCCTCCTTGACAGTGTAATATAATTACATATTACGTTTACAAGATATACGAAACAGTTTCGTACCTCGGTTTGACCACTAAATGGAATTCACATATTTGTGGAATACATAACACTTTTACTAAAAGATGTTTATTATTCATCACATGTTCATTTCGCCAATTTCTGGCGGGCACATATGTAGTTCGTCTGTTCTTCGTTAGATGACGTCACTAGAGTGCTACGATATGACGTAATACCTAACCTCTATGCAACAACAATATTTTGTTTGCTCCTCGTTAATAAATTGTTATTGAGATATCTGATTATTGATTATTATAAAACAAATCAGGAGCAATTTTTTGGTGCCATAATATTTGTGTAAAAAGGCCATTTACTACCTATTTTGTAAACAACAAGTTTTTGCTTTTTCTTTTGCGAATATCTCATTAACTATAAACGGTGCTGTGGGAGCAATTTCAAATTCGGAAGGAGCAAATTAGGAGCAATTTTTTTAGATATAAATCGTTAAGATACGTTAACATTCGGCGCCAACTATTTGCAGGTACCCGACCCGATCCCGAAATGTCGTGTACCTACACACCCCTGGGCAAATTATACAAATGACACATTATACAGGGTGTCCCAAAATAGCTTCGACTTCCGGAAATAAGTACCTATAGTAGTAGATTCTTAGAGCGGTTATGTAGAAACGGCTAAGAACCGGTTCGGTTCTTTTTCGTAGCGTTTTTAAGAACCCTTCAAACGTTCCCAAAAAGTACAGAGAATGTTACTTTTACACATTCGGAAAACGTTCTGAGAATGTTAACACAGGACGTCCTCAGGGCGTTCCACTTTGTAAATAGGACCTTCCTAGGACATTTATAGATCTTAACGAGGACGTTGTGGGGACATGTGTACCTTTTCGGGACATCCTCCGTATGTACCGAACGTCCGGAACGTACGTTTTCCGAACGTGCATAGGACATTTCTGTCCTATTTGGGTCCTACAGTCCTACCTTATTTATAGGCAGTGTCGGTGCCAGGTTACTTTCCGCCCTACGCCAGGTTAATTAGGGCACCCCCTCTTTCATAAATTACTAAACATTTTGTGATAGTATGTACAAGGTTCTGAGAATATCTCCAGATAGTATCATATAGATAATGAAAGTTTCAATGTCACTATTTGGCGTATTGTACCCAAGAATTTATATTGCGGCTTAAAAACAATACAAATAGTTTCCTATTTGAGAACAATTATTTTTAACAAATATTATATGATTTCATTTTAAATATTTCAAAACAATGGGACTCATAATATCATTAATTGCTAAATAAAACTATCACTACTGAAAAAACAATTACATTAATACTTTTATAATCATTTATATATTATCTTCAAGAATAACAGTACCATTTATAATAATAAAAATATACTAGTATAGTAAAGATACTCTAGTTGTTATATAAATTACATTCTACGGGAGAGTTTGTTTTTTTGCTCCAGGTTTTATTTGACAATTTTACTAGGTAACGAAACTCGACAACGATGTATTTTATCGCTGTCGCATCAAATTCATGCAAGAACAAGTTATGCAGCACATCGAAATTCTACGAGTGACCTGAACAGGGAACGAAGGGAGGAAGGTGAGAAAGAGACAATGAAATAAGAGGAACGAGGAGAAATCTTGGGATCACACAGCTCGGAAAAGATGCAGATACATAGGTAGTCTTCGAAATCGTTGCGTCGTGAATGCTTTGCTCCTGGATCGTTCTCAGAGGTTTTTCCATTGAAGTTTCGTGATTTTTTACTGTGTCCAATTTTATGAACAGTTCCGTAAATGCGATGTACGCACGGCCGAACATGTTTAAAATGATTGTGTACGTACAATTCGGTTGTGGTAATTTTATGAAATGTAGGACTGCGTCGCACGAATGTCAACCTAAACCCTTCGAAGATATACCTGGACCAAAATCTTTACCCATTATTGGAACACTTTACAAATATTTACCGGTAATTGGTAAGAAACCCAATTTCCACACAATAAGCGCATATTTCTGTTTTTATGTTTTAAATCTACAGCAAAATGTTTACTCTAATTCCAGCATGTAAGTAGAAATACTCCATAAAATAGATATTAAATATTGTATTGTTGTCTAGGGTCGTTTTTAAACCCAAACAATACACAAATGTAAAGTAAATGGTTTCATTACAGCTTAGAGTCCATTATAACGTAAAATGTTAAAATGTTGTTACTATATACTGTCCACCTTTGCAAGAAAATTTTGTATTCATATTTCCTAATTTCATTTGTCTGGATATGTAGTATGTAAAAGTCATCTTGCGAATTATCACACTTGTCGTGATAATAATTTTAAATACCTATATATATATATATATATATACAATTGTAATTATCGATTTCTCAACAAAATGGTCAGATTTTTTTGCTAAAGTGTTAAAAGATGGAAAATGTACCTGTGCTTTATGAATGTCATTGAAGTCAATTATTTTCATATGATAATATTATTTAAATCGAAATATAGGCGAATATAGTTTTACCAAACTATACGACAGTGGATTAAAAAAATTGAAACGCTTTGGGCCATTAGTTCGCGAAGAAATAGTACCCAATGTAAATGTTGTATGGGTTTACCGACCAGAAGATATAGCTGAAATTTTCCGAGCGGAATCTGGTTTACATCCAGAAAGGAGAAGTCACTTAGCTCTTTTAAAGTACAGGAAAGACCGGGCAGATGTATACAGCACTGGAGGTCTACTACCCACGTAATATGCATATCATCTAATTATACATTTCTCTTGTCCAGTAGAAATTGTAACTTTTATGAAAATTTGGCTTTTCAGAAATTGCTACAACCTGCACAGCACAAGTAATTGGCGATGTTACTCTTAAGCAGATATTTTAACGAATGTATTTCGAATATTTTATATATTTTCATATTAATTAATACAATTAAAATATAGAAACGTCTTAATTTCAGTTGTACGACAAAATACTTCGTAACTTTCTCGGTTATGCATGATTTCTTAATTCTGATAATTAATTATTTGAAAGTTATTATGCAACGCAAATTAACTAAGTAAAATGTAAAATAATAAAAATAATTGGTAAACGATTAAAATTGTTCCTATTTGATAATTATAAATATGTAGAAAAAGTATTATACCTTTATTTAAACAGTATATATGGTAATCCCAGTCAGCCAAACCTGCAAAGCCAAGTTTTGTCCAATGCCTGTTTGCAAAAAATTGGCTTGCGCACACCTTGTTCCGGTTTTGCTCTCAATTTGACATAGATCATGTTGCAAAACCTAACTCAAATACGGAAACAGATGGCTATGGATTTTTAGACAACGTTTGTTATGTATTTCTGGCAATTTGCTCGAAATTTGTACAAAACTACATAGTTATCAGGGAATAATATACATATGTGAAATGTTTATATTATTACTTGATTTTTACTCACAATTGTCATAGTAAGTCTTAATAAAGGAATGATGATAAAAGGCTGTTGTAGTATTTGTCAACTAACAATACTGTATGTACAATTTTTATATATTTCATAAGATGGTTACGATGCAAAATTATTTATTGTCTTGTCTTAGACGAATATAAAAAATAATATAATTTTACTTTGTTAACAAAAGTAATATAACATGTGTAGTTTCATTATGATAAATTAAAACATATTTTCCATTAATGTTGGAATTACATATACTACCATATTAGACATATGAAATATATAATGTGTAAAATTAATCGTTGAAATATCATGTTGTAGTAGTGCTATATTGAATTATTATATTTATATACTGTTTTATAAATTGCAGAAATGGACCAGAGTGGTGGAGATTACGGAAAGAATTTCAAAAAGTTACTAGCAAACCTCAGAATGTAATAAACTACTTAGGAGACACAGATCATGTTGTACAAGAATTTGTTGCATTATGCAATAGAGAAAAGTTTGAAGATTTCCTACCAATTTTATCACGTTTGTTCCTTGAATGTAAATACATATTATTTTTATAGACACTCGTGAAATATAACTCATCTCATGTGTGATGTTGGAAACTTTTGTTTATTTAATATCTAGAAAACATGAATTAACTTGTAAATATTGTTAATACTTAGACTTTAATACACTATTAAAATTATAATTACTGATATGACTATACAAATAAATGTTGGTTGACTTGACTGTAAATTTTCTATTTTAGTGACATGTTTAGTTGTTTTTGATATAAAGCTTAATAGCTTTTCAAAAGAAGAAAGACATAAATATTCTAGAAGTTCCAAATTAATTGAAGCTGCTTTCACAACAAACAGTGCAATTTTGAAGTTGGATAATGGTTTACAATTATGGCAGTTTTTTGAAACACCTTTATATCGAAAATTACGTAAAGCACAAATGTATATGGAATCGTAAGAAAATTTTTTTTGAAATAATGTGAATATTAATAAAGCATGCAATATTTAGTACTCGAAATTAAATATTCATAATGTTTGGATAAAATACTGCATTGTAAACGAATATAAAACGTATAATTTATGTACAAAATGTAGGGGTCTGTAAAACAAGTTACTGACTTTTAAAATTTAAACTTCTTACGTACATATTATAACAAAACATTTATATTTGTATAAATCTATAAACATGTTATGTATCTACTTATCTAATTTATGTTTTACTAATGTAATAGAATTGCATTGGAACTGGTATCCTTAAAAAAGGACGAGGAAGCTCGGCAAAGTAAATCACTCCTAAATGCTTATTTCGAAAATTCTGCTTTGGATATTAAGGACATTGTAGGCATGGCTTGTGATATGCTACTTGCTGGTATAGATACTGTAAATATCATGAAAGTTGAATAGTATATAGCATTTTTTAATAGTATTTAGAATATACACAACATTTTAGATAATGGTATTAGATAAAACAGGCAATATTGAAAAGACTACACAACAATTATTTATATAGTTACATGCTAATTTTACTCTGTTAGTTTTTTGTGTCAGTCTTGTGTTACATTCAAATATGTTCTTCATTTTCTTACTATTCAATCTCCTAACATAAAATTTAATAGCAGAACGAAATAATTGAACAATAAAAATCAGACAAAATAAATTCTGAATATATTTCAGACTACCTACAGTACTGCTTTTACCTTGTATCATCTCGCCAAGAATCAACATATTCAAGACAAGTTGAGGTCTGAAGCTACACAATTACTACCTCAGCATAATCAACCAATAACAGCAGATATTTTACGAAATGCTTCATATACTAAAGCTGTTATAAAAGAAAGCTTGAGATTAAATCCTATTTCTGTTGGAATAGGCCGCATCTTGCAAACTGATGTTGTTATGAGTGATTATCAAGTACCTAAGGGAGTAAGAATTTAAACACTTACCAGTTTTTTTACTGAATTATTTACACTTATTTTCATATGTATATGTAATTTTGAATTTCTAATCATTTTATTGTTATTGACCTTGATAAATAATAATGTTAACCAACTTAAGGATAACGTATTGTTTCATTTGTATATTCTAGACTGTGGTTGTGACACAAAATCAAATTATTTGTCGGCTTCCTGAACATTTTAGTAGTCCAGGCTCATTCATACCAGAACGATGGCTTCGCGAAAATGTAGAAAACAAAGTAAATTGTGGAAAGTCTATACACCCATATGTGTTACTACCATTTGGTCATGGTCCACGGTCTTGTATAGCTAGGCGTTTTGCAGAACAAAATATGCAAGTATTACTATTAAGAGTAAGTATTTTTTTTTAAACAGTAAACGACAATCCCACTATTCATACTGTCACAAAATCAATTCATTTATCCAAATACGAAAAATCGCAGATTTGAACATGTATTAGATGATGCTATGTATGTGACATTTTTTTATTTCTGTTATACAGATGTGCAGGAATCTTATATTCTCCTGGCATGGTGATCAACTTGGAATGGTATCTTTACTAATAAATAAACCTGATGCACCAATGAAATTAAAATTCCATAATATACTAAACACAAATTCTAATACTAAGTAAAATATTGTTAGTATGAAATATAATTTTAAGAAGAAAGCTTGTTCTGCTTTTATTATGTAGTTATAATTAATAGTTAACATGATTTTTCGATAACTGGTAATACAGTGTAATTATGTACGTATTTATTTTAAATTCAATTATCAAAATTTAATAACATATTTAATTATAAGTCATATATTTAGGAGTTGCAGAGAACTTAGCATAAGATTTAATGACTTTGTTCACGGCTTCAAGAAAGTCTTTTTCCGTAGCTACTTTACGACGCGCACGGATAGCAAACATACCTGCTTCGGTACAAACAGAACGAATTTCGGCACCTGTACTGTTTGGGCACAAACGTGCGAGAAGTTCAAATCTAATGTCTCTTTCGACACTCATTGAACGAGCGTGAATTTTGAAAATGTGCGTTCGACCTTCTAAGTCTGGTAAACCAAATTCTACTTTTCTGTCCAAACGTCCTGGCCTCATTAAGGCTGGATCTAACGTATCAGGTCTATTTGTTGCCATTAATACTTTAATATTACCTCTTGGATCAAATCTATAACATAAAAGATCATAAGCATTAGTTACATATAACATGCAATGAAAACATCGAAATTCAGTCTTACCCATCCAATTGATTGATTAATTCTAGCATAGTACGTTGTACTTCATTATCGCCACCAGCCCCGTCATCGAACCGAGCTCCTCCAATAGCATCAATTTCATCAAAGAATATTAAGCATGCTTTCTTACTGCGTGCCATTTCAAACAATTCTCTTACCATGCGAGCTCCCTATTGTTAAAATCAACACAATATATTTATTTTATAATTTCATAATACCATCTACATTTAATATCTTTTACATACCTCACCAACATATTTTTGGACTAATTCAGAACCAATGACACGAATGAAACAAGCATCTGTTCTATTAGCAACAGCTCTAGCACATAAAGTTTTGCCTGTGCCTGGTGGACCAAATAATAATACTCCCTTAGGTGGTTCAATTCCTAAACTGACAAATTTCTCTGGCTGCAATTAAAGTAAATTTCTTTATAATTACAAAAATTACGATTGTACAAGAATGCAATAATAATGAAATACTAACATGTAATAGAGGAGTTTCAACAACTTCTCTTAATTTTTCAATCTGCTCCTTACAACCACCAACATCGCTGTATGTAACATCAGGCTTTTCTTCAACTTGCATCATTGTTACACTTGGATCAATTTTTGGTGGCAATGGAATATGAATTTGATATTTGTTACGATCAACACCTACTCGCATGCCTTCTTCAATATCAGTCGGAGCAACTGAATCTGCTAAGTCAACTACAAACTTTGCAAATTGTTTTACATTTATGATATATTTTGGATCATCAGAATCTGCATTAATAATTTTGGTACAACGCGCAACTTGCAATGGTTGTTCATTTTGCAAAGTTTGTTTGTCTGCAGCTAGATCCCAAAGAGCTGGTGGTGCCAGGCCAGTATCAGACTCTTTGATTCCTGTTAATTCATTAACACGTTTTATTATTGTTTGAATATCTTCTTCAACAGTTTTAATGCTTTTTGTATATTGTCCTTGGCCCTATTTGAAAAAATAACAGACTGATTAGTTGTATGTTTGACAGGAGGTACCTACTAATAAAGACATATTATTAACGAATAATTATTATTCCATTTCAATTACCCCTATAGGATTTCACTTACATAAGTTTTGAGTAGAGCAATATCTCCTTCATCCAAAGCTAAAAATATAATAAATATAGAATAAATTACTTAGCATGCCTTCCACAAAAAAAACAAACAATTTATACACAAATCAACTTACACTTTATTTCCTTTTCTTCCTTTTCATCTTGATTTTTAACTTTTCGCATGTCTTCTCCTAAATGATCTGGCATTTTTCCGTCTGTTAAATTCTTTTAATATTTGAGCGACTACCTTCTTTCACTTAATGTGTAAAGTATGCGGCATACACTAAATTTAAGGTTGTAACTTCATTACATTACTAGCAAAATTGTATCTTCTTTTGCTGACATCTACACAGAATCTATAAACTACCATTTCTTTAAATCATACATTCCATGACTACGTAGATAACTACAGTAGACATTCGTTTATTGCAGTTTTCGGGGCTATAGAGGGCCAGAATTCCAGGAACTACAATAAGGAAACTCCAATCACCCGCTCGCTCTCCCCTCCATTCGGCCGTTCAGTTGTGCAACGCAACTGCATATAGGGTGGGCTGCATATACGCATTTTACGATCATCTTCATTATCTTCGTTATTTTTGAAGATATCAGAAAAGTTTATTCACAGAAGTTGTTTAGTATGGAAAGCGCTATTAATTTGCAGTAATAATTTTTTCGTAGGTCGAGGATATCCTGAGTTTTCAAGATTAATTATGTTTCCTTTTTAATAATACTGAAATATTGAGGAATAAAAATATTTTTTTACGTAAGTGGATTCTTCTAAACATTCTGCGTAATAAAATATTATGGTAATATGTGAAAAAAATTAATAATTTGTGAGATATTTTATATACAAAATGTAAAATATGTCACAAACTATTAATTTGTTCTCGACCTATAACAAAATTACTTCTGCTATGTTATAATCCCTCTGATACCAGATAAGTTTTGTGAATAAAATTTGTTTATACCTGTAGAAATAATGAAGATAATTAATGTGATCAAAATACTGGACCATTGTTTATAATGCATGTATAATTGAACAGTAGTTTCATTTATTCTTCTTTATTGAAAACAATGTAATTAATAATATGAATATTTGAATTTGTTTAATTGTGACATACAAAATGATTAACAACTACATACATTTGCTTATTAATTATCTTATTTATGTATAAAAGTGTAGAAAAACACAAGTTAGTGATTGCAACAAAATACAGTAAGGAGCAAAACTGAACCAATGTGACTATTTTTCCAGGAAAATAAGTTATTCATTTAGATGCTATTAATATGGAGTAACAAAAAAGCTCAACCTGTATATGTATAAGTGTACACCCATTTCAGTTTAATAGACAATTAATGTTTTAACTTCATTAGATTGAATTTATTAGGTATAATATTTTACTTCTGACTCATAATCAGTAATCATGACATACTCAATGTTAAATTTTCATAATATTTTTAAGGTATTCAATCTTATTGTTCTATGATTTTATTATTGAGAACCTTCTGTTATTATTTTCAAGTAGAGATCACTGGACGAAGAATGAAACATTTACCAATTATTGTTATATATATATTCAGAAGTGTCTTGGAAGTAAAATGTAATAAGTAACAAATTGAAGAGAATATACTGAAAAAATTCATTGTTTCTTAAGCAGAAATAGTGTACAATTATATACAGGTTGAGATTTTTAATTATTTCATATATGTAATATTTATAGGAATAATCATTTATATAAAACAGTATTATTGGTTCAGTTTTACTCTGTACTATTGTAATAAATTTTGCACTATTACGCCCTAGGAAAACACATTTTTTTTAATAGGTATTAATCTCATTTATAAACTCCATATGTATGAATTTTTAACTTTTTGCAGCTTATAAATTTCTATGATCAACCACGTTAAAGACATTTACATAACATTCTTATGCCCAATACTGACTTTGTTATAAATTTATCTGCGTACATAACTACTTATATTCAATATGAATTCAACATAATACGAAATGTAGTTGATTAAAACTGAAAACATCTAAAAACATTGAAACCTTTTATTAAAACAATATTATATACACTTCACTTTCTGTAGTGAATATACCAGTAAAACGCGCCACCGTATGTATTCCGTCCTGGGCGTGCTGGACGACAGAGTGGGGTGCGCGCACGTGGTGAGAAATACGTGTGAGCGAAGGGCGTTCCAATGCTACAATAAAAGGGCCTGCAATAAACGATCGCCTACTGTATTTAACTGCGCGAGGGAGAACATTAACTGAAATAGCTTTCCTCTCTTTCTAATGGGGTTGTTGGTGAGGGATTCCCCTACGGTGTAGTGGAGGCACTACATGCGTGCAGCATTCCTTTTCCTCATTGCCTTCCAGTCGCTTTTTCCCCTCCCACTGCGATGTGCGAGCAAAAGAGGAGTTACTCCAGCGCTATTTTTGTACTTTGGTCTCACTTCATCCCTACCATAAGATCACACCCACAGCCTATTGTCTATGGTCCAGAGTCCAGACTGGGTACAGACCCTGTTGCTCACCTGGCTAACTCTAGCTCACGTGGACCGTACAACGAACAAACTGAACACTATGGCAGAATTTAGTTTGTCCGTACAATGTACGGACTAAAAGTCGAAAGTGTTAATTAATTCATTAATGAGCAGGTTGGCTTAATGTCACATTAATCAGGATCAGTACCTTCCTTCATTATATGTACTAACCTAAAATGCTGGTCGCATGAGCATGCGCAGTAAAGTAATCAACAAATCGAACAAGTAGGGGGGGCACCTTTTCACGGGTGCCGACGCTGTTTTAGTGAATATTATAGAGTACGCGGTGAATTTTCTGCAAGACTTATTATATTCTATCAAAATTTGACGTGAAAGTGTCGAAATAATTTCATAACGAAGCCTTCTATATACATTATATATGAGAATCAGTGTCACCTTAAGATAAACGCGGGTATCTAGATAACAAAATTGTTGTGATAGCTATTAACAAGGGGCTTGTGTCATCAATTTGTGTCAATCTTTCATACAGATTGTACGTATTATATATAATAATATACCATTACCCAAAATTTTTCAATAAAATTATATTAGAGTATTGGATTTTTCATATATTCAATATTTATTTATGTGTAACACGAGACCAAAACAGTGACGCCGTGAAAGCGAATACGAATGTACAGAATATCCGAGTAGCCCACTGTGGTAGGATCTTCATATTTTCATTTAAAGTTTACTGTACCGATAAGACAACTTTTAACATTATATTTAAATATATACAAAAGTAGATATTTATAAATATTCATTTATTTGCATTTTAAATGAACTAGTAAATGTAACATTTATACATAGCTAATATTCAAGGGAGACATTTTCTAAAAGATTTTCTTAAAAATATTTCCATTAAGTAGTTGTTTTATGATCAAATGTGTTGTTATTTATAGTTGTCCATATGGACTGAAATGAGAACAATCTAAACAAACGTAAATATGTCCTTACAGTAATAATTTATTTTTAAAAACATGTGTGATATGAGTGAATATTTATTAATATATTTACATGGTTACAGGTATAGATAAAAATGTAATATTCTAGATTCGTTATAAATTTTCTTACAACCATGTATTTATGTTTTGTATTTAATAAATATATATATTAAGAGTACACAGATTTATCGTTAAATAGCAGTTTAAGTTTCTGATCAGTAAAACAATGATATGACGCATCAAATTACTTGACATAACCTACAAGGTAAAATAACTGGCTTGGATTCCATTTTGAGTATATGTCAGTATATGTGTAGGTATTATGTACAACAGTGTGGGTTCGTAAAATACGCATGGTATAATACAAGCATATATGATACATTATACATGTATTATACCCGTATATTACGATGATCCGAATAGTACTGTAATTTACCTACGAAAATGACAAATGGCCATACGGAAGCCGTATTTTCCAAGCGTGACTGAGATTTTTCACTTTTGCACTAGGCTGTTACGAGTTACATGCAATATACTGTCTACTAATTTTCCTACACGAATCATATTAGTAGCGTTATCTGCGATTACTGCATAAATATGTAAATTATACCTTCCTCTTGAAATAATACATTCATGCACCAGATCATTTAAAGCCTGTGCATTTTGACTCAAAATACCAAAATTCCATGATTTAAGAAAAACATATCTTTGATTATCTAAGTAACAACGCTACAAGTCCGCGTTGCGATTGGTAGCCGACGTTACCGCGGGAACTCGGCCTGCAGACTCGCACTCTGATTGGTCGGGGTTTCTCGTTAATATCTCATTAACGAAGCCTTAGACTTAGAGAACATTTTCCTAAGGAAAACCTTGTTTCAAATCACCTCACGAGTCTCCCAGTTCCGGGTCCTCCAACATTTCTGTTACACCCTATATATCTTAGAAACTGATTTCTGCAATTTAATGCATAATATCTTACTGAATTGCTAGGTACTTGTCAATAAAAAAGTTAATTTTATACAATATGTACACATTTGCATTAGCAAATTTATACGTTTATTTTAAATTGTAAATATCTTTTTTTATTAATATATTCACATTAATATTTAATTAGTATATAAATAATCTAGTTTTCAATAAATACAGCACTCTCTTGTTTTCATGATATTGAGAAGTAGATATAAATATGAAATGAAAAAGTTTAAATTCGATTTTTTTTTGTACAATTTTGTACGTAGCGTTTAATACATTAAAATACGATATTACATGAACAAATTATGTGCAGAATATGAGATAAAGTGGTAAAACGATTTTGGTAGGAAAGAGATAAGCAGAAACCTCAGAGTATGTGTGAATGCACTTCGTATACTCACTCGTTTCTTATTTACGTACAACAATAGCAACCTTGACACTTGGTGATTGTTTTTGGTGGCTTCATCTCGATGTTACTGAAATCCTGTTTCATAGGATTGTGTCGCGAGTGAAAGCGGTAGTGCACATTTCGTGAAATTATCGAAAATTCGTATTCATCGATCCATTACAGAATTTTCTTCTCTTTTACATTGTATGGATTACTGTGTGGGACATTAACAACGAAGTTCTATCTGTATTACAATGTTTTGGGATAATTAGATTTTAGATTACAGGTTGGTGACATACAGAAAATCGATTGATTGTGTTTCTTAAACAGTCTTGTAGTATTAGAACTGTGTCAGGGTTTGTTATGTTATGTTTTCGTCTTTGTGAATCAAATGTTGACTCAAACAGAAGATAGTTGTTGATAAATGTTTGTGGTATTAATTGTAGTAACGTAATCCTTTTCTTATATTAATTGTGTAATGTTAGAGTAATCGACAAAGTAATTTCGGTAATCCAAAGATTACGGTTTTTTTTTAAACTTTATACATTCGTAGGAAATTTTAATAGTAGTAGTAGTATCAGGCAATTTTTTCTTGCTATTTTTTTGGTTCTGCAGGGTAAAAAACTCATTAAAGATTAATGTTTGTTTTCCTATATTTCTGTATATTTTGAAAACTAGTATGTACAAAAAAATTGTTAAAATGAACATTTAATGACTTTTCATTCTCTATAGAACTGTACAATAATGTTAAAAATTTGTTGTTCAAATAAATAAATAGGAAAATCAACAAATTTTTAACAATTTTATTGCATAGTTTTATAGAGTATAAAAGTCATTAACTGGTCATTCTAATAATATTTTTTATGTCGTCAATAGTTTTCAAGAGATATAGAAGGATATGGAACATTAATCTTCAAGCAACGTTTTCACCCTAAAGAACCAAAAAGTAGCAAAAAGAAAAAATTGTCTGATACTTCTATTGAGGTACACTACAAATCTGCAAATTTTTAAAACAGATGGGAATTTTTGGATTACCGAATAAGCTTTTTTTTTTCTATTTATATTACTGTGAGGTATGATATATATATTAGTTCATAAAAATTCTGTACTGTGCTATGAATTTTGATTCTTCTAGTTGTAGTCTATATTTTATTACATTCTTCTTTTATAATGATTTTTATGTAGTTGATATGAGATTCGACTTGATCTTTCATTTGGCAAAAATATTGCTGTTTCTTTTGCAATAATGTCCACTTTTTCATTATCAGTTATTTATTGATGGAAGGGTAATAGTTACGTTTGTGTGTACATTGGTAAGTTCTGCCACAGACGAAATATACGAATAGACCTAACATCTTATGGGACATGGTGTCCCATGAAAATCATGCTGGTTTCAGCGCACTCCACATAAAAGTTTCTGGTTGTAGGAACTATGTTCGACACTGTGTTGATGCATAGCACACATACCCATGACTGCATATAGTGATGCATATGTACATTATTGCCCCAGTTTCGCTAACAAGCAATGGAATACTAAAATGGTAAGGGGGCTTCTGATGCTCCCAAAACATGGGGTAGAAAATTACATTGCATGTTAGGTGTATTCTTATATTTCATCTGTGGTTCTGCATAAATTTTTTCTATGTCTTTTGTAATCTCGTATTTGTTGTTTTTATTTAAATTTAATAAAGCTTTGATTACGCTCATAGAATTTGTATAGATGACATGATTTTGGAGGTCATTGACCCAGATGTTTTTTGGAGTATTGAGAATTGCATAAGCTTCAGCGGTGAAGATAGATGTTGTGTTGGGGAGGCAATTCTTTATTAGCTTGTCATATCTAACGATAATATATCTTATATTATTATAAAACATGTTCTTACTATTCAGTTCTATAAATTTGGTTTTCTGTTTTTGTCTGTTTATTTGATTTTTGTCAAGAATTAGTAAGAGTTATATTGATTTCAGGAATCTTAATAGTTGAACAAGCCAATCTATTTTATTTGTGTTCAATAGTAGGTATCATTTCTGTTATTGATTCTGAATTTGATATAGATATTTATTAATTGTGATCTAAAAAAAAGCTGGGTGCTTGGGTTTTTTAATAAATAAAATATGCTCTTTTGAAAACTCCACTCCACTGGAATTATCATAAAGAAAACAGAAAGAAGATGATTAATTGAAATAGTGAAGAATTTTGTGGTTTCTGTTCAAAGATATATACTTTTCATACTTTTTTTAACGGTTTGTATTTTATGCTATTTTAATCTTTTTTTATTTTTGTAATATTTTATACGAATGAAGTTATTTTTTTGTTATATAGTGCATTTATAATTGCATAGAATTTAGTAAATATGTAAAACTGATCTAATTTATTATTTTAATAATAGATTAGATAATGTTTACATTTTTACTAAATTCTATATTGTGTACCATTTTTGGTACATATGGCATTGTATACATTGTAAGTACATTGTACAGACAGTTAGCAAGAAATGGTTTAGCACTCAACGTGTTAATGACTTGTTTAGTCTGTTCATGCAGAATTCTTTTAAATAGTTTATATGAAGGGTCCAAGACAGTTAGGATTTACAGGAGGTACAGGATTTAATACTATTTCGGAAGTTTTATTTTAGTTTATCTATTGTATAGTTTTCATGGATTCCTATGAATTATTTTTTTAGTAAACAAAATACATTGCGTTTTTTGAGGTGAAAATTTAAGACCTGATTTGTTGGACCATTCCTAGAGGACATGGATGACTGTAAAAGTTCCTTTATATTATCGAAATTGTTCCTATTGCATGTTCATGTAAGATTATCTGTGAACAAATGGCCTTTGACCGGAATATTTATGTCTTTTGTAAGGTCATTGATTTCTATCAGAAATAATGTAATACTGAGAACTGAATTTTAGAGTACTTTGTATGAAAGTTTTTGGGATTAGAAAATATTCCATTGACTTTGACTTTGGTAAATCTATTTATGAGGAAGTTGTTTTTATAAAGACTAGCATGTATCGGTCTTTGATTTTTGAAACTACAGCGCACCCTATCAAAAAATCTTCAAAAAAGTGAGGACAATATTTATGATAATATGTCGCAACTATAATTATATGAAAGTAATCGCTTTAAGATATGTATAAGAAAAAAATTTATTCGGTATGTTTTTGCTTTTTTGATTTTTTATAACTATGATTCACAACAAAAAAATTCTCAATTACGTGCCATAGTGAGCATTATGTATCCGACTTTTTACAGAATTTTTGTGTGTCATTAAATAGGGAAAATAGAGGAAAAACGGATAATTCGAATTTTCACCGTGACTACCCTCCTGGTTGACACAGAGGGTCAAAAATTTGGTACAGATTTTTTTTTTTTTGATAAGCTATCGAATGGTGTATCATAGATCCAAATCGGTCTAAGGGCACTTTTGATCCCCTTATCCAGATATACCCTTTATAAATACAACTATAGTTATATTTGAATGTTGAAATTGGAAATAAAACGTAATGAAATTTCATTTGTTTACATAATAGAAACATATTACTTATAATTTTTTGTTATTTATTATGCATTATACAATTTTGATTACATTAAAGATACAAAATGTGTAATGATTATGAGAATCATATAAATACAGTAATTTCATGAATCTAATTATGAACAGTCTGTAATGTAAAGCACAATTTGTATAAGTTTGTACTCATATTACAAACAATTTATTTATTTTTTGGCTACCTTTGAAATAGTACATATTGTTGTAAATAGTACAATCGAGTGCTTAAGGCATTTAAAATTATGTGAATATAATGTTCATGTAGATAAATACAGACAAATTTTATCAGTATGATTAATATTGTTTCATATAATTTATTGAATACAATTAATGATGTATTTATATAAATGTAAGACATGTTTTAAAAATATTTTATATCTATTCCACAGGTTTTAATGTAATAAATTTTGAAAGAATAAATGCAACTAAAAATGTTCCTGCTACAAAGCAGGCAACAAAAATATACCACGTTTCTTCATCAAAGATGTCTGTAAACGCTGGAACCTGATTATAAAGAGTATCTATAAGTTTCATATTATAATTTTTACTACTTGTGGTATAACTAGCCATTTTATAATCAATTGCTCTTTACACTCAAAAGTTAAAATGCTTCTTTTTTAGCAGAGTAGGGAGAGAAAAAACAATTAAAACAATTTAATTATCATGAAATAAAGCAGTTAATTTTTCACAGACTTTAGCAAGTGCAGATACCATAAAATTTATGTAAAGAAAGCATAAAAATAATTTTGGACATTTATCAACTTCTTTTGTTTCTGTTACTTCGAATTTATATATTGAATGCAATCAGAACGCACTTTTCAATAAATGTATCATTACTAAGTCTCTCTTATGAATTGACAATGTAGGTCTATTTTTCTATGATACTCTTTTAACAAAAAAAATAGAAAATTATTCATGTTTTAAATGAATATAATGTTGATTTCAACACCTACTCTTTAAAGATCTTTTATTCTGTAACCTGTATTTATGTTCATGCCCAGTTATACTTCAATATTTGCAAAATTACTAATATATACGAAAACTGTTAAGTTGCCAATAAACTTATAAGAATACTCCTCTATTCTTGGACCATCGTTTAAGTCTGAGTTTTCCGCGTTTCTTCTTTTTCTTCTCTTCAGCTGGTATTTCACTTTCAGTTTCAGGATCAGGTGGGGATAAAGGTGTGATATGTTTATTGTAAAGTTCCAAAATATTCAGAGATGTCAAATTTGTACTTTTGATTACCACACTATCACCTGATACTAGAAGATAGAAACACAAGAATAGATGTAATTTATGCCTTTAAAAATGTCATTTATAAAAACTTTGAACAATCTTATCAAATCCTTATTATACTACCTTTCCTTATTGAAAGAGTTTTTAATCATTTTTCATGTATATTAAAAACATAAAGAAATCGAAATATTAATTAATATATAATTATTTCTAAGAAAGTTGTAATACTTACAGAGTTTAAATGTAACTAGGGGCTCAGACAGATCAGAAACTATTTGTGGTTTCACACTGCAGCGCGGATTTGTTGCAATAATCTTTGGAGTTGTGATGTGAAAGAAAAAGTCTCTGTAAACACATATTATATATACAAATATTAATTAAAATTTATTACTGATAAAATTGAATGAATGTTATTAATGTATCACACAATATTAATCTGAAAACTAATTTTAATTTTGTCATATAAAAAACATTTTGTTTTATATATTTGGTAATTTCTATATTATCTTTTATTGTTTGTAGTGTTTTAGACAAAATGGCGCAAATGGAACAACAATTACCACTTCAAACACCTGATTTAAGTACTATTCGTATAAGTACAGCTGTTTCCATGCTTGGCAAAGCATATGGATGTGGACAATGTCATGGTCATGGTAAGTTTAACTTGTTTATATAGTTTTGTAACTTATAAGAATTACTGAATTATTAACAAAATTTAATAATTACTTTACGAAAAAATGAATTTTTATAATAAATATAATAAATATTTTTTTTAGTATTTTTGGGTAGGTGTAAAATCATTAAATTCATAATTAAATATTTAAATAAATTAGAAGAATGATATTAAATACCGAGTAATACAATTGTAAACATTTTACAATTTAAAAAAAAAATTCAAAAATAAATCAATAATTCACATGTTCTATGGTATGGGCATTTTGATTACATTGTTACTGCAATGCTATAAACAAATATTATATTGTTCATAGGTTCTGCTAGATTCCCTTAGTTTTTTTTTAAATTACCATGTATACGGATATTAATACAAATACAATATAACGTACAGAGGGAGATTGAATCACGTAAGGAGCTCCATCCTAAACCCTCCATTACTAATTCATGGTCCTAGAGACCAATGTAGCCCATACTTATTGATAACTGCCAAATGAATGAGATATGTTACTCACACGTTTCAGTACCTTCCTGCCTAGTGCTTGCATATTCAATACATGATCAGGTTTGATCAATGAAGGATTAGCATTGAGTCACGAGCGGAATTAGTCTGTGAGATCAAAGTTAATATTCGTGTAACCAAAAGTATAATGCAATACTTTTCATAACTTTGTGTCTTTGAACATGTGAATTCTTCAAATTTTTAAAATGGCAAGAGTAGATTATGAAAAAAAACAACAAAGATTCCTATAATTATTCGATGAAGCAAAAACACATCCAGAGGTTGAAATAGATGATGACGACAAAAGTCTAATAGATGATTAATTGGAAACTATCGACACTGATACTCAATCTGAACAAGATTTTTCGGATGAGGTTGGAACGATTATAACAGAGGGTTCTAGTCACAAGATTTCTTATGACAGACTTGAATAAATCATATTTTTGAAGCCAAAACTTTCTTTTTGAAAATATAGGTCTCAGAGACCAACATTAATAACAACGTCTTATGAATCCATATTAATAGCAGAAGGTTAAACAATAATGGTTTAAATCAGTGATGAGCAAACGGCTGTCTGTCAGTTATTCATTTGTGGCCTGCTAATTACTTACTTGCAGCCTGCTGCAGTTGCTTATGTGATCAACTATACCCAGCTAAAGTGAAAAAAGTTAAGTAAGAGCTAAAGTAAATTAATAAATTGCATTTTTAAGATTGTGGTTACAGCGGCTCATTTGGATTATTAGATTTTCAATTTTGGCCTGCTACAAATCAAGGTTCCTTATCACTGGTTTAAATGATTGAACAGTTTTTCTAGAAATACAGACGAGTACATCGTCTGCTGCTAGCCACCGAAAAGTTTATAGTGCACATGCGCGTACCATTGACGTCACTAGATGAGAACTAAACCTCTTAAACAGTTAATTATTACTTTTTTTGAACATAAATGCAATTTTATCTTTCAAAATAATACATTTGTTTCGACATTTACCGTACTAAATTATTCATCGCATCAGTTTGTCTAAAAACAGTCGAATACTGTTCTTTTTTGAAATCGATTTTTATACTCATACAATTTATGCATTAGTATAAATGTGTGACTAATAGTAAACTCTGTATTGTATGCTATAAATTTAAAAAAAGGAACTCGGTTAACTATGTCTAAATCAGTTGATTAATGTCTAAAAAAGAATCCATGTCAAATGAAGTTTCTCTCCACTAACCTCGTTTGTAGAGCATTATCACCGAAGGGATCAAACTTTATGCTAATAGATTTTACTGGCTTTAGAGACAATTTTCTCAAGTGTTTTGCAATTGCACTTATGACTCCTTTTGAACGTGAACGAGTACCACTAAAAGGGATCGACATTTCGGAAATCCAGCACGCAATCGCGTGTACTATATATATCGTCAGTAGTAGAGCTCTAGGGGAAAAACTGCGATCGCAGTGCCGCTATAAGAGGAAACTTTTGTATCATGAAATTATAATGTTATTATGATGAAAATGATAATTTTAATGAAACACGTAGAAAAAATATCCTACATTGAGTTTTGTATTTTATATATTTTTTTAAACTTTGATCTGTTGTGATAAAATGATTTTAAGCGGTGTTGTTACACATTCCAGAATAACTGTTAGTGTGAATTTATAAATTCGCAACTTATGATTTTTTTGCGGTATTCGTTTCGAAATTAAACAATTGAAATGATTCGTGGAAACATTATAATACCAAATGTTACTAACTACAGTTGTATTAACTCTGCGCTGATTGGTTCGGTTAAGACCAATTACAATGGAGCTAGTAGCAGCCATTGTAGAAGTAGTCTCCAGTAGTCTCGTTTGCAGTGTGTCGTGTGGTCAGTGGGTTTTGTGTTAAATTTTTCACTTATTTATTAGTGGTTATTTGGTATTTTTTACCGTCAACAGTAAAAATGCATCCTGTTGGACGACGTAAGTAGTACAGTTTATTTATTCTGTTCTGCAATATTTAAATATGTTTCAAAATTAAATTTCCTGTATTTGTCTAAGCAGGAGAAGGTATTGTTACTCAAGCAGTTCTAATTCATTGTTCCTTGTTTAATTACTACATAATAATACAAATTCATTAAAATCACGAATGTATTAACGGATTTCATATCTAAGAAACTAAAAATGAGAATATCTAACGAAAATGTATAAAAGATCACGAATAAATCACTTCCGTAGGTACTTTGTGTCGTCAGTTTTGATCCGTCAGAACACGGGTAACGCATAATGTAGAATTGTTTGAGTATTTAGAAAAATAAACTTGACTCAAATACTCACATATAACAAACAGCTTGAATAAAATTGTCCTATTCAAATGATTTCAGTATTGCAAAAAGAAATCAACCTGTTCGATTAATGGTATAGGGTTAAAATTTTCGAACGATTCGAATGTAAACTGTGAAGTGTAATTTTTTCTAGCTGTAATAAATTTTACATATGTACTTACGAAGTTTTGCTTTTATGAAGTAACAGTATGTCAGTTTTTTAATTTTTTTTTTGTCTTTTTCAAGAACAGCTTTTGTTTGTATTAATCGAAGTGTCACAACTAGAATTCAATTGTATTTACTCGTGTAAACGTTCGAAAATTCTCCACTGAATCCTTAAAACAGGCAACAAATTTGGTTTTATTATTGACATACAAGTGGTTTGAGTATTCTTTCTGAATTATTTAAGCCAATCTAATTTATGTATGCACATCATTTTAAAGATTAAACTTGACATGATTTTCTTAGTAAAATAATTTGTTTTCGTTTGAAATTTGTTATTTTGAAATAATAAAATAAATATATTAAATAAATTGTCTATGCATTTTTCATACTGTTTAGAAGCAATTAACGAAGATAAAAAGTGATGCTTAACTAACGATACATAGGGTTCATCTTACTTTATGACTTGAAATATTTATGTAACATTTCAATTTTATAAAAATATTTCTTACAAAAGTTGCATAGTTCTGAGGGGATTGACTACTACTAATAAATCCTTTAATGTTATTAAAGATAGTACAAACAGTGTTGATAAACAAGTGAAGCATTTCAAACAATCGAACATTACACAGAACTTTATTTTGTAATGGTACTAAAGATTAAATAGAAAATTTTGTACGACCTTTAGTAACCTTAAAGATTTTATTGTTGTAGATTCTTGAATTTGTCTTTAAAGTAGCTATTAGACTATACACTTAAAAACCTAGTTGACTTTAGTATCTCATTAATCTCTCCAATGGAATAAAACTATTGTTACTATATCCCGTCCTTCACAAAATGACATAATTTTTGTAGGAAACATTTTTATAAAATATTAAATATAGCACTGAGTTTAAGAAATAATTCTCAAACAAATAATCTTTGTTTTGTGAAATTATAAATTTAGTGATGCTGAAGGAACTTCAACAAGTGTATGGCTAGATAAGGGGTGTATAAGTGCCCTTAGACCGAATTTGGCTTGTGATGGATCATTCGATAGCATACCAAGAACTAACTGTCTTTACCAATTTTCAACTCTCTATTTTGACCAGGAAGTTAATAACAAGGAAAATTCGGATTATTGATTTTTCCTCTATTTTCCTAACGATATGCAAAAATTCTGTACAAAATTTAATAGATCATAGTTACTGGAACATGTGTTAGAGAATTTTTTTCGATTTTTTGGTTGGAAATCTGTCATACAAAATTAAAAGAAATAAAAAATGTTGAAAAGTATGGATTTCATATTGACAATGAATAATATGATTGTTAAGGACATAGTATAGGGTAATCATATTGTTAAGGGGATGATGACGACGAGGTTTATAAGATTTGCTATGTATATTGTAGGTTAATATACCCTTAAATAAATATTGTTCATTGTCATTTAGTTAGAAATTGGAAAAATATGTAATCAATGTAAAAAAAAAAAGTTAGTATCTGCTGGGCTCGAACCTACGTTCAAAAACTTCGCAGCGGTTCCGCAGTGGACGGGTAGCCGCTGTATCGACGGCAGTATTGGCAGTAGGGTAATTACGTTGGAATATAACAAATACAGCAGAGTTTTAATTCAGATAATTTAATTTTTACAATCTATGAACCGTTTTGCTCGATGCAGAAATATTTAGTGGTTATTCTAATGTAACCGATCAAAAAAATCCATTCTTTTGTCTTACATTTTCTTATAGATTGGAATCTTGAAAATTTATAGCTAAAGTAATATGGCGACATTCATAAAATTTTTGAACTTATAAAAGAATAAAGGACGGCACACAAATCGTATGACGGACTTTAAACGCGTTTTTCTCGAAACCACGTTTCCCAAAACAAGCGCACATTTTTCTTGGGAACCAATGGGCCGATCGACTTGAAATTTAGACTCACATATAGAGTACATTTCTGGCTATCGTTTGACCTAGAAAATTTTTGATATCTTCAAAATTACTATTTCTCCGGAGCACGAGCAGTAAAAGTTGTTTGGTAAAAATCAGACTTTCATTTTCAAAGCTCTGTTGTTTCGTCAATTTTTTTCAGTTTATTTATGTTAGGTGTAGCAATAACCACATTCATGGATTCAATGCTGTTTATTTCTTGCAGACGACTAGGACGGACGCAATCAATGCGCACGATTGAACAAATTTTTCGCGACATGACCTGCGCGCCTACTTATAAATTGTTAATAAGATGTCTTTAAAAAACGTTTGTTTTTACTTTAAACGTACATAAAAATATATGTAAAGTCAGAGTTTGCTAGGTTTGATAGTTTTCTTTAAATTAATTTCCAAAAGTCACGTTGAAAACGGCCGTCTACACTAGAATACCTCCTTAAAATCGTATAATATATTTACTTATAAAAGGAAATATAAAAATTCAAAGGACAAGTTAACTTTTTCATGAAAAAAACTTCGAACAAATCGGTATTCGATTTTTTAAAGCGTACCTTACTAAAAAATTGAAGACAGTAGTTACGATAATATGTCGTTACTGTAATTATATAATGTCTAGTTGCTTTAAAACTTCAATAAGATTCTGGTGTTTTTAATTTTGTACAACTACGATTTTTAACGAAAAAATCAGAAGTAGCTCTCTAACACGTGCTTCGATAACTACCACCTATCAGATGTCTTTGCATGTCATTAAATAGAGTTAAAGGAGGAAAAGTGAATAATTAAAATTTTTCCTGTTACTACCCTCCTGTTCGAGATAGAGGGTTAAAAATTAGTATGCATTACTCTTTTCTTGGTGAACTATCGAATGGTCTATCATAAGTCCAAATTGATCTGAGGACATTTTTGAACCCCTTATCCGGCTACACCCGTTACTGGATTTAGTAAAACTCTATTGTCTATGATTGCTGTTTAAAATTTTCGTATTTAGTTATTGTAAAAGTCTTCATAGAATTTTTTTTTAAATAAACGAGAAAGAATAATTATTGTACAAAGGAAGTTATTCAATTCAGTATGAGATACTTAGTATTTTCAATGAATTCTTTCAATTACGAAAGTTCCCACCTGTACCGAATCTGTTAATTAATTGCTATGATAAATCGGAATACAATAGCAATACGTGCTATTAGTATATAGCAGTAAATGAAGCTTTGTATGAAAAAATATTACTCCACATTTTCGACTTACTTGTTTATGTAGAATTACATCCTTGCTAATTATATGTATTACTAGTTTTTGGACCCAGAATTTTACTAATTGCAGGCAACTGTTTTATTTTCTCAAACATTTTTTCAGTGTTAAAACATATTAGAAATTATTTTCAGAAGTTAGTTCTGCGGGTATTATTTAGTATTTTCATAGTTGATATGAATATTGGTGTAATTAATGATAAGTATTGTAATTACAGTCGACCTTTGAACCACCCGGTAATTGGGACGTCGACTTCTCACTTAATTTAAAGTTCGTGTAAAATTTGTAACTCCCCAAAATCTTAACGATTCATAATAGCTTTCCATTAACCGGAAGCCTTATTTTGTTACATTCGCTCAATTATTATACCGAGAGGGAGAGGGAGGGGGGGAGTAACACTTGTCCTGAAAACCGGAGAACGCATTTTAGTAAATGCTTTATAAAATATTTCAATTTATAAATTTTACAATTCGTTATTACGTTTTTTTTTATACAGGGTGTCCCAAAAATGTCCTCCGACCCGGAAATGGGGCACTCGGGGGGTGAATTGGAACAACTTTTTCCTTAGAAACAATGTAAACTGAGGCTTCGTTACCGAGATATTAACGAAAAACCGCGACCAATCAGAGCGCGAGTTTGCCAGCCGAGTTCCCGCGCTAGCGGTGGCTACGCGCTACGCTTGTACTACGAAGCTCCGAACAAGTAGGTCACCATGCATCGCAGGAAACCGCGTATAATAATAGCAAATAAACAAGACGTAACAAATAAAATCATACTTTTTATCATCTGTCGTTTGTTATTTAAAGAGATTAATGAATGAAACGTAAATGTAGGCAAATTATGTGTAACGTAAAAAGACGAATGCACATTTACATTTTTGTAAATTCCTTTTTACGAATTTGTAAATTTCCTTTTCAAATAACGTGTGAACGAAAAGGTAATGTAACAGAGAATACACGAGAAGTGATCGTAATTTGGTATTGGTATAAAAATTCGTAGTTTAATAACTGTCAACAATGTTACTGATAATGAATAAGTTTCTTCAAAAAGCCCGAAGAAAAAGTTAGGTACAGAAACTTGCAGAATTATCGCCGGAAATAAGCCATAGCTTGCGTTAAATTAAGAAAATAATAATCAGCAATAAATTGATTAGAACTCACCCTTTCGGAAATTCACCTGCAGTTTGCAAACCTGTGTCACTAGGTCACTGAACCGATCCTGGTCATCGACGGCCGAAACGGTTTATGGCAGGGTATGGCCCAGTTCGCAGGTGATCGCAGGTATACCTCACCAGCCGAAGTTAAGGGTTGTAACGTCAAGTGCGTCCTGGTTATTCCACAGAATACGTACTCGCTTCACTGCACGACCACTAACACTGATCACCCGACACAATCACTTAATGTATTTTTAATCCAACGTGTTGTTACTACGTTAGGAAAATTCGTGGCCTCGGAAAGGGCCGATTGTTTTCAATTTTTCAGATGTTTTACGTAACCAAACACTTGCACAGCAACACCCGCATATCCGTTATTGTGTACGTACCACCATAACATTGCGTAATACTCCCGTGAACTGAACATCTCTGTCGCCCGATTGCTAACCGACTGACAGAATTTTTCCTCTACCCCCAAGTAGTTTCCCATCGTTACATTGTGAGTTCACTCCCACCATGACAAGATTTAGGTAGAAAGAAACCAACGGTTCTAGGATAACACGTGCTTTGCAGAAGTGGAAGGAAAGGACCGTCGCGCAGTTTCTCCAAGGCGCCGTAGCCCGTTAATTTATTGCCAGGGTACCTACTCCTTCGAGATAGAAAACAGACATCACGTGCATCGGCTTAAAAATGTCCGAAATGAAGAGGACCATCAACGTATCCCTTGCTTCGAGTTGGAAAGTACAGTGTACATTGTCTATCTCGAGGAGCAGGGAAAAAAATTTACCGACACGTGTCAGTTGACGCTGCTTGGTCCTGGACGACCACCCTTGTAGAAGCCGGAGTGGAATTTTCGGTTATTTATGGCTTAAAATCTTCGGCCTCGTAGCAACCGTGAACTCACAACAGAATTGACAATCGACAATTTTATTACAACTTTGTGAAATTGTAGTTCTCATGAAAACATTTCATACGTATTTTTTTTTTTAGTATTCCGTCAAATATCTCGGAAATTATTAGAAATATAAAAACCGTATTCGTTAAATTCTTTTCCGTAAAATAAGCCTATCGGTAGGGTGATGCGGTTTTTCGTTAATATCTCGTAAACGAAGCCTCAGTTTAAATTTTTGCTAAGGAAAAAGTTGTTCCAATTCACCCCCGGAGTGCCCCATTTCCGGGTCGGAGGACATTTTTGGGACACCCTGTATAATGTAAAATGATTCTACGTGAAAAAGTAAGAAATATGATTTATTTTTATTGTATATCTGTTTTAAATGTTTTTATCTCCTTCGACGCAAATACGCTTCCAGTTGCTCCTACCCCCTAGGGAAAAAGCGTCCGAGTGTAAAGGGTTATTCTGGTTTCATCGATGTTGGCCGGTCTTCCGTAGCGCGGAGTGTCATTGAGGTCAAAGTGGCCCTTTTTGAAGTGCGAAAACCGCATCCGCATTGTTGTGCTATTCTATTCTTCTTGATTCCTTTAACCTACATTTTTGCATAAATTAATAAATCTAACAGAATAATTTTTTAGAGAAAGGAATGAGTTATAAAACGGTATATAGCATTTAACCGTAGACACAATGGCATTATAAGAAAAACGTAATTTAAAAAGAAAAAACAGTATGGGTTTATCTTGTAACCCAATATATGTGTGGATAGTTATAATAATTTGCTGTGATATTGTTGCTATGTTTTCAGCTCCCCTATCTGGATCTTCGACAAGTGCTCCGGTCGTAGGAGGACCCGAAGCAGCTGGGAACAATGTTGTGGCTTCCAGTTCCTTAGGACTTGTACCCATACAACAGACACACACACCACCGCAACCTCCTGAACTGCCAAGTAAGTGTTATCAAATTTACATTGTATCGCATCCTTCCTTCACGGGTTGTCCCATAGACATATACGTATGGACGGAGCGGGGGAGTAAGATTCGCGGTAAGGGGGTGGGTAGTGGTAAATCAGGTAACTTCGTTCCTTTTCGGTGTTATTCGGGTATACAATCACGTTACATACATGCATACTATGAGAGATAGTTGAAAAGAATACATATACGTTAAAAATTCCGTATGTCATGTAGTTTTTATAGATATATGTATTTAACAAAATAAATAGTATAAAGCTTTCTTTTTTTAAATAAAATCGTACTTGTAGGTGTTTGCAATAATGGTTATATTTTGAAAAATGTTCTAAGCATACAAAGAATGATGAGAATTGCTGATATAAATACGATTGATATGCCTAATTAATTATAAAGTGTGTGTACACACACATAGTAAAAATAAATATATATTTAACGAAAAGAATAAATGAGACACTTATATACATATATATTTTTATTGACCTTTAAATAGTATTAATTTATTAAATTTATGTCTATCACTTATATTAAAATTTTGTATCTCCTGCGTTAATCTTATGTTAGCATATAATTTTATGATAATGCATAATAAATTATGTATATGATTAGTAAAGAAACATTGATCATTTGTATGTTGTTTTAATGGTAAGAAAATCTTTGTGTCAGTTAGATTTTCCATTATGTTATATGTAAAAACATCCATTAAGATCGAGCCGAATGCATTCGAAGCTAACCGACGTACCTCTTACGACCGCTGCCTTTTCCCCTCCAATCCTACGGTCCCCTCGCCCAAAATGGTAGCTTATGCTCCGTCTATACATTGTATGTATCTATGGGTAGTCCTCAGGTGCGAGGGCGAAGAGGCGTCGGTGGTATGTGACGGGTACGGCGATACCACGATCAGGGTTGGGGGTAGGTACGGCACAGACGAGGTATAGGAGTAGACATTTCATCCAATGTATTTTTTTTCATCATGTCCATTTTAGTGTCACTACCCATCGCAGATTCACCGTTCTCATAACGTAGAGATCGCTAAAGTCACAAGCTTTTTAAGGTGTTGGTATAGCTACTTCAAAGACATAGCGTTAGCCATAAACGTGGCCGACCCTTAAACCATTAATAGGATCGGGGCCCACTGTGTCCCACCATACTCAGGGTCGTACGCCATTCTTAGCTATGTGGTTCCAAGGAATAAAACGAAAAAGACTGGAAGATTTGAAAGTAGTTTACGTCTTCGTAAGCTTTCATCAAGAATAAAAGGGCCAGAAGTATTTTAAATCGGAAATTAGTACGCTATAAGAACTTGTTTAATTACATTAAAACGGAAGAACCGATCCCAAATTGGCGTCTCACGCCCCTGAACGATGGTTGAGCACAGTTTTTACAACTCAAGGGTATCGAGTGACACGATTAGGCTACCGAAACACATAAACTTTAGGGTCGGTCAGTTTTATGATTCAAAGGGTGGATCAATGAATGGAAAATCTTAATCGTAAGCCAAATCCCACTTTGTAACTGGCAGGCAAAAATGAATAGTAAAGTTATGAATTATTAAAGATATTTTAATACATATTTATTCGTATCAATATATATTGGATAAAAACTAAAAAAAAGCGCGTGTAGATAACGAAAAAAAAAACAATAAAAATATAGCTGAAAAAATGTGTGGAATCAGGAGAAAATATGCGGAGCCCACTGTATAATACTTAGTAGCATAGTACTAGCTGCATAGTTGCCACCCACCAAATTTCTATACTGATTCTTTCAAAAATACTTGAGTTGGATTTTCTCACTTACATAGATTACGTATCTAACTGGGTACTACAAACCTACAAAGTATGAAAAAAATCGGAGAGGGAAAGGTCGTGTCCACCTCTTGTGAATGGATGAAAATTTGAAGCCAGTTTTTTCTAGATCAAGCAAATAACCTATCAAGTGACAATTGTACAAATTGCTGAGAAGTATTAATGGATTTCCCTTTACATAGGATAATGATATCGCCAGCAAACACTTTTGTGATAACTGGAGTTATTGATTATGGTTCATTGATTCTACAAGTTTCATTAATAACTCTGAGAAACAGTGTTACACTGAGGACGGATCCCTATGGTACACCGTTTTTCTTACCATTTCCTTTTCGTACCATTTCCTTAAGCTTGATCAAAGTTCGGTGTTCCCACACCATATCGTAGGCTTTCTCAACATCTTGGCTAACAGCGAGAACATGTTGGTTATTGGCAAAGGTTTTTTGGATGTGCGTATTAAAACTAACTATGTAGGTGTGAATATGGTGCTGTGTCCGATTCGAGATTGATTCCTGAGGTGATTTGAAACAACTTTTTCCTTAGGGAAAAAATTCTCGGAGGCTTTGTTAACAAGATATTATGGAAAAACCCCAACCAATCACAGCACGAGTCTATCAGCTGAGCTCCTGCGGTATCATTGGCTGCGCGCTACCGCGGGAGGTCAGCGGCAGACTCGCGCTCCGATTGGTCGGGGTTTTTCGTTAATATCTTGTTAACAAAGCCTCCGAGAATTTTTTCGCTAAGGAAAAAGTTGTTTCATATCACCCCAGGAATTACCCCTTTCAAGGACTTACACCTATGTTGGGACACCCTGCATATTATATTTAAGTCTATTTAATTAGATACGTATACGTATAGTCATAAAGAATTCGACTTCTAAACATGGAATACGACGACTTCTGTAGCTGTGCCAAAATGATATAATACCTTGTAATATATATATATAACAAGTTACAAAGCATCGTTTACGAAGATTTTTTCTAGTACATTCTGCTTTTTATTGTACATTGTTTTCTAATTAATTGCGTGAAATAGACTTTTGACATATTAATATAAAGAATATTAATATAAAGTTAGAAAATTAATAAAGGAATACATTGTTACAGCGTTTTCATGTCCTCGGAGACCAGACATAGGACGTGAAGGCAAACCAATCAATTTAAGGGCCAATCACTTCCAAATTACTATGCCACGCGGTTATGTACATCATTATGATATTAATATTCAACCTGATAAGTGTCCTCGTAAAGTTAATAGAGAAATTATAGAAACAATGGTACATGCAAATAGCAAACTATTCGGAACTCTTAAGCCTGTGTTTGATGGCAGAAATAATTTATATACAAGAGACCCCATACTGATTGGTAACGACAAAGTAGAATTAGAGGTAATTATAATATCAGAACAGAAGTTCTGTTTCTATTATACAGGGTGTTTCATTTAACTTGACAAATCTAAATATCTCGAGAAATACGCATCGTACAAAAAAAATGTTTCAAATAAACCCTCAATATTTTGATAACTAAATTAGCACGCCCCTGGGGGTAGGGCGTAGGCAACTTTGGAATCTTAAATGGAAACCCCCATTTTTTATTGCAGATTCAAATTCTACGGAAAAAAGTACGTAACTTTTATCTGAAACGTTTTTTTTTTTCGAATCATGATAGATGGTAGTGGAGTCGGCGTAAATTAGCTAATCATTCGATTTTTACAATGGGAACCCCCATGTTTAATTTAACATGCTTCAAAGTTAATCAAATATTAACGAGGCGGAACTTGTTTTCGGCGGAAATGTTCTCTCAGCATCGGGGTGCATGATTAATTACTTTATTCTCTACTGTTAGCGCTACCCAGGAACAACAACGTGGACGTAGTCGTTTTCGGTTCCCTTCGGGGTGCTTTTTTTTTAATAAAGTAGTTAATCAAGCATCCCGATGCTGAGAGAACATTCCGAAAACAAGTTCCGCCTCGTTAATATTTGATCAACGTTGACGCATATTTAATGAAACATTGGGGTTCCCCTAGAAAAACTTAAATGATTAGATAATTTACGCCGACTCCACCGCTATCTATCACGATTCGAAAAAAAAAAAAACGTTTCAGATCAAAGTAACGTACTTTTTTCCGTAAAATCTGTATCTGCAATAAAAAATGGGGATTTCCATTTAAGATTTCAAAGTTGACCCCACCCTACCCCCAGGAGGCAGTGGAGGCGGGCTAATTTTAGCACGGGAGGATGGCCCATTTGAAAATATTGAGGGTTTATTCAAAACATTTTTTTCGTACGATGCGTATTTCTCGAGATATTTCGATTCGTCAAGTTAAATGAAACACCCTGTATATGTTGATGATCCTGATAACCATTTTATGACAATTATATTTTTACAACAGGTTACACTACCTGGAGAGGGTAAAGACAGAGTTTTTAAAGTATTTATAAAATGGATGGCTCAAGTTTCACTATTTGCTTTAGAAGAAGCTCTAGAAGGACGTACAAGACAAATACCATATGATGCTATACTTGCTTTAGATGTTGTAATGAGGCATTTACCATCCATGACATATACTCCAGTAGGTAGATCATTCTTCAGTACGCCTGATGGATACTATCATCCCTTAGGAGGTGGTAGGGAAGTCTGGTTTGGTTTCCATCAGTCTGTTAGACCATCACAATGGAAAATGATGCTGAATATTGATGGTATACATTTACCATTTTTGGATTAAGTATTCTACTTATCAGTATTACATACTCTTACATTAATTAGTTATCTTACATATGGTCTATCTTTTGTAGTATCTGCAACTGCATTTTACAAAGCACAACCAGTTATAGAGTTTATGTGTGAAGTGTTAGATATTCGAGACATAAACGAACAAAAGAAACCACTCACAGATTCCCAACGAGTTAAGTTTACAAAAGAAATCAAAGGACTTAAAATTGAAATTACACACTGTGGAACGATGAGGCGGAAGTATCGAGTGTGTAATGTTACTCGCAAACCGGCCCAAATGCAGTCGTAAGTATATACGAAAACGATTTTAATATTATACAAAGTATATTTGATGATATTAATTGGAAATTTTAGGTTTCCACTCCAACTAGAAAATGGACAAACAGTTGAGTGTACCGTTGCAAAGTATTTCTTAGACAAGTACAAAATAAAGTTGCGCTATCCACATCTTCCTTGCTTACAAGTCGGACAAGAACACAAGCATACATACTTGCCACTTGAGGTTTGTTGAATATAGTTTTGTATCTATAATTAATGATTAAGAGATTACACCAGGTTGAAGGACTCGAGCAATGGAAAAATTGTTTTAATAAAGTGAGATCACCTGATCATAATTATTTTTCGTTCAAACTTGTAACAATGTTTTACCAATTTTTTTTACTATGCAGTGAATTATAGTTAACATGTGATTTTGTTTATTAGTTACTTTAGATTTTGATATTAAAAATAAGCGTTTTTCATTTCCGTGTAATAAATCAGGAAAGAGTTTAAACAATCGCTATTTTGGTATTTCTCGATTTAGAAAATTCCAACGTTAACCGATAAACTACATATTCACGATTAAAAGTATATTTTGAAACTTTACTTTAGTAGCTAAATGGAGCATACTTCACTATTATATTACAATATTATATCGACGTGCGTTATGAAAACTAGCATGCTTCAGTTTAATGCACGATTTGGGACTCTAAAGGGCTAAAGGGTATACATAGCAGGATAAGGGGGTCGAAATTGCCCATAAACCGATTTGGGTTTATGATATACCATTTGATAGCTTGTCAAGAAAAAACGGTCGGTGCAAAGTTCAACCATCTATCTCGATCAGGGGGGTAGTAATAGGGAAAATTCGGATTATCGGATTTTCCTCTATTTTCCTGTTTAGTGACGCGTAAAAAATCTGTAAAAAATCTAATTGATAGTATTTACCGGGGCACGTGTTAGAGAATTTTTTGCGTTCTTTAAATGAAAAATACATTTTTCTTATTGAAGTTTTAACGGCACCACGTTTATCATTTGACAGTAGCGACATATTATCATAAGTAGTGTCCTCAATTTTTTAATGATTTTTTGGAAAGGTGTGTCGTAGTTGAAAAAATCAGAAACCGATTTTGTCGACGTTTTTCCGTGAAAAAGTAATCATTACACTTCAAACCTGGTGTAACATCTTACTATATTTGTAAGAACTAAAACTATTCTTAGTAGAACTTTCTAAATGTTTGTCCTACAGAAGAATGAATATTAGCTCTTAGTTGTTGGATTGTCATAATATCGCCTGCCTTTTTTAACATGTTCACTGCATATGTTGCTTGTTTTTCTTGGTATTACATTTATGAAACAGTGTCAGAAACATGGCAAGAAAGATACTAAAAACAGGAAAAAATATCTCCTTGTTGTCTTATAATTCTCCCATGAATTAATAAATAGTAATCGTTAACTATAAATTGGTTCAGCTCGCTGGGGACATCGGCAATTTAATATACGCAGAGAACGTGTTAATGAAGTCAGTTTTGAGACATACACATGCGTACGTGCGCGCGCGTGAAGCTTCCGCTAACGGCCGGTCGTCTAAAAATAGATGCTAAGGATCACGGACGGTTTGTCTGTAGTGAAATTTTCTTACTTAGGACGCAACGTAGACTCTCTCAACATTATTAATAGTACTTAATATTGTAAACAACTATAAACAAAATATAATACTTACGTAATGTTTTTCTCTCAAATGGAAATTGAAGGCGTCAGTTTTGGACAGTAGTCTGCGCGGGAGTCGCCGTCCGATAATGTGTTAATAGAGGAATAGAGATAGCAACTTTGTGCGTACGCGTGTGTGTATATGTATATAATATATTTGACAGTCATCTGTTATTAGGTGTGTAATATTGTTGCTGGTCAACGTTGCATCAAGAAATTGACCGACATGCAGACGTCTACTATGATAAAAGCAACAGCCCGTTCAGCTCCAGACCGTGAACGAGAAATAAATAATTTGGTTAAAAGAGCTGACTTCAATAATGATTCATACGTTCAAGAATTTGGTCTGACGATATCAAATAGTATGGTGGAAGTTAGGGGTCGTATTTTAGTCCCGCCTAAGTTGCAGTATGGAGGGCGCGTAAGTTCCCTCAGTGGACAGGTGAGAGACTTCCAACTGAATCAGTCAGGTCTAGCCAAATCCCACATTTGCAGAGGCTCTTGTATTATTTTTGGTAGGGATACATTTTGTTCAATACTCTACAATATATACTTATTACGTACAATTCCGTTTATCCAAAATCTTCTATATTTATAAAACAAATTTGTATAGATATTTCTGTTTGAGGTTTATCAATAGAACTCCTACTCTCGTAGAAAGATTTTCGAAGATTTAAGTGGTATACTTTGGTCTTGAAAACTTCAAATAATATCAATTTTACGAAGGTTCTAAGCTCAGTTTTATTAATTCCATTTATTTGGCTGGTTCACGAAAAAAGTTACTTTTAAAGAGCTGAAAATTATTCGTACATTACAAAAAGTTGTGGAAACTTTATAACAATACTTTCATAATTCAATTTTTGCAAATAGCATTGTTGTGTGCCGGAAAATGCAGTGATGTAATCGCATTTTTAAAAATGACCTAAGGCATCTTAAGTCGGGTCTGTGCTATACAGAGTGTTAATAAAAATGTAAGTCACTGTCACAGGGTGCATTCTACATGCCAAACTACATAATTGGAAGACGAAATTGGTTCGAGGCTTTATTTCGGAGATATTAATTGTTGAAAGTACAAGCGAAATATGCGTAAAGCAGTCCATACACAACGTGACCGGTCTTAGAGACGGTCTCATGAGACTCAGCGGGCAGAAAAAGACACCTAAGTCTCATGCGATCGTCTCAGGAGCCGTTTTGATAGAGTATAGCCTACTTAAGTCTAACAATAAACTAAGACTATTTATTTCATTAATACCAGATATATACACATTTTACTGACGCTCGCTCTTGTACGTTTCACGCCCCCTCTCCCCCCCTCACCCTTGGGCCTTTCACTCGTCACCTGAATGCATTTTCGACATTTCTGATTGTCGTTTTCGTTTGACATGCAGAATCGACCTTATGAAAGTTTCCCAGATTTTTATTAACATTCCGTATAACAAAGCGTTCTTATACACACAGAATGTTTTAGCTAACCTGATCACCTCGAATAATGACTTATCGGTACGCTTTATTAATATTTTGAGGCGTGGAACTTAAATGACATCAAGGGGCACATCTTATAAGGTACGTGCTCTTTTTGTGAGTGGAGGCACTTCAGAGATTTCAAGGTCACCTTGATTTTTGTAACAGATAACGTATTTTTTGTACCATAGGTCGATGGAGTATCAAATTATGAGTAAAGATGTGCTGACCTTCATACGCCCTGAACCTAATAGTTAACGAGATATTTACAAAATAATGACTGTATTGACGTTAAGGGGCATCGGTTCGAGCAGCTATAGCTTCCAGATAGTAAGTACGTATTAACAATTATTTTGTAAATATCTCGTTAACTATTAGGTTTAAGACGTATGAAGGTCAACACATTTTTACGTAGAGTTTGATATTCTATCGATCTATGGTACAAAAAATAGTTCATTCCGTTAAAAAAATCAAGGTAACCTGGAAATCTCTAAAATGCTTCCGCCCACAAAAAGAGCACGTACCTTATAAGATGTGCCCCTTGATGCCATTTAAGTTCCATGCGTCAAACTTTTCATACAGTGTGCCGTTAAGTTATTATTCGAGATGATCCCGTTAGCTGGGACATCCTGTATAAGGTGTCTCAGCAAAACCTGAACAATTAAATATCTGGTATGCTTTTGATGATACAAACAATATTGAAAGCCCAGTTTGAATGGTTTCGACGAAGGAATACTGCGGGCGAAAATATTCTATACCCTAATTTTTTTATTCGACTTTTTCGTTTTTTTTTCAAGGTCATTCGTATTTTTTGGCAGGAAAGAATATATTTTTTTTCTATTGCATCTTATAGCGGATGGTGAAACACATTCAGCTACATTTAACATGGGAAGGCACGGAAGTGTCCGATCTCGATGAAACTTTGTACGTTTGTTAAGTAGGTAAAAATAAGGTACACGTATTTTTTTTTATCGGTTGAGAGGCAACTTTAAGGGGTGAGACCACCGCTCAAAATTTCGACCCGAAAGTCAGAAGAGATACATGAAAACTTCTAATGGGTGAGTTTCATGGTCTTTTATATACAATAATATGGTGCTGACAAATTTTATAACTTTATTTTACAACTTATTCAAATTTACGTAGTAACAAAAAGTGACGAGCGTTTCATTCCAAATTCATTGGTATATTTATGAAATTGTCTCCTTCGGTATCACAGATTTTTATTATTTATATCCTATGCGCACATATGCTGAAATACCACGCGATACTAAATCGAATCCTATCGAACGATATTACATCATCATCATCCAGGTGGTGGTAGTTGTATGCTAGGAACGCACCTGTGGGAGGGGAGATCGGTACCTCCCCTAAGGCCGCGGCTAATGTGGTTGAAATGGCAAGGCCTACCCATCCCTTTATGGAATGGAGTGCGTTACCTGGAGTAGTATTATTCTACCACCACTTCGGATCAGTCCACGACTTTCTTTAGGCCCCGGGGATATATGAAGGCACGCACAAATCCGTCCTTTATCTACCTAATTCTGTTAGCTTTTGGAGTAAGATATTGGGGTAACCGGATCATCGTCCCAAGCAAGAACCTGACAATCACATCTTGGTTGTTTTACCCTCACTCTGTTGTCCTTGCTGGTCTATTTTGTGAGCAGTCTTGCCATTGTCGTCCACCAGACTTTGCCGAAATTCCTGCAGAATGGGCTGAATCTCAGTTTCATCAGGACGTTGGTGACAAGCACTGCCGCCTGTCTTTACCCCCCCCCCCCCCCCAGAAAAGGGAAATTGACGGTCGTGCGATTTCACCGGACATCACCCAAATTCGCTTCCGTGGGTAAGAATATCAGTTTCATCAGGAAATCTCAGAGCCGTTGGTCTGGTTTTTGCGTGCGTACTGTCACAAACGAGATATAAGAATAGATCTAACATCTTATGGGATTTGGTGTCCCACGAAAATTACGCCGGTTCGAGCGCATTCCACAAGAAAATTTCCGGCTTCAGGAACTACGTTCGCCAGCGTGATGACTCAAAGCACACACACACACATCTGTGACAGCATATAACGATACATACTACCCTGTTCAAAAAGTTCCAGGACAAGTCAAATAATTCACGTACTATTCATTTATTTATCAATTTCTATTTTGTCGCCTTCAAAGCAATCCCTAGTGCTCACAATACATTTTTGCCAACGTTTTTTCCACTCTTCAAAACATCCCAAAAATTAAATTTCTGTGATGGCATTTAATTCTTTCAGTGAATTTTGTTTAATCGCCTCAATCGATTGAAATCAACGTCCCCGTAGCGGTTGTTTTAATTGGGAAAGAAGAAAAAAATCGTAGGGAGCTTGATCGGGCGAATACGGTGCTTGAGGAATGAGATTCGTTGAGTTTTTAGCCAAAAAGTTGCGAACAAGCATTGAGGTCTGGGCCGGTGCATTATCATGATGCCAAATCCAGCTGTCATTCTTCCATAGGCTGGGTCGCTTTTTATGAACTGAATCACGTAACCGCTTCATGACACACAAATAGTACTCTTTATTGACTGTTGTGCCAGTTGGTAGAAATTCTTTGTGTACCACACCGCAATAATCAAAGAAAACCGTAAGGAGAACCGCGACATTATAAAAATCGCCGCTCGTTGTAACTTCAGTTGACAAACTCAACTGCTGTTTATACACTATTCGACTGATCTGAAGTTGGCAATGCAAATATGTTCTACACAGTTGTGGTAATTACATAGAATAAAAATAAGTGATATAGTATTCTACTGTTTCTTGTAAACGAGACTGTCCTGGAACTTTTTTAACAGGGGAGTACACCCACGAGCAAACTCGGCTTCCTGTAGAGGAAAAAGTGGCGTAAGAAAAGAGCTTCCTACCATTTAGAAAAATTTATTTCAGATACTGAAATAAATGTTAAACCGAATGTTAATTTGGCATAAATTTCAGTAATTGCCAAAACTAAACGGTAGGAGGCCCTTCGCCTACCTCACTTTTTCCCCTAGCGGAAGCCGAGTTTGCTCGTCGGTGTACATACATTATTGCCCCGGTTTCGCTAACAAGGAATGGAATACTGAAATGGTACGGGGGTTTTTGTCGCCCTCGAAGCATGGGACAGAAAATTACATTGCATGTTATGTCTATTCTTATATCTCGTCTGTGGTATTGTGTATGGTATTTCCGAAGCTCCCGCGCAACTTGCGCCATTTTTTTCCAGTCGAGTAGGTGGTCATTGTTGCCGGGGGCCATTTGCCTTACCCTCCCAGAGTCCGATGTTCCGGCTGCGTGCCCAGAAGGCTGAAAAGACGGTCCCGGCCCTCATCGATGGGTGCGCCCGTTTGTAAGAGATAACTTTGAAGTGACCTTGAACACCAAATAAGTGATCATACTCTGAAACAATGTTGGGATAGTATGGGAATTTACTATTCATATCATAAACCATTACTGTTCAGCGTAAGGGCCTTTTAGGATCCTTTTTTTGGTGTCTTTTCGTAGACAAAGAAGTTCAGACTCCCGTCTCTGTTACTTTACTACAAGTTGGACTTTGCTGTTGTAAACGCTCAAAGTGATGTCCATCAGCCGCGGTACACTTTTTAAAATGAATAATCAAGAACTGTGATATTATATCAACTGTTCCTCGTGTGATCGCAGCACATCCTGTAATTAAGTATACGATTGTAAATATCTTCTTTTAGCTAACCCTAAAGAAAAAAAATCTATTGACGTCAGATCTGACGAACATACTGACCGTTATATACGTCCAATCCGGGGACGTATTTTTAATTGATTACATTGTGTAGCTACCTGTGTATAATAGGCTGGGCATAACCATCATGTTAGTGCCATGTAGTTCGACAAATACTTACTGACATATCTCTTAACAATTCATCCATATCATGTGATGAAGACGCTGTATATTTTTGTACATTTAGTATAATTATGTTTTTCTTTTTGTACATTGATTTTAATTTTTAAAATGCCGCACTAAATATGTACAGCCCGTGGTTTTTGTTTGCCTATTTGTCTCATCTATCGTGCATTTTCTACAGACCCATAATACACATGTCCACGATTTACGTGGTCATATCTACTATTTCAAAGGACGTGAATAATCGCTTGATTACAGCTTGTGCTGCGGTCATGTCAGAAACAATTAAAATACAGAGTGCGAAAATCAAAGAACGTGCCGCTCTAAAAAACTGTCGTGTTGACGCGCGCGTGTGTGTGTGGCTATGGGGCATCAGCAACAGTGAGGACCGATCGACAGATTACAGGTGCCGACGCGGCGGTTCTTTGGAGCGGTACAGTCTTTAATTTGCGCAGCGAGAGAATCACCCTATAGTGTCATAATCCGTGACTGCTCGTTTTGGAAATGTATTTATAACATAAACAGTAAGTTCACGTACAATTCTACCACTGTCTTAGAATGTGATCACTTTTTTGGGGGTACAAGGGCAGTTCAAGGTAACACCAAGGTGACTTAAAAGTCACCCCATGGTCATCTCTCGGACAGAGTTGAATGTGTTTCAACGTCTGCAACAAGATGCAGTAGAACAAAATATATGCTATCCCGCAAAAAAAGACAAGTGACTCTGAAAAAAATTCCCAAAAAATTAGGGTAAAAAGTTGTTTTTGCCGCAGTATTCCTCTTCATTCAATTGGGCTTTCAATATTTTTTATATAATTAAAAATAAATGAGACATTTAAGTGTTCGGGTTTTGCTGAAGCATCTTGTATAGCAAAGTTATAAAAATTCTTAAAATAGCGCAAGAAAAATATTATATAACTTTATGTTAAATAACATTTTTCGTGTTAAGCTGGGTTTACACTATACAAAGTATATAAGCGAAATAGTAAGCGAATATGCCTTTAAAAACATTTAAGAAATCTGAATCAACGAAAGTAATAAATATAAATATAACAAGATAGGTATTAATGCGCTATTGCCTAGCGTGAATTTAACTATCTTTTAAGAGTTTTACTTATTCTCTTCATCGTAGATGACATCGATATTCAGATGTGAAATACGACACGTTATGTAAGAAAAATAAAAACACATTCGCATAGAAAGGTATTGGTAAGAACGTACTTTAATAAGATGGTAACATCATACATATTAGTTCCGTAATGTTTCACTTAAACATTTCATAAGTGATAACAAAAATTAATAGAGAATTCAAACCTCGAAATGGTTTAAATGTATAAATAGTACTTTCCGTAATCTGAAGTCGCGAAAACAACACAGTATAAAAGAAAGATCATTCATCGACCTTAAAAAAATCTGGTAATTAATTTTCTGATCAGCCAACCAGTAAATTTTTTGGAAAAGATTATCACAATAGTTCATTAGACTATTTTGAAAGCGTTGAAAAACGAAATTTGTCTTAGTAAAAATGCTACAATTTGCACATATGAAGGAATCTTACGAACTGTGGTTCGGCCTTTCCGCAGAAATTTCCGAATTTTTATCAGTTTATTTTTTGAAATTAAAATGCTCAACCACATAAAAAAGGCTGATAACCATCTCGGAACATAGTTCGTACGAAAATTCGTAAGAAATATGCATAAAGGGAAAACTATTTTAGTATCAAGACAAACAGAATATTACTATTGTTTCTTTACATGGACGGCATAATTTCCTAAAATGAAGAATACTACATTTACTGTGAAAACAACGATTGGATATGTAATCGCTTGCTCTGAAGATTCACATGTGGAGATATCCCGAGCAGAAATCTACAAAATACCATATTCCATCGGATAAGTATATATTCGAGAAACCATGAAAAGTGTTAACAAAATATTTTTGATAATATTTATTTTACAAAAGGGATATGAAATGTGAATGTAATTTGATAAAGAGAAACATGAATCGGATCTTTGCATGCCTGGGTTAGTCTGGCATAAAGACAATTTTATATTTCTTATTTGTTCATCAATTTTTAATCTAAAGTGACATTTCTGTGTGATAAAATGGAAATATTGCAATCTTTCCCAAAATCATAATACAGTTGGCCTTCATTTTTTATATTTGAAATACATTTAAAAGAAATCAGTAAATTACCAAATGAATGCATGGGTTCTAGACCTGGTTGATTTTGATATTTGGGCTGTTAATGTAATGAAGATTTAAGTTATTTTAATAAAGGCAAGCGCATGATACACGGCAGTTATTTAGCTGTTGATATTTTTAAAAAAAGTTACATTTCCTATTAACCCTCGAACGGTATACTGCAATTTCGTTTAAACACACACTGAAATATATTTACACAAGGTATACAGTTAAATGTGTTACAGTCCGATATCTTCGAACTAAAATAACATATGAAAGCATCGGTTAGTTAGACGTTATTTGGAATTATGGAACAAAACTTTCGATGATATAAGCCAGGGGTGGCCAACAGGCAGCTCGCAAACACGCTGGCCCGCCGTCCTACCGGCCTGCTCTGCACATTGAGCTCTATCCTAATAGTCCAGCCGAATTAGACATGAAATGTATCATTTCATAAAAAAAGCTTTAATAGGTACTTTATTGCTTAACTCGATCGTATTTATTATTAGAAATCAGGATCTGTTCGAAGTAAGAAATGATTTGCAATAATAAACAATGCGAGACTGTATAATCGTCAAAATTAGTGCCTTTTTTTATTTGTCGGCTTATATCTTGGAATTGAGCGGACATGAAGGAAAATATACACTACAAAAGTTATAGGTAATTAAGTAATCTATAATACGAGATATACATATTTCGTTAAGATAGCGCCACTAGTTGAGCTGCAAATTACTTTTAAACACAAAAATTTGATATATTTTCAGACATTGAATATTTCTGTGAAAAGTGCGTGGATGCCATTGACACTCATAAATAAGATAGTCCTAGTATTCCCTAACAAGTAACTAACCCAAGTGGTGCCCTATCGGTTGAAAACTTTTTGTGTTAATATGTTATAAAGTGAAATATCCGACGTTTTCTGTAGGCTGTTACAGGCAAGGTACATCGTTACTTCCGGTTGTAATGATTTATCCATTACTTATAGTCTGTTTCACAAGAGCGTTGGAGCGATATCTGGAAAAATATTTTATATTTTTCAAAAATTTTAAAACAGGCTTGTAGTATATCTAAAACACTACCTTGAGGCGACCATGAATACTAAAAGGGTGGTTAAATTCCAAGACAGTGTTAGGATGGTACGTGAACTTATTGTTTATGTTTTCGGTTATTTTGTTCATTTACAAACATTAATTTACGTTCTTTGTACATCCGCACAGCTTCTCTCAAGCACTGTCTAGTTTCACCATAAATCAAAATTATTTCAGTCTTCTCTTGCTTGGAATAGTACAGTGGGCTCTAACTATATTGCCACTCAACATATTGCCATGTGAGGCTCTTCCCCTTCACACGCACTTTCGCGCGCACAAATTTGCTCTCCCACCACGTTGCGTACGCCGGCGCACCAGCACGATCCAGTTTTTGCGCAGTCGCTGAGGTCGAGGCTATGACGACAGAACTTAGTATGGAGGGGGCTCTGAACTCATTGCCATTTTACTCTCCTACAGTCCCGGCCATGGCAATATATATTAAGAGTCCAATGTATAATAATTCATCATGAAACGCTTATCGATACACTAATACGATACGCTATTCTCTTCGTAATTAGCTGGGAAACAAACCTTCAGCATATTAGTAGTGTGTTGATCAACATAACTCAAAAAACCTTCAACGTTTACTGACAGCACTCTACCACTCCAAACGTCATAATGAATCGAATAATTAGAGCTCTTGCTGCTATTACGTCAAAAACTGTTGAAAGAGTATCACAGTCCATGATTACTCGTTTTAAACAGAGTACCGCCACCGATGGACATCAGTTTGAACATTTGTAATATAAATAGTAAGTTCATGTATCATCACTGTCTTAGAATGAGACCACTTTTTTGGGGGATCAAGAGTACTTCAAAGTGACTTCAAGGTCATAACTCAGGCATGCTTGAATACATTTTAACACTCACTGCAATAGGCGGTAGAAAAAATATATACTTTCCTGCAAAAAATACCGATGATTTCGAAAAATTTGAACAAAAAATGACCATGGAACATTCCTTTTACTCGCAGTGTGTTCCTCCTTCGAAACCATTCAGATTATGTTTTAAACATTTTATAGTATCATTAAAAACAAAAGAGAGATTTAGATGTTCGTGTTTTGTTGAGACACACTGTACATGCAGTTTGCTGGGATAAGTCCAAATGGAGCTAGCGTTTGCTGTACAAGGGTTAATACAATTTACATTACTTTCACAGTCCAATATCACTTGATATTCCCTGATGGTACCAGTCCATTCCATGCAGCAGTAAAATGTATCGAATTTTTTTTTTTATTTATAGCCGTATTTTCTATGAAGTTTGCTTGATATTGTTTGAAACAATGTTTTTTTTTAGCTTCTACATAAAAACGAACAAAGAAGCAATGATTGCATGGATTGTGTAAAACACTGGTTCATCTACCTTGTTTATTTATTCGGTTCTATACTATATTTCATGATATTCAATGATATATATATACGTTTATATTTTTTTTTTTGCTAAAGACAAAACAGCAGGCTGTGCCTGCCCAAGGTGTTTGGGATATGCGCGGCAAGCAATTCTTCACAGGTGTGGAAATCAGAGTTTGGGCAATTGCTTGCTTTGCACCACAAAGGACTGTGCGTGAAGATGCACTTCGAATGTTCATAGCACAGTTGCAGAGAATAAGTAATGATGCGGGGATGCCAATTGTGGGGCAACCATGTTTTTGTAAATATGCTACTGGGCCAGATCAAGTAGAGCCCATGTTCAAGTATTTAAAAATGACATTTGCATCATTGCAACTTGTGTGTGTTGTACTGCCTGGGAAAACTCCCGTATATGGTAATTATACACATGTTTCAGTTTATATATTATAGTTAAACTGTGGATGCTTCTGCAAATATAGATTTTTGTAAACTATTACTTGTTTTTTCAAAGTATACTATCGTGGCACAAGCGTGTTGTGGCGGGGACCCAACGCGCTTTGGTCGTTGTCAGATTGTGAAGTACTACGTGTGTCTCTCCCCGTGGACCGACAAAGCAAATTCTTTTTTTATCGTTTTTTTTTAAGTCGGGTTTTTCGTTAATATCTCGTTAACAAAGCCTCGGATAACATTTTTGCTAAGGAAAAACTTGTTTCAAATCGCCTCACGAGTCTCCCATTTCCGGGTCCTCCAACATTTTTGTTACACCCTGTATATAATAGACTGTGCGGCCCTGTGGTAGGGATAAAGCGGCACTAGAGAGAGAGAGAGAGAGAGGACAATAACTGGAGTAGCTTTCTCCTCTTTCTAATAGGGCTGTTGGTGGAGGATTCCCCTACGGTTGTAGTGGAGGCATTACGTCTCGCGAATGCGATATCATCGCAAACCAGCCACCGCCTATCTTGGTAGTCATCTTTGAAAAAAAAAGATAATAAGTTACAGAAACTAGAATTGAAGAAATATTTGTACACTTTAATAAGAGTTCTATCAGGTTTCAAATAAAATAAAAACTCGATTAAACTGTATTAAATATTTACTACACCAACTTTAATTAACATTTTACTACATCGAATTTTGGGCAATCATAGAATACTGTAAATGCATACAATCCGCAGTATAATTATTATAAATTAGTAATATCATAGGATTCTACATTATTGTTCTGTCTTTTTTTCTGTAGCTGAAGTTAAAAGGGTAGGAGATACCCTTCTGGGTATGGCAACACAATGTGTGCAGGCAAAAAATGTTAATAAAACGTCACCACAAACACTGTCCAATTTATGCCTGAAGATTAATGTAAAACTGGGTGGTATTAATAATATTTTAGTACCCAGTATCAGACCAAAAGTATTTGACGAACCTGTCATTTTCTTTGGAGCTGATGTAACTCATCCTCCTGCTGGAGATAATAAGAAACCGAGTATAGCTGCAGTAGTTGCTAGCATGGATGCTCATCCATCTCGATATGCAGCTACTGTTCGAGTTCAGCAGCACAGACAGGAAATCATACAAGAACTTAGTTCAATGGTGAGGTAAGTGGACCAGTCAATTAAAATTTTTAAATACACTTAATGCAATATATCAGAAGTATTTGTCGTGCTTCTAAATGTTATATTGGATGTCCGTTTTAAGTGTCTACACTTGATTATTTCAAGGAAGAGAAGGAACAGAATACGTTGTCGTCTTAATTCGCATATTTTTCGTCACAGAAATTGCGCTATATATAATATTGTTTGAATGCAATGTTTCAATACTCAATAACTTTCGTGATTAAACTTTTTTGATATTTCTAAAAATAACGGAGATAGTAATAGTGGTAACTGTGATCGAACGGTGCATTAGCTAGCCCACCCTATATGTAGGTACGTCGAAAAAGTGAACGGGCGATTAGCGGGGAGAGCGCGCGGGTGATTGGAGCTCGCTTAATGCAGTATTCCTGGAAATTTAGCCCTCTACAGCCCCGAATACTGCAATAAACGAGCTTCTACTGTAACACAAAACTGATGTTCAAATAGTAACACTAGCAGCAAACTGCTAATATTAGAATAATGTGAATGTGTGTTCTTAATCTGCATTAATCTAAATTAGAGAATATTAATCACATGGAGATAATTTTATTTATTTCATTTCAAAGGATTGAACTTACTATATCTGTTTTTGTTAACTTGTACATTTCTTTTTAAGGGAACTTCTTGTAAGATTTTATAAGAGCACTGGAGGGTATAAGCCACATAGGATAATTCTTTATCGGGATGGTGTCTCGGAAGGCCAGTTTCTGCATGTATTACAGCACGAGTTAACTGCCATTCGTGAAGCTTGTATGAAACTCGAAGATGATTATAAACCTGGTGTAACATTTATTGTAGTACAAAAAAGACACCATACTCGCTTATTCTGCGCAGAAAAGAGAGAACAAAGTGGAAGAAGTGGAAATATACCTGCGGGTACAACAGTTGATATTTGTATTACACATCCAACTGAATTTGATTTTTATTTATGTAGTCACCAGGGTATACAGGTGAATTTCAAATGATTTTCCAAATTGTGTTTTATTTGACATGACATAAATGTGATATTATTTTCGGTTTAGGGCACGTCACGACCCTCACATTACCATGTTCTCTGGGATGATAATCATTTTGAAAGCGATGAATTACAATCTCTTACGTATCAACTGTGTCACACATATGTTAGGTGTACAAGATCTGTTAGTATACCTGCACCAGCATACTATGCTCACCTTGTAGCATTCCGAGCTAGATATCATTTGGTAGAAAAAGAACATGATAGGTAAGTAAAATGTTTTACTTATAGATGAAATACAGAATCTTAAAAACAAAAATTTATATTATTTGTACATAAAATAAGAAGTGTATAAGCATAAATAGTCTTAATATTCTGACTTTAAATACAAGAATACAGAAAAACTACATTCATTACGAATTATTACGTATATCGATTATTATAAATTGGTTTTAATTATATTTTACATTTGTTTTCACTAACAATGAAAGAAGGTTAATATTGAAGATTCGCCGTTTTAATACCTATGATAGACATGAAAAAATTACAAGAACAGGTGGAACCCTGTGGAAATAAACTTCTTTAAACGCAATGATGTCGGTAACTATCCGATAATACTCGAGTCGTACGAAACTTGTTTACCGGAAAACCACCGTTCCGGAAAATAACTACATTGTATAACGTACACGTGTTCTAAGTTAGAACTTTTAACACCACACGTTCACATTCGAACACAAACACTGATCTACAATCTTCCACGGTCCTTGATCTATTACTAAAAATTATTCGAATAAGTTGGTGTTTAATCTTATTGTCATTGGAATAATATAGCTAAAAGATATAATGAAAAATAATAAAATTTCTATTTTGCATTGGTAATTCCCATATTAAGTGATATTATATCCTTTCAAGTAGCTGTTGTTGCTCTATTTTTCTAACTCTGAATAGTTTACTTACACACAGTGAAAGAGATAGAAAACAATCTGTTGAAGACATTGTTTTCAATTTCTATACAGTAAATCCACTATTAAGAATTAATAATTGACAACCTATGTTTCTCATATTGCAATTTATGTTTTATATACTAAAATCTGGCTAACACATTTTTTATTTCGTTTTAGTGGAGAGGGTTCTCATCAATCAGGCTGCAGCGAGGATAGAACACCAGGTGCAATGGCAAGAGCTATCACAGTTCATGCAAATACCAAACGGGTTATGTACTTTGCATAATTTTTTTTACTCGTTGTACACACATGCAACTTATATCATAAGATTTTAATCATCATATCTTGCATGTGAATATTCCTAGATTGTTTTAGTGCTAGAAAATATTGCGTGACCAAGTTCTTGCTTATTTAAGTAAGTCTGCCCAATGTTCAAGACGCATGAAAGATTCTTGTATTGAGGTTAGTTGTCTTCTTTCTTTGTGTAAAATGTTTTATGTATGGTATCAATGACTAGGCTTTGGACAGACTTTTTACATTTAATATTTTATGAAGTAAGTTTCAAAAGAGGTGCTTTTAGTTAATCATGTTTTGGATTAGATTAAGATGTACGCAGCTTGACTGGTGAGTTATTTTGCTTTGAAGACTATAAACAGATAATTAAAGACATAAATCAACTGCCGTGCATATTATTAGTATCATTCTTGAGAATTGTTTATAATAATTTGAATATTGATTTCAATGGAAATACTTGATGAATTATTCGCATTGCAAATCATTGAAAGTGAAATGTATAATGGTGGTGAAATTCTTAGAAGATGATTAAATATGTAGCAAGTTAATTTAACTCTTTGCAGACAGATGTTGTTAAATAAGCAGCATCAGGTTTTATTGGTACGATCGGAAGTTATTATTAGAAAACTACAATAAAACAACGTACTTGTGTCTGTTCCTAAGATTTATGTTTACAATACATAATCAAGTTTCACATGGAAAATGTTCTCAACATTTAATAACTAGTTTCAAGTCTACAAAGCGTTAAACAATCTGATATTGTTAACATAAACTATAGAGGATGTATATTTTGTACACTCCATTTTTATTTCACTTACCTAATTTTTCGTATGTAGCACGGAAGTTATCGTGTACGCTTATGCCGAGAAAGTTATAATGCAGCTTGAACTGTGGTAGCACTTTATTCATATCAACTACACATTGATTTAAAATTTTTTAAGGGAACTATAAAAAATATCTCTCACACGGTATTTAAGATCACGAGATGATTATTCATTCAGATAAACAATCGTTGTCTCGGAGTTAAATCTACCTGACATTGAAAGCTGGACTAATTTTAAAAACCCATCAATGCAAAATATAATTGTTTAATAATAGAGTAAGAATAATTCGACAAAGGTAAAATAAATCAGAAGTATATTGTAGAATTGTAGGATTAGCCATATTTGTCGAGTAATGCAAATTGTAAAGACATCAAATTTTTATTCTAATGAATTCTTTATTCATGATTGTGTGCAAATGGAATCTATTTAAATAGAATAATAATGTTAATTATCACAACAATTGTATTAAGAGCCTTAAAAGCAACTACAACGTAGAGCCATTAGATAGAGTAAGAAAATGTATAAATAATAAATATGTACTGAATGCCGTGAGCCACACATTGTTTACAGTATGTTGTTAAAATCATTAATACACTACTAAAGTTTCAGGAAATATTCACTATTCGAAATAGTAATTTAAAAAAAAAATGATCCGAGTTTTATAAATTTCTTTAATAATTTTGACATTTTGTATCTGTAATAGAAATTCTGGATCAGCAAAACGTTTCATAGAAATATTATGTATTAGAATTTTAAAGGGACTCTGAACTTTGTGTATTAGTGATTCTAATTCTAATTTTAGATTTATAAGTACTACAGTCTTAATATTATCTCGGAAAGTATGAAAAGGACCCTTGATTTAGCAATAATGAATATTTATTCTAGTTGTAAATTTAACTCTGTAATCTAGAATATCACAGACGATTGTAACGTTTAATATCTAGTTTCTGACTTCGTAAAAAAGTAGGAATTTACGAAATACTGCGTGAATCTGGGTAAAATTAGGAAAATAATCTTTAGACGTTCGCAATGATACCTCTGCGGACGAAACAGTTTCGCGGAACAGACGGCAGCAGATATGTGAATGCGAACAGAGAAAGTGGTATAGCAAAGTAAGAAACGGCACATTATGATTAAGGAGAGGATGAGACGTCTATTGTTTGTATTGTTGAGAATGTAAAGAAACCAAAATGTTCGAACACAGACAGTTTAATTATTACTAATTTGAATCGTAATGAGGTCATACAGATCTATTAGATTTTAAGTGAACCAATATGCTACCAACAGGCACAGTATGTGTGTATATATATATTCGGAACGCAAGCAAATGCCAAAAGTGTAAAGATACTGAAGGACGAAACGATCAAAGATAAATTTGAAATTTAAGTTTCACTTTATCATTCGTACCTCTATCTCTGAGATGAAAGACAACTTGATATTTTCCTACATATGATCAAGGAACCAGCCTTCATTTGTAAATATACCTCAGTAACTTCGCTATGAAACATTTTCCGATTCAATAATTAATAAGACTCAATGGGCAAATAGTGAATTGCTTACAAAGATTTTTGTAACTTTTAATTGAATGTATTGAATTAAGGTGTTAGCTGTATGTTGTTTACAGATCTGTTCAATCTGGTGGAACAAACTGCGTTGAAAGAAACCAATTGAATAACTGCGTATTAGAGGCAAAATACTAGACTTGTACCGTAATGTGTTTAAGAAAGAAAAGAACGAGACAATTTTAATCTTCGAGGAAATGGATTTATGGAATGACTTAGTGTGTAATAAAACGACCGGGTCTATTTACAAAATAGAAGCGTTTACTTCTTAGCACATGTCTCAGACATTTTTAAAATAAGGCAAATAATGTATATTTGTATATCATATACGGTATATTCTATATATGTAAATTCAACTGTATTGCATTTGTTAACAAATGCAGCGTGCAAATGATCCATTTTAATTATACAATAAATCCAGGACTAATATGGCAATAAATGCCTTTCTATTTCAAAGAGCTTTTAGGTTATATCGTAATTAATTCTATTTGCATGTAATCAAAATCCGCAACTAGTGAACTGTCTTATTTTTAAAAAATGTCTTACTCTTAAGAAGTAATGATCGTCGGTCTTCTTAAGTGGCGTATATTAACGGACAAATTATGAAGATTAATGGAATTAGTTTGAAGAAATTATGAATTATTAATGTTGCCGAATGTCTAGTAAATTATTTCACAGTATTAGTGTTAATTCATCATCAATTTCGTTATAGTCTCGTCTCTGCGCAAAATTCAGTACGAAAATACAATCCTTTTTCAAGCGTTTATAGTTGATTCGCTAAACGCCACCAAAGACCTTGACGTTGCGATGTTATAATTTTTTAAGCCTTCAGTGTGAGAAAGATCATGTATTAACGAGATTATTGCAGTGTATTAATATCAAAGGATATTGGTCGATTTCTAGGAACGGCAAATAAATGTTATGAAAATAAAATGAGGTTCATTGGAAAACAAAGGAGCATTCAATACTTTCGTACAGTGAACCAAGGAAAATATTCCATCATACATTTTGAATGGTCTATTTGCTTTTCTTAGGATATTTCTACTATTATCCGTTGTCTTTTCGCAGACTCATGAGAATAAAATGTCTTAGCGAGAAGACCCGCAACTTATATTATCGTAGCGTAAACTTACTTGATAAATTAATTTAACAGATGCAAAAAATGTCAGCTTTAAGAATGTGAAAACCTCGAACATGATCAGTGATGGTGTTCCCAATGAATATTACTAATCCAAGCTTCATGATATAATATTGTAGTTTTATGATTGTCTACATATTTCTTGTTTCCAAACATGAATGTGTCGTACCTACCAATGAATATCGCACGAATAAGCATACTAATATAAGCCGATATTGAGTAAAAATTATTATTAGTAATTGTAGTAATTAATCAACTATAAAAGTATCACTTTATGGCTGAACTGATTTCTTGTTTACACGCGCTTTTGTATCAATGATGATCTCATAGAAGTTTAGCGCATTTTTTTGTTTGTTACGTTGCTGTGAACTTACAAAAACACAAACCTCTTCAATTTTTTGTATCAACGGGTTCGGGTGCATTCATTATTGTAACGAAACGTTTACGCACGTTTGTAGTATGAGAAACGTTTACACGTTTCTAGTATGAAAATTCGAAATTCCTACCCAATACGATTATTCTTCGTAGGAACTTTGTTTGACGACTGTTATCGTATCAATAGAGCAATTTGTAATTACAGTAGCAATCGATACTTCAAATTAATTATAATGCTTTTCTATTATTAACTCTCTGTATTCGTATGCTGGATCATTTTGACTCGTTTACTGTAGTGGTCGGCTGGTATGAAATTGATTCACCTCACTTTGACACAAACAATGACCTGCCTATTCGAAGATATGGTAAAAACAATGTTCAACATTAAACCTTTTTTTGAAAATGTACACATATGTCGAAATGTTTGCTATGGGTCAAAATAACCCAACATCCTGTAAACGATGTACGACTATCTCGTGGTCGAGTACTAATGCAAATGCGATAAGAACACGAACCAATTTTAATTCTAAAACTTTTGATTTATATCATTTTGTTTTTCACTGTATAAGGGAACATCATACTTTGGAGAGCAATTGATACGTTTGATCATATATTACAAATGACAATTACCAAACGATTTTTATATTAATGAAATATCAAAAAATTGAATAAAGTTCAAAACGTTTTTAAAATTTTTAAGATTAGCCTTTTCTTGCAATCAAACGTACGATGTCACCAATTGATGAAAATAGAAAGAGCATTTACGTTTGAATCATAAGTTCAATTCAGTGGTATACTCTCAGTTTAATGGGTGACTTATTTGACGAAAATATTATAATATGATTCCACGAGAAAGGTGTACGTGTAAAAGAATGTTCTGAGTACATAAAAAGTATGCAGTAACAAAATCGTAAATTACAAATGAATAAATTAAAACACTGTTAAAAATGTGACATTGAAATGTGTTTAAATTATGGTTGGCCTTATCAAACCGCCGTTGCTGGCGCATGGAAATAAAGGAAGTACTTAAATACTGTAAAACCAACAACACTTGAAGCAGCAGAGTTTATCGAGTGGGCTGATTGTCTTACAAATTTAGTGTCAAATGTTCATTTTTGAGAAGTTTAAGTTTCAAAAGAAACAATCAATATCTGTGAACAATAGTGTAGTGTTACTCGAATCTTTGTCGTTTTGTTACACGTACAGTGACGAGCAAAAGTATAAACACGCAATGCTGGTTTTATAAAGAAACGAGAACACTACAAATTTTCCAATTGATTAATAAAGATTAGGCAATTATAATTATAAGTGGAATGTGGTATACAAAATGTAACACTTTATTTTATTTGTACTCACAATGTACAGAGTATTTTAAAAAATAGGAACTTGATGCAATCTTTACAGTTTTGCACGTGAATAATACATATTCCACGAATCAAAACTTTAAATTAATATTTCGACCTTCTTTTTTAGTGTAAGTGTTTTTAATTTATGTGTGCATGCGTGCGTGCGTGCGTGTGTACCCAAATAGCACAAAAACGTCATATGTACGACCGGAAAACGTACGTTCTGGATATTCGGTACATACGGAGGATGTCCCGAAAAGGTCCACATGTTCCCACTATGTCCTCGTTAAGATTTATAAATGTTCTAGGAAGGTTCTATTTACAAAGTGGAACGTCCTGAGTCAACATTGTCAGAACGTTTTCCGAATGTGTAAAAGTAGCATTCTCTGTACTTTTTGGGAACGATTAAAGAGTTTTTAAAAACGCTATAGTAATGTCTTAAAAGGCGTATAAGAAACATTTCCCAAATGTTTAGAATTACGGTTACATTTCATTCCATGTTCTATGCAAGATGATCCTAAATTAAGTCAGCGTATAGAGGCACCTCACGCGCCTGTTTCCCCTTCCAACCTTTCTTTCGCACCGAGTGCATTCGAAGAAATAATGAAGCTCTTGTCTCTTCTCTCCCACTCCATGGTAACGGTGGACGGTGGTGGGGACAAGTTTTAATTTTGCCCACCGCTGACGTAGGTACATACACAGTAAAGCACATAGCGAGTGAAAGCTAATGCGAAAGATGCAAAGCAAGGCTAAATTGGAAAGTTTAATTGCACGATTACTGCTGAGAACAGTAAAGTACGTTATACAACATATTTCCTAAAAGTGCGACAATTTTGAAGAATTTCTTCCCGATAAGCCTGCAAATGTCAGACATTCTCCGATTTATTCATTGCCACGAGTGGCGCCACCGGCCGTAAAAATAGTGGTAATCGCGATTAGATGCGATTTTGACACTGTTCTGGTCGTTTATTATTATTGTCAATGGCAGGGAATTAATCTACGTTCTTTCAGCTACAAATCGAATGCTTGGTCAAGACTAAAGCTGTTAGTATAACGTTGTAAGAGTTGTTCAAAGTGAACTAAACAGGATTCGCATGACGGGATACAGTGCGAAATAAAACAAAAACATGTAAAAACGAATAAAACAAAAACATGTAAAAACGAACATTAATAAAATGTCCATTAACGATGCATTTAGAATAAATTGTCTTGTGGTTAAGTGGAAAAATTACATTTTTCCGTTTCATGTTTCATGACTGTATATGTATCCCTTAACCTTAAACTGAAGCATCAGATATTTTTATTCCCGTGAAATCATATAGATTCACGTAATATGAATGGAATATATAACACTTCATTTGTGCTAATAATACTCAGAATTCATGCTTTATCGGTAACGTCGGATATTGACACTAAAATGGTAACAGGGCTACGTAGCCCTATGAACGTGGGACAGAGAAGAGCATTGGATGATAGGTCTATTCTATACCTAGTCGGTGGTCAGACTAACTTTGTAAGTATTCATTTTTTATTTTAAACGCCCGCCACAGTACGCTATAGTGAATTTTAGTTGTCCCATTTCCGCAGATTAACTGTGGCGGCGCCAAAAACTCAGTTCGGCTCGTTAACACAGGAGTGTCAACCTTCTGGACGTCACTGTTCAAGGATTTAGTCTGGCTTCACTGAATGAGACAGTATATTTATCAGGATCATCAAGAATCATCAGAACATTCAGAACAGGTCACTTATTTGAAAAATTGAACATGTCGGGAGGAGCACTTTTTGGAAATAATGCATCTCGTAGTACTTCGAAAAATTTGGTCGAATTTAAAGCTGGGAAAATGACTATGAAAGGTAAAATGGTTTATCCAGATACGCGAAAAGGACAACTTTACGTTTATCAATCTGACGATTCCTTGATGCATTTCTGTTGGAAAGATCGTACAACAGGATTTGTTGAAGATGTAAGAATAAGTTTCTTGGTTTATTATAAAAACGTAGAAATCATACAAAATTACGTTACTCGTTAAGTTATGTATTTTTCTTTTAACTTCATGACTTTTATTCTTTTTATGTAGGACTTAATTATTTTCCCCGATGATTGTGAATTTAAACACGTACCTCAGTGTAAAAATGGAAGAGTCTATCTTTTACGATTCAAATCATCAAACAAAAAATTCTTTGTATGGCTGCAGGTAAGATGTGTTTTATTGCTGATATTTTAACAAATTGGAGACTGATGTATTATTACAAAACTATCCCCAAAATTAGTAACACTTTTGGGGGTATAATTCTAATATACTATGTAATGCAAATTCTGAGTCATCCATTAACCACGTAGATGTTGCATAGTTAATATGCTTGGACAATGGTTTCAAATGTGTTCCATTAATATTTAATTCATATTTTGCATAATCCAGATTACAGAGATTGCTAGATAACATTTATATATAATTTGAAACATAAAAACCCCTTGAAAATAAATTGTAAACATGTATTGATAAAACTTATACTCATGAATTATGTTTAATCTACCTTACTTTGTTATATGCAGTAACACCCCCTTATATGCAAAGATAGGTTCCAAGGTTTTCCGTGGATATCTGAAACCACAGATAATAGCAAATACTATATACGAGGCTTGTCCAAATGGTGCCCTGAGGGCTCTAGATGCCACAGTTTGCCACAATGGTAGCTGTCAGGGCAGCAGTGGCTGCCATGATATAACATGAGTAGAGGAAGCTGTCCACCTTATACATTGCAAATTGTTGTTCGCTTTCTTTGAACATTCTCTCTATTCAACCCATTTCACGTTTTCTTTCTCCCTCTTTCAACGTGCTATCTGTTCTACTAAATAGGGACACATGCAGTTTACAGTATCGAACAAATTTGGTGTATGAAATTTATAACCTCTGTTGATTCGACATCCACTGGTCAAAGTCTCATTGAACATTGTGGAAACACACAGTATGCTGCCTTTGTATCTTTGGCTTATAGAATTTATGGGCTGGGGGTGGGGGGCTATCAAGGGCAAATTTTTTGGACAGGCCTGTTATATACTGTACATACATATGGTAAAATATAACTTATTAATTACTCCCAATCAGATATTAACGAAATTAACTAATAATATAAAATGTCATAATCTAACCAACAGTAAAATGTAACACTAAAATTATAATGTTAAAAGTTATGTGATAATGATAGAATGTCTGTCTAATACATACTATTATTGATCATCAAAGGGATTTTTTAATTTTTTCGGATTATATGCAATCACAGATGCAAGGGGTTTCACATTGCTTATAAAAATATTAATATTGTATAATAACATTCGTATGAAACATAAAATAAATTTTTTGTATACTCATACTTACAAAGAAGAAAATAATATTTTATATATTTTTTGCTTTATGTAACCTCAACTTTTAAATACAAAGAGGAAGATTAATTATGGTACTTGCATGAAATGCATATATTTTGTTTGACTCACATTTTGCACAAAACTTGTTTTTAGTATTATCTGATGTAATCATATGGAATGGTTATAATAAAATCTCCTATATAAAAATACAATTACGTTAAATAATTTTATAATATATGCTCAGAGTGTATAATAATAAAATATTTTTATAATCAGGTAAAATATAATGTATTTTCAAAAGAGTATAATTATAATATACAGGGTGAGGCACTTAAAATCGGCCTCCTGAATAACTTGGCTGCTATTGGTGATAGGAAAAAAATGCATCAAACCAAAATTATTTGGTATCGAGGGGCTGATCATCCGATGTTACCAGTTTTTTTATAGGTAGAGGCGTCAAGGAGATATGAAAGTCATATCTGTTTTTTTAAATGGAACGGTATGTTTTTTTACTTACATTCCGATTTTAGTAACATCGGATGATCAGCCCCTGGATACCAAATAATTTTGCCCTGATGCATTTTTTCCTATTACCAATAGCAGCCAAGTTATTCAGGTGGCTGGTTTTAAGTGCCTCGCCCTGTATATCTCAGATTATTTTAACAAAAAAATATATATTCATATTTTACTTATATGTGTATCTTCTGTATTTCAACTTATGTTAACCCTTTGCACTCCGAGCAATTTTTAATATGAGCAACCAACTACTCCAGGATTATTTAATTTTAACACACAATTATATATGCAATGTAACAGTAGAGGCCCCCATAGAAAAGTAAAGAATATTTTAATTTTTAAATGTAAAAAATACAAAGTTGCTTCTATGTAGATTTCGCCGCAGCGGCGACATCGGAGTGCAAGGGTTAAATATGTTACAATTTATTATTAGTTTGTTAATTACATTGTTTAAGTAATATTACATTGTTCTGTAGGATCTTAAAACAGACAAAGATGAAGAATATTGTAGAAAAATTAATGAAGTTCTTAATAATCCTCCGACTCCTGGGTCACAAAGAAGTGGTAACATAAATCAAGAAGGAGACCTTCAAAATTTATTAAACAACATGTCACAACAGCAATTAATGCAATTGTTTGGAGGTGTAGGACAAATCAGTGGTCTAGGTAGTTTATTGGGTACCATGAACAGACCACAGGGTGTACAGAGTACTAGGGCTTCTACGACGACTGCATCGACTCGAGTTTCTACAAATGCTGCAAGACCTGTGACTCAAATGGTGTCTTCACCTGCACCCAGTAATGATACCGCTAAATCTAATGGTAAGTTAATTTATTAGAAAAACACTGTGCATCTATTAATACAAATTTTTACCTAGATGACAATAAACAATCAACAAGAACACCAGCTCCATCAACACCAGGAGCAACTACAAGTACCAACAACAAAATACAACTAAGCGACCTACAGAACTTTTTATCTGAAATTCCAACACCAGCAGGAGCAGAATCCGTTGTTCAGGTAATATCTTATACTCTTCAAATAGATGTGTCCAAAGACTGCATGTCACCGAGACAAATCAATACAATACATATATCTGCGACCAACAACACTTTTAAAACGAAAGTTGAATACGATTTTCAGCGAGGTGACAGTTTGCGTGTGGTACGGCAATACTGTTACTTCATATAGCATATTACAAGACAATTTTTCTGTTGAATACAGCAAGACAGTTTTCACCGATTCTACAAAAATTATACTAGTTGTTGTCACGATGTTTACAAATATGGATGCTGCAGTATTTATGATTCTCAATTCTTGTAGAAAACAGAAAAGAAGGAAGGTTATGGAGAAAGGTGTTATTCATCAAAAGTAACGATACTCAAACTGAGTTTTAAAATACGTTATTAGTCAATGGCTGATTGTACTAAACCTTTCCACGAATGAGTTTGAAGGATCTCTTTGAAAAAGTTAACCTTATAGTTTTAAAATCTGATACTGTTCTATAACAGACTCGCATTTTTCTTGGGCTCACTCCATCGAGTTGTCTTCAACTAACACAACCAACGTTACTGCAGGAACTCAGTCGGCAGACTCGTGTTCTGATTGGTGGGGGTTTTTCGTTAATATTTCGTTAACAAAGGCTCGGAGAAGTTTTTCGCTACGGAAAAAGTTCCAATCAACCACAGGAATCATCCCTTTCAAGGACTTACAACTATTTTGGGACACCCTGTATATATACCCTATATTTGGACTTCAGAGCCAGAGTTTATTAAGTCCACTTTTTATCATAAAGTAATAGATTTTTCGATTTGTATTTGCATGAGGAATATCCATCTTGCGGATTGTTTCATCTTTTTGGGACTCCCTGCATATACAGTAAAACTTGGATTAGTACCCGAAAATTGGAACTGGAGGCCGGGTGGTTACGAAGTAAAAGAATCTATTCTAAATACAGAATCAACGCCGATCGTAGGACAGGACAGGGAATGAAAAACAAAGAGGGGCTGTGCATCGAGGCAACGGCCAAGTTTACGTGCCTGCGTGTTGACGAGGCAACACGAATGCAGCAATGAAAAGTATTTATTTTTGCTTTTTTTTAGTAAAACTTTCACTACCGTATCTGTGAGATTTATCTGATTTAAATGATACCAAATACGGTATAGTTTGGATCATATTTATTTAGTGATTATTTATGGCACTTGATCAGTATCAATAAGTAAATATGATCCAAACTATACCATGTTTGGTCTTGTTTTAATCAGAAAAATCTCATGAATACGTTAGTGCAAATTTTATTGAAAAGCAATAAAATATTGACTTAGTTACATTATGTTGTCTCACCGATACCTAGGTATTTAAGGGGGGAACAAGTCCAAAAAAAAAACAAAAAATTGTTTTTTAGCAAATCAAACGCGTTGCCGCTCTAAAGAACCGCCGGGTCAGCGCGTGTGTATGTGACTCTGGGGCGTCATCAACAGTGAGTGCCCGTTGACAGATACACGCGCCGACACTGCTTTCATAGCGGTACGGCATTTGTATATTGTATCTACAACTAAAGCATAGTGTCCAAATAATATATTAAGTATATTAGAAAATCTGTGGATGAAGGCAGCATGGTTTTATCGTTATTTAATACATTTTTCCACACTAACTTTTCCTGGCTGTCGGAGACTCTGGCTCTACTGAGCAGTTGGGGAAGTTTCTCTGGGATTATTTGTTTTTTTCGGCCACCTACAGTACAGCTTATTGTCCGGCAGAGGGGCGTAGCAACTGAGCTGACCAATGCCATCCGTGCGGCGATCTCTGCTTCGGAAAGCTTGGAGCGCGAAATGAGCCCGCACTTACCACCAGGGGATCAACTGTGTACCACGCTATTGTCTCCCCAGTTCTCCCAGGCGCTATCAATGTTCTGGTCTGCTTTGCAGTCAGGCCAGGCGGGACCTGTCATCCGACAATTTGGCTTGGGACCGGATGCTGTCAATGCTGCAACCAGTGGAAACATTGAAGAGTTCATCACTGCTCTTGAAACTGAAGCTAAGACTGGCCAAGAGCAGACACAGCAAGGACAAGAGGACACTAATACAAAACAAACGTCGCCAGCATCTAGTCCTGATAAGAAAGATGACGATGAAGGAATGGCGTTAGATTAAAAACAAAATTAAATGAGTCTAATTTCATTTATATTTTCATTTAGGAGGTATGCAACATGTATTACGTTATAATCACTTATGTGTAATAAATTCTTCCTTGAAAAATAATATATTTTATTACTGTTTACAAATATTTATAATTATCCTTTAGTGTGTAAATATGATAAATGATACAATAAAATACAAAAATAACAAAATTAACAATGTATTGTAATCATAAGTGCGTACGATTTATCATATAGAGTTTTTTATTCTAAACATGTACATTTTTTCATGTTAGTGTTGCATATAAATATTTTTGTGATTTCATATATTGGGCTGTCCCATAAGTCCTTGCCATTTTCAGATTTATGGCATTTGTTGATAACCACAAAAAAATGAAACATCAAATTTTAGCTTTCTACCTCAAACCTTTTCCTCTTTTCCTAATGGGGCTGTTGGTGGGGGATTCCAGGGGATTCTCCTACGGCTATGTGAAGGCATTGCTTGGGTGCAGAGCTTCATTTTCCTCATCGTGTGCGAGCAGGAGAGGAACTACTCCAGCGCTACTTCTGTCTTTCGGTCTCGCTTCATCTCTACCATATAACACCGCGCAGTCTATTATATATATGTCTATGGTAGTCACTGGTATTCTTATTATAATACGAAATTTCAGCACTATGTGGCGTCCTTTTCTCGTTATTAAGTATGACTCAGTATGATATATATCGAAAGTTCAGAATAAAGTTATTACAGACGACAAGCTTTCTTCAAAAATTAGTAATATGGATATGTTATACAGAGTATTGCAAATAAAACTCATTGCTTCTCTACATAAGAAAGAGAAATTAATTTTCGTTTGATTAGAACGTGCGGTCCTAATCGTGGGATTAAATCTGATATTCTAAATATACCAGATTCAAATCCCCACAATTATTACTAAAATCAAAGTAATCAATCTTATGCTATGGTTTAGGACCTAAATAATAGCCGGTACTAAATAATTTTATCTCGCAAGATCTTTATTGATTTATATATGTACATAATTATACATGAATTAGTATATGCACTTTTGCTATTGTTATGTTCCATTGTGTAATTAATCTTTTCACTACTGGCGTCTTCACCCGGAAAAGCAATCCCACAGTACTGTACGGGACGCGCACCGTACGTAGTTGCGTTGCGTATCTAATATGATATGTTCATCGTTCGGCCGTTGTGGCATAATAAAAAAGGAAAAGTACAGAAAAACAATTATACCTGCTAAAAAATATATCCCTGTCTGAAAAAATGTTAGAGCTATACGTGATATACAATTGTCGCTTCACAGCGATGACTATAATCGTACATGGTAATGAAAGGATTAAATATACTTTTACAAGCTAAACGTTAACATAGAACTAAGTTAAATGTGTGAACACATGTACATTCTATTAAAAAAATATAAAATATAATGAACGAATGAGCGAAGTTATTTGCTTGTTTTAAAAAAACCTCCACAACTTTTAATATATCATATTTTTATAGCAGTTAGCCGTACACAGAAATTCTACATACAGAGTCTCCAAGACAGTTGTAAGTCTTTGAAACGGGTGATTCCTGAGGTGATTTGAAACAACTTTTTCGCTAAGGAAAAAGTTGTTTCAAATCACTACAGGAATTATCCCTTTCAAGCACTTACACCTATTTTGGGACACCCTGTATATAAGACAATCTGTTTCTGCAATGTATAGATAAACATTTTTCTGCAATAGGTGGATAGTTGTAATTTATGTCAAATTACCAACAAAGAAAATTTTAATAGATTAACACTTATTAATGTATTGTATGATCAATGCTATTAACTTTCTAAATCAGGTGGTACTGTGGTAGGTGATTGTAACTGTAAATGCATAAACCGTCGAACAGGCCCACCAATTATATTTCCAGCTGGTCCCGCACCACCTGCTTCTTCTTCGATACTTTTCATTAAATTTTCTTCTATTCTATCGGCATTTGTATTCGACTCGAATCTTTCATCTTTCATCATTTCAGATTGCAATTCCGAATTTAATAGACGCATATATTTATCCATTTCACCACCTTTATCCTCGTCATCTTCACCTAAAGATCCCTCTGAGCTTCCTTCAAATTCTCCTTCACTTCCTGGAACAACTAGATCTAATATACCTTGTAGCGTACAATCAAATATATCTGCATCAAATTCAATTTTTCCATTATCTTCCGAATCATGCATTATATCAGCTTCCATAGAATGTTCTCTAAAAACAATGTATAAATTGAACATTATATAATATAATTAAGTAATCATATTGATAATAAAAGTAATAACTTACTCTAAAAGTTGTACACCATCAATATCGCTAGTATGATTCAAGAACGATTGTACTTTCTCTCTGAGACTTAATAATTCTTGCCTTTGTTTTTTGTTCTTAACATTTCCCCATTGCTCACTTAGAAGTGTTTCTAATAGCACTGGATCTATATTCAACCAACTATCGTTATCTGGAGGACTTAATGCTGCTTCATCTTGTGCTGTATAAAAAGTATAATGTAACAGTTATTGACTGTCAATAAAATCTTATTAATATAAAATTTAAAGAAATTACCATGCAGTTCAACATCATTAGACTGTATGCTGTCCCATGCTTCTAAAACTTCTTCTGCATCACTTTTAATGGTATTTGTAGCACAATTAAATGAATGAAAATGTTGTAAGTAATAATCTGTTGCTATATTTAGCAGCTTTTGGTACTCTTGACTACCTTTTAGTAGATTTTTAAAATAACCACTAGCTTCTAAACGTGCTAGATATGCATTCAGAGCATATTCACTGACGTTCGATTTTTCAGAGGCATTTAGTATATGTCTACGTTCTTCATGTGCACGAGCTACTAACATCTCTAAACCACATGCTATCTTAACACCAAGAATATGTGCATTATACTTTGAACAGGTGGTTGGTGGTATATTCCAGCCTGTTCTTGGATCTCCTGTATATCTACAATGCATTGCCATCGCATATAAACATTTAGTCATTTTTACATTAACCATAATTCGCTGTTCAGGAGGAAAGTATCTCATTGCACGACAAACCTGTAGAATACAAAAAATGTTATAGAAATGAATTTATCTTAACTAAAATTATAATAGTAAATTATTACTTTTCTCTCAAGTGGATCAGAATGACAAATTGTCCTAATGGCTGATGCGACAAGCCTTGGTTCTTGTTGAAGTATTGAAACTGCTTTCTCTGGTAAAAAGACTCTAGCTTTGTGATGCCTCTTTTTAATCTCATTTGGATAACAACCAATTCGTTTTTTAACAGTATTTTGCACTTTCTCAGAAGCTTTAGATAGGTATGACTTTTGGTGTATATTATTTAATAAATCAAATAATGTTTCATACTTTTCACGAACTACATGTAACTCTCCATTGTACACGAATACACAATTTTCACATGTTTCGGGATTAACCCACGATGGTAAAACATTTGCAGTTTCAATTAATAAAAATTCACCATCAGAATCTATTAACTTAGCAATTAACCCATCAAAAGTCTGTGTGAGTTTAAATATTAAAAATACTAAAAACCATTCATCGCTTATGTCTTCATCAAAGTGCAATGATATGTAAATATGAGGTAATATATCAGATTCTAAAAAGAAAAGATGTATATTATAAGTATTAAATTACAGTAACTATTATATTCACAGAATGCTCAAAACTAATATATAGTATAGTACCTTCAACAGTTGACAAATTTTCCATCAACTTTTTTAATAGTAATACTTGCTTTGTTCTAGGACGCAATATTAACCTGTCACTATGCCAAATATAACCTTCAACAAACGATGCAATCTCTTCATTGAATTTTGAAATTTCTTGAAGAAGTATCTCTTCTGTTATTGTCTCCGAAGGTTGTGTATAACAAACTTTTGGATAGAGGAAGCACTCAAGAAAATCATCTTCTTTTATTTTAGTTATCTTTGTATGTGCCATAGTTTTTGTACATGACATTTTTAGCATATAATTGATCTTAATCTATTGAATTGTTCATTCTTGATCATCACTTTATCATTTGCTTCACAAGTTTGAACATTGTTTACGTATGTAAAACGTTCAACGACGTTCAATAATAAACATATGCATGATTGATAGTGATGCATAAACTGGCATAAACACAGTGACTACAGATACCATGGCTTGCTATGGATCTGCCACTCTTTAGAAAAAGGATGGTTAGAAATAAACTTTAGGTACGAACCACATGCGGCGCTTTGCGACAGAAACGCTCATGGTCTAGTAGCTGTATATGATATGGTTGCAACCAGTGATACCAGAATCGTGGAACTTGGTACTAGAGATGGCGTGCAATATCACTAACGATGATTTATCACAGTGATTGCCGAATCACGATCACGGTCGTGATTTAACTTCATTCACGATTGTTCACGATCGCGATTGAGATTTTTTTATCTTGAGTGAATTTGCTCACTGCGATCGTAAGTCCTTGATCTTTAAACAGAAAAACGTATTCAATATGATTTTACGATGAATTACATTACTATTCGTGTTTGTAAAAATCAGTAGAAAAAACAAGAAATTCTAAAAGAATGATTTGCTAGGTAACATGTAGATTATAATTTATAGTCGTTAATGTATTCATTATTCTTCATTGTTTCTAATTAGTCCTTCACTTTATACGATATAACCCGAATTTTTGTTTTGATGTTAATATAAAATATACAGATTATGTGTCGCGTGTAAAGAACTGTTAGGTTTCTCTACCAATCAGAAACGATCACGAGAAATCACGAATCACTGTGAAAAATCATCGTGATCGAATCACGAATGATTCACAAGTAGCAGTTCACGCCATCTCTACTTGGTACCACTTGGTACTTTGGTACTCCCCCTATGACCTACCATCGTCTCGTCTCTCACCTCTCCCACTTTACTTCCACCGTGCTGACACACAAGCATACCTCTACATACCTCTACCCCTCTTCGTGTGCGCTGCCCGTTGTGGTCTTCCATCCCCTGAGATCGACTCGGCCCGCGATAAACTCGCACACAAAACAAATGAAAACAAACTGGAAATTGAGCTCGTTCAAAGGAGTGATTTTCTGTCCAAATTTTGTTATTTTTAGATTACCTGAAAGTGATTGCTGAAATAAAATTATTACAAAAATGTATGTTAGAACTGTTATTTTCTTGGCAACATATAGTCAGCAGATACTTCTAAAGCGGTGATTAACGAGAAATTATAAAATTCTTAACGGGTTTTAGATTTTGACGTAAGGTAACATTTAATTTTCGATTTTGATAATAGCACAAAATGATGCCTTAGTCCTCTCTTTATTGACTTCTTATTTATTTGAAGTGGGTCGCATGTAGTCGAGTAAAAATTTCTTTTTTACCTTCTATTTCCCATTTATCTCACCTCGAAAGAATTCTACAGAAACTTGCTCCTCTGAACTTGATGAACTTTGATCCTTCATTGAACGTTGATAAATTTTGTATTACATAAATCCACATAAAATAAGGCAGAATATCAGTTTTTGAACTTATTGTGTGTATTTATTTAAATTTATTACCTATATACATGAAAAAGATATTTACATATATTTTAAAGTCAATATAGTAATTAAAGATGACAAACACGCTTTCCACAATTTTTCAAACATACATTCATTCAAACATTTCATGACCCTTGACATTTCAAATATATTTAATGAAAATTATATTCTTAATAACTTAATTCACAGTATGTACTATATCTGAAAATGCAATATTCAAAACTGAATCAGCTTCAGAATTTATAAACTGCATGTATATAAAAGTGTATTTTAACTAATCTTGTATAGTAAATACAGAACTTAGTAGAAATGCTAGAAAACAATTGTTCCAGTTATTTTTCGACTTATTTGTTATTTAATTAATTCTGTCTCTAAGCGATTAAAAATAACTATTACTGATGAATCTTGTGTCATTAGCTAAATGAAATCTCATTTCTTTTCTTATAGAATATAAAATCATTCATATCTTCAAATTTAGAGATTGAAACTGAAATAAAATGATGATTTCTGTTTACATCAAGATGTAACTGTAAATAAAATATGTATTTACTTTTCTCAATCTGACTCTGATTCTGAACTTGCATCAGATTCATACTCTTCTACATTTATGGTAAATTTATATTCTTGGTCGCAACCCAAATAAGCATCACTCATAAAATACAAAGTATAGGAGTGTTGCCCAGGAGCAGGAGCTACAAAATCAAGTTTAACCCTTGCTTTCTGTTGTAATGTTAATCTCTTAATAGATAGCAAAGAATTAGTCTTTGGATCACCAATAACCACCCACCAGCCCTCTTCACGCTTCTGTGGGAAAAACGGTGCCACAACTGGCCCAGTCACTTCATCTTCTCTTTCAAGCTGAACAACAACGTTTACTGTGCCACCACTGCGCAGCTTATCTTTATCCTGAACTTCATATGACATTTCTATATTAGGGTAACGATTACAGAATTTAGCAACGTCTGCCATTTGTGTTTCAGATAATTGCAAAAGACGATTCCTGTCATCATCCTCCAATTCCATTACATCAAATACAGTTTCTACTCCTTTATCAGTGCAACGTTTAATTGTTTCAGACGTAAAATGTGGTAATTGTTTTAAATAAGAGTCTTTAGACCACATTGCTTGGGTGACCATTTGTGCCAGTTCCATAGCAGCAACTGCAGGCGCTAACCATCCAGATGAACTAAGAACATCAACACAAGCTTGTATTAATCTAACAGCTTTGCTTAACACTAACTCTGTATCTTTTTGAAGCTCTGGTCCAAGTTGTATTCGAGATAAGTGTGCTTGTAACAAAAGCTGGGCTTTTACATGAGGATCAGCCATTCTCGTAGCTTGTGGAGCATGTGGAAGACGCGCTGCTAAACTTCGTAATAAATTTTCCTCTCGTTGTCTAACCGGTACAGTTTCATATTCAGCAGCTGCTGAAATAATTTCCAATAAACCTCTGATTTTGGTTTTGTTATTTAAAGAAAGACTAAATAATTCAATTGTTGCATAGTTAATATAATAATAAGCTGCAATCATTCCAAGATTTAAAGGCAGGGTATCCATTTCATCTTCCACAGCAACACATTTTGCTTGTTCTAAATCACTTAAAGTGCTTTCTACCAATTCAGATAAATGATCCGATAAATGCCTATGCGTGACACCTTGCAAGCCATAGTAATTTGGATTTTGTGTAAGTCGTCTATATAAGAAAGTCCATGTGAGATAATCAACTGCATCTTGCTTATTCTCGATTGTTTTTGTTACTATTTCAGCATTAAAATGATCGTGCAGTCTGTGATCCAAATGGCTTTCTACAGGTAGAGGTTCGTTCAAAAATTTCTTAAAAAAATCTTTCTTTGAGCTCTGACAGAGGAGGACACATTTCGCATCATCATCTTCTAATGGACGATTTGCTCGAGCTACCATTTGCAAGACATCTGTAATAGGATAATCTTCGTAGGCATGAGTTTTACCATTATAACACTGAGTGTCCATAACAACTACAAGGTGAGAGTTAATAGATAAATCCCAACAAAGATCTCTCGTAACAATTGCTATTTGGATAGCGCCGCTGTCAAAGAGTTGTTCAACGAGACGTCGATCATCAGCAGATAATCCTTCATGAAGATAAGCAGCTCCTTGTGAAAGTGTTTCTTTTAATGTTTTATCAGTCATCCTATCAAGGAATGGTTTAATATCAGCTTCTTCTGCATGGAAGAATCGAGAAGGTTGCCCTTCGGCTGCAGTGAAGGTCAATAGATCAATAGCTGTTAATCTAGCTTGACGGCGAGTAGGTACAAAAACAATAACTGGTTTGTGAGAAGCATACCGCAGTATTGCATTGTATACTGGTTTTGCCATAGCAGCCAATCTGGATGCATTATGAGTAATATTTACCCCTTGTACATGTAATTCTAAGGGTACAGGTCGAACAGACGGATGGAAATTAAAAGTTGCAGCGGCAGGTGCGCCTAACCATTGAGCTACGTCTTTAGCATCTGCAAGTGATGCTGATAATGCTATAATTCTGGTTGGTTTGTCTAACTGTGAAGAAATATAACGTGCTCTCGAGCATGCAATTTCTAATACAGGCCCTTCTTCACCACCAATTAATTGAAGTTCATCAACAATAAATAGTTGAACATTTTGCACATTTTTTCTTTGTTTCCATCTACGGGATAGTACGTCCCATTTATCCGCAGTCGTAATTATAATTTGCCCTTTCGCAAGCAACTTAAGGTCTGTTCCTGTTTCACCAGTCAGTAAAACCACTTTTCTGCCCAAGTGTTGATTGAATTTTGTTGACCAATCAGCATAAACCAATTCTGCTAAAGCTTCTTTACTAACCATGTACACACATCTGCCTTCCGAATTCTGAATGAGTAAACGCAATACTGCGAATTCAGCTATAGTTGTTTTTCCCGAACCTGTAGGTGCTCCAACAAAAATATTGTCGTCTGAATTATAAACAGCATTAAACACTTGTGTCTGAATTGGATTAAATTGTGGAAATTTATCTGTGTAGATACTTTCAAATTTGGAATTACGTAAAGCAGTAATGGGAAGCGGCTGCAAATCGAGCAATTCAGTGGGTGGTAAATTTTTTTCTGGAAGAATTAAGTGACGAAAGCTAACAGGTAATTGAGTTTCCGCTCCAATCCATCTATCTGATACAACCCGTAAAAAATATTGCGGTGGTAGAGGTTCAAAAACTGGCACAAAAAATTTAATTAAGTGCTCATCCGCCGCATATTTAGCTTTTAATAAAAAGTATTCGTGATGAAGTATTACTTCAGAATCCACGTCTTCAACTAGAATCCAAAACGCTTCTGAGGCGCCGTGTACCTTCTCATCCCATTGAAAGTCAGGTGTAATAGTTAGTTCTACTCTTAATGTGGAGCGTGTTATCGGTTGAATGTGTGTTAATAATTCCAGTTTCGGAAACTGATGAATATATTTATGAACAGTTTTACCGAATTTAGGTACTCGAATCAATTCCCCAATTTCATTTGGTCCAAGATCGTACAATCTTTCCCATGGAAAATTTTTCTTTTCTATTTTCTTCACAATTTCCTCTGGCATTTTTCGGAATTGTCGAAGTGGGGACATCGACTGCCACATTCTCCTATCTATCATTTTACACAATGATAAACACTTGTCAGCTAATTGTGCCCAGCCGCGAAACAAAACAATCTCAAAAATTGCTCTCATTAATCTCGATGCAGATTGTGTAACAAATACCATATCAGACATAAGAGCAAATCCTTCAAGCTTTAACTGAGAAATGTATGCTTGTAAAAGTACATTAACTTTTGCACTTGCTTCTTCTATGCTTTCTTTTACTGGAATGGGTACTCTCTCCATTAACTTCTGCAACTCTAATTTCTCTTCTTCTCGAACATTTATATGTTTAAATTCACTAGATAATGAGAATACTCGAAACAATTCAATTTCGCTTAAAGTACGTTTCAATAACTGATTATATGTGGCCATCGTATCATGTGTACAATAATAGTGCGATGCTATTCGACCTAATTCAGTAGCCTGAAAATTTCCGGACTTTCGATCATATTTAATTAAACCACTGCGATCCAAGCCCACTGCAGAGGAATGTATAAGATCTGCTCTATGCAATTCAAGTAATGGATCATCCTTTAATTTATCATGACTTATACCATACAAATTTGGACAACGGAGCATTCTAATGTATAAGTAAGTGTATCCTAACCAGGTAACAGCATCTCTAATATTTTGTATAGTACCTAATACAATTTCTGCATTTAACATATCTGACATTTTACTGATCAGTTGCGATTCAATGGGTAATTGCTGGTTTAAAAGAGACAAATAGTATTGCAGTTCACTGTGATTCGTTATAAGAATGCCTTCACCTTTTGTATCATATTGGGGTCGGCCAGCTCTGCCTAACATTTGTAATACATCTAGAGCACCTAATTCAACCCACCTACCTTTCTCCGGATTATACACTTGAGTTCCTTTAATAATAACTGTATGCGCCGGTAAATTAACGCCCCAAGCTAAGGTTGCAGTGGATACTAGAACTTGTATATGTTTGTCAGCAAAAAGATCTTCGACCAATGTTCGATCGACTCTTGTCATACCAGCATGATGAATAGCAAATCCATAAGGTAACAAATCTTTCAGTTCTTGATTTTTAACTTGTTCAGCTTCTGTTCTTAAAACCTCCATGGATGCAGAACCTTCTCTAAGAAATTGTCCTAACGTATCTTTTTCCAAACACATATCCCTAATAGCACGTGCTGTTTTTCCAGTTTCTTTTCGTGAATGTACGAAAATAAGAACTTGATTTCTACCTGCGTGTTCCATCGTCTTCTCATATACAATTTCATTCATTACTTGAAAACGTTTCAATGCCTTCTTTTCTGTGATACCTATATATTGTTGTTCTAAAGCAACAGGCCTGAAACTATTATCAAAATAAAATAAGCCTGTTTCTGGCTTTATACGTAAAAATGCTGCAACGTCTTGATAATTTGGTAGCGTAGCCGAAAGACCAATTAACCTTACGTCCTCCTGTGTTGTTTCAATATTTCTAATTGTTCTAGCGACCAAAGCCTCTAAAACAGGGCCTCTCTCATCGTGCAGTAAATGAATTTCATCTATAATAATCAATCTAACTAAAGAAGTAAAAGTTTTCTCTCCTCCTTTTCGCGTTATAATATCCCACTTTTCGGGAGTACACACTATGACTTGTGTTGCAGCTATCTGTTCTCTAGTCAATTGATGATCACCAGTTAATTCTGACACAGTTAGGTTATATGAAGATAAACGCTTTCCAAAAGTTCCAACCATTTCTTGCACCAATGAACGCATTGGTGCAACATAAATTATTTTGAATTCATCACTGTTGATTGTACCATCTGCATTTATATGTTTTCCAATTTCACGCATCATGCATAGTAGAGCAACATTAGTTTTACCAGCACCTGTTGGTGCGCATAGTAACAAATTTTCATCGCTTTCTAATGCAGTTTGATACAACCGACTTTGAATACGATTTAAAGTTTTGAAACCTTCAAAGGCTGGTTGCACATATTTCGGTAATTGATCAATAGGATGAAGTTTCTCATTTTCTGCAAATGGTTTCGGTTTTAAAGCAGGGACATGAACCTCTTCGTACCTAAAGATATTATATAAAAAATTAAAACATAAAATAGTAACATTTTCTTAATTTACAGGTTTCAGTGGAAAAAAAAACATGTGAAAAAAGTCTACATACCCTTTCCGTTGTTTTCTGAAACTTCCATCAGGTAACTGACAACGTTTATTTGCCATAAAGTGACTACCTTGTGAAAATATCAGATCTTCTAAATCTATTAGATTCCTTGTACCTTGAACCTGACCTCCAGGACCTCCAGTATCTTCATTTTCTTCTCTTCTTTTACGTTGCGCTCTTGCTTCCATTGTTTCATCCGCATCGTCATCACTTTTACCTGTATCCAACTGACGTAAAATTTTTGCTAATACAGGATCATCGTTCATTTTAATCCGAATTTTTTGTCGTTCTGATTCCGACTGGGAAGATGCCAACATAGTACAATAAGCAACTATAACGTAATTAAAAACAATCAGTATCAATTATACCTGTTGAAAAAGCATCATTAATTACATCATTTAACAACTATTTCTTACTAGTATGCCTGTATTTTTTCAGCTGTTTAATAAAATCGAAGCAATCATAACCAAGTAAAAGTACTAATTGATTTTCACAGTCACGATCATCACCAGCATCTTTCAAAACAGCTAATACTTCTGCAGCTCTTGCTTGTGAAACCATTGCATCATCATAAATTCTGCTTAATCTTCTTTGCAACCAATATGCATCTATATCTAAAGGATGTAATGGTTTCTCTTTTTTCATTTCTTCTGCACTGCCCAGCTAAAACGGAATACAATTGCTTCATAAAAACAATCAGACTTCTATTTCCACTTTCACGACACATGCAAGTACTGTAATTGCTTTTTCAGGGATGTCTTTATTAAAATGGTATATACTTTGTATACTTACATTTTCAGCATGAATAGCTCTATCATCATTAGCTTCTTCACCTTCGTCACCTTCATCATCATTCTCTCTAATTTCTCCATAAACATCTTCATCATCTTCTTCACTGCTTTCTTCAAATTGTACATTAATTCCATAGGTCTCATCAATATTTTCTTCACTCGTTATATTCTTTTCATCATTTCCAAAATCTGTTATTTTTTTGCCAAGATTTACTAACAATGCAAATCTTTCTTCTGCTAATGAACCCAACAGTAATTCTGTTTCCTTTTTTTTCTCTTTCTCTTTGAGTTTGTCATTTTTCAACACTGCTAATACTTCATCAGCAGCACCACAGAGAATATCTCTTGGTTGATCTCCTAAAGCTTCTTGAATGAAACTTAGGAGTACTTCGTATGTTTGTCGTGTTTCTTGTGTTTTTGGGCGATACACAATTCCAACCATCTCATCTACACCTTCAGAAAGCAATGTTGCACCTTTCATTCGTGCAAAATCATATTGTGCTTCATCTCGCTTCTGACGTCTATAACATATAAAACCTGCCATTACATACGCACACTATAATAACAACATTCAAGATCTTTAACAAAAAACTTGAATATTTACTTGACTTTTCGTTCTTCCGCTTTCCCTGGTTTAGTACGTTGTGCTCTATCACCCATACGCGTTCCATCGAGTTTTCCGACAAGTGACATAACCTCCCCAGTAGCTTCATCTCTACTGCGTCTTTCTATTAGTCGCACATCAGCTTGTAAAACGAGATTAGAATTCTGGAAAAACAAATGTACATAACATACATAAAGTACATACATACATAAGACAGCAAACAGAACAATAATAATAATAACAGTAACTCTTTATGTCATTCATAAATGTAATAAAGTACTGAAAATGAAATTAATTGTAATTATAAAGTGAATGTTTCAAACATACATGATGCTAATAAATATACTTACAGCTTTATACTCATATTGCAACTGCCTCGCTGCAGCATCCGCCATGGTAGCTTTCAATAAACTAACACAACAAGAATGTTGCGAATGAACTTATCGTTTTGAAAAAACTGAAAGCTAACAATCAAGAATGCCAGAAATGATCCCCTCGAACCAGTGAATTCTGTAGAAAATATGGGTCTCCTCTCGTGTACACTAGAGACACTATTGGACACTATAATTGACTATAATCAGAAACTTGATCAGTGCTTGACCAGAATTGCCACTTGCCACCCTTGCTTAGCCCAGGGGTAGCTCCAGGGGTGGACACTTAATGGGAAGATTTGGACAGTGTTTTTGGCGCCGCCACAGTTAATATGCAGAAGTAGCACAGCTAAACTACAATATGGCCATAGACAATGATGCCCATGTGATGCCAGAATCGTGGGATAACCGCGCGAATGCTCTCCATGCCTCCCGTGGGTATTTTACACAAGCATATTCTACCCTGTCGTGCGGGTGCACGCTGTCCGTTCCAGTCCATTCGGGTCTCGGGTCTTTCCGCTGACATTCGATACGCCACTCGTTATAACAGAATAATTAAACAAAAATAACATAAGTTCATAGCAACCTTCATATTTTATCTTATATTATTACGATTACGATTTAAACTATGTGTTTATTTCATTTTAGATGTAGGAAAGCAAAAGACCTTTCGGCATCGTATATGCGTGGGCCAGCTGCAACAGGTGTCGGACACGCGAAATGTATCTTTAACAAAAAACGAATTTTAAACATGCCTTGCAAATTAATATTTTTTAACTTCTCATTGAAATTGAACTGTGAGGTTACAAGTAAATCCAACAAATTATAAAAGATTCAAGATAGATTTATAACGTAATATTTCAATCTAATAGATTTTTGTACGAATGTTCGAAGTAGTCATGAGTAGGGTTGTAAGGATAACATCTAATTGTAAGAATAATTTGTGTATATATAACATAATATGTATGTATAATATAAAAAAATTAAAATACTGAATTGAAAAAATATTTTTTTTTTTTAAATGCCTTACAAATTAATATTTTTCCAATTTTTATTTTACAGAGAGGTTACAAAGTAAAATTACAAAATAATTGAAAATAAAAAGTAAAACCGCTACACTGGGATCCGATCTGCGTCTCCTCACTGTTGATCATGCGCTTAGGTTGCTGAGCGTCGCGTCGAAAACGTGAATTTTTTAAGGTTAACTACCTATGGTCTTGCATTTAGAAATATCATTCAAAAGGTGATAATGTTAAGATCGTATTCATTAACTGGTCCTTGTAGATTTAAATTTCACAATTGAAGTCTATTACAGTCTTAAACTTACAGTTTAGCTATTAAAACTAAATTCGAGGAATATAAAATAGTTTTCTGCGATCAACAATATCTTCTAAGGATCGTAAATCTGGTAAAACAGAGGGAAGCTCAATATGTGTATTAGACCATGATTTTTGAAGAATAGTTTTAACATATGGCAATTTGTTAGGAATGCGACTTGAAGAATAATAAGATTCTGTTGATGTAAATTTTGGATAGTAAGGATCATAATCCAGTTCCCTTGGTATTAATGGTTTTAAAGACAACGTCAAAGCATATATAGGCAATTCTGTAGTTACATTCGTTACAGTAGTACTAGTTCTTGTCAAAGGTATTATTGTACTTTTTTGTATAGAGTTTAAAGTTTCTACATATGGATCATTTCTATGATTGATACAAGGTACCTTATAAAAATCTGTTCTATTTTTAGCTGTTTGATTACTATTTGTGTTACTTTGTTGATTCTGTATATTTGCAGAAAATGTTTGTAATGGTAATTTAAGAAAATTATGCAAAGTAATATTTGTTTTTGTATTAACATAGTTCTGTTGATTAGATTCTGTATGTTCAGTGAGTTTATCCTTGTTGGGAAAAATTTGACTTGCAATGAAAAAATGTTCATTTGACTTTGATTTAATTTGTTGATTTTTAAATGTTTCAGTTTGTGGATGAAAATCATTCATTATTTTCTCTTCAGTAATATTTGTCTTGTTAAAGTTTTGTAGGACCTTATGCAAATTAAATGTATATCCACGTTGCACCACACTATGTGTTTTTCTTGATTGTATTTCTGTTGGCAATTGAGAAGAGTATTGACAATTATTTTCGTCCATTGATCCTTTTATACAGGACAAGTTACTGTATTTATTTTTTACAGTTTCTGAACTAAAAGAGATATTTCTTTGACAGTTAACAAGGTGTGCATGATCGCATATTAAAGCTTCTTGACGGAAAGCTGTTTCCTCTGGGCAATGGTAGGTAAATTTATTTCCATATTCATCACAGGTGTGATATATTTTACACCTGGTATCAAAATCAGCATAAAAACCAGCGGGTTTATCCAAGCACGAAAAGTGTGTCTTCGTTGGAATTACAATTTTCTGTAAAGTACACATAAATGTTATAAAATTTACACTATAAAATGGTTATAAAGAAAATATAAGAAGTGTATACTTGACTGAAGTTAAGTAATTCAACAATTAACCTTTTCATCTTAGTATTATATAATATAGAAATATTTAACATGGTAGTTATAATTCTACAACTATACACATATTATAACTATAAATGTAGTTCCCATGGAAGAAGTGGTACTGTTCATCAAATATTAAAAATTTCGCTAGTACTATCTTTTTGTATTTCAATTCTGTATAAAGTAATAAAGATATTTCAGATAATTTTTCTGCAGTTTTGAAACACAGCTATAACGTTATTTTTAGTAAAACAAAGAGAAATATAAAGACAGTAACACAACCTTTATTTTTATTACTATAGGTATGCTTTGAAATTAAATGGACTACTTGGTATCAATTTTTATACAGGTATAAAATATACGTTTGAATATATGTACGTAATAGGTTTAATTTATATATTTAAAGGCCAGAACGAAAATATTATACAATCTTTTATACTTTTTAAATACTTACAAGCATTTCCGATCGGATATGTACAACAAGAAATGCATTCATGAACGATATTTGTAATATTCTATGTAAACACTTCATCGTGACAACAAAATAAATAAAACCTCGGAAGTACTTCTTGATGAATATATTAATGCTATTAAATTACTTCTGCGATGTGGTTGTCTTTCATTCAACTAGTTAAAGTGAAAGTGAAGATGAGTTAACAGTGCGGATTTGAACCGTCCCATTCGCCTCGATCCCCACCACGAATCTCACATGTAGTCCAGTCGAATTAAACTTTTCAACAAAAAAATTCTAATTAGCAATGTTTTTGTATGAAATTGTTCGGAAGGTCATTAGAAATGAAATATATGTGTTTGACACTCGTGAATTGTTGGAGAAAATTGTTAAAAAAATTTGAAAAAGTTTGAAAAACGTGTTTTTCGCGTGCAGAAAAAAACGTAATGATTTTAGAGAACAAAAGATCAAATAGAAAATGTAGGTACTAGGAATAGGTACCTACAAAGTCAGATATAGTACATTAAAAACCGGTCCTCATGCGAGTTAGAACTGTCAAAATAGGTTCTTTTTTCAATTGTTCAATACTCAAAGAGATTTAACCGCGCGAACGCTTACCCCCACCATGCCTCCCGTGGGTATTTTACACAAGCATATTCTACCCTGTCCGTGAGCTCTGCCCCACTACGTCCCACTCGGCGTCTCCCACATGTATGTACCCTGTTATTTATTCATACTAATTTATGTTAACAACACTAAATTATATAAAAAGCTATTATCCACCATATATCGTTATTATTTACAGAAATCGCGTGCGATCTACTATAACATTGTCAATATTTTTAAATCAATGTTTTGTTAGCCGTTAAAGTTATGATCTGCATGAAATCATCATTATCATTATTGATTTAATGGGAAGATTTCTTATCAGCATGTAATTTTATATGTAATTTTTATTTAGGCTATTTACAACACATACGTACAATACGTGACCCTTGCTTAAAACTATGTTACGCTCGTCCGGTATGCATTTCCACTTACACTTAATCTTTAACGCCACCTAATCTCCGTTTCCTCGACATACGCGGTGCATTTGATAGTGTATACGTTTCATGCATATGCTCTCCTGTAACGTACAGACGTGTATGTATAAGTGCATGTGCGTTCGTATATCGTGTGATATGTTACAAATTTTTAGGAACATTTCGCGTGGAACACCGCGAGTGATATTATGTAATAATAAGATCGCAGTAAAACTACATGAAAACAATGCAGTCGTTCTGCAGCTCCATTCTCATTCAATATATGCATTAGACACTTATCGAAAAATGACATCAATATAGACGACTGTTGATTGGACAAACTCCCAATATCACCACTGAAAGGCGCCAGGGTAAACGGGCAATGTGACAATGTTTCAACAAGAAATAATCTCGTTCTACGAATATCTTGTGTATTTATTCATGAAAATGGAAATTATAATATTACGTCTTCAGATTGATTAATTTATTAAAAGATACATATTATTTTGTTACTTTATTATTACTTTTCCCTGTTATTTACTCCTTCTTCTATTTTTTAATTACTATTGTGTTTACAAAAATAAAATATAATCCCTAAACGTAAAAATATAGTATTTTCGTGAAAGAAGAATCTTAAAAGGCAAGAAATATATATTTCTGAACAAATTAGTATGCCTATTTAGCGTGTATATCACATAGACGTATAAACAAAATGTTCACATGGTTTTACAAATTCTGTTTCGAACATTAAATTCAAATGAATAGTACTTCTTAGTTGATTTCTAATATATATCGTAACGCATTATTGCAAAATTTCCCATAAATACATATGTACTTGTCCATTATTCTCGCAATAGATAGTTTTTTCTTGTTTCAATTAGACGCTAGTTTACTCCCGAGTTTATTTTTAATGTAACAGACATATGGTAGATTGAAAAATGGAGAAATATAGTAAGTGGAACTATTGTGATCCGAAACCTGACGCCTCTCAAATTTTGAACGCAAGGATCATCAGCTACCCTCCCATCCCGATTATTTAAAATTCTGGCCAACATAAGCACACAAATCAATGCCTAAATTCCACTAAGGATAGGTATGCTTACATTTTTAAAAGGACATTGAAAAATCGCATATGCTAGAATATCTGTTGATTACATTGTATATGTATCTCTCCCTTATTTACAGACTGCTCCGTGAACGAAAATGTCTTGGATCGTTGTTAAGAAACTAATGAAAGATCCCGTGGACCGTGTGAGCGTTGGGTTCCACGTTTTCTATACACATCGACTATTTACGTGCGAATACTGCGTACAAAATTGTCAAACAAGAAAAGTCTCCCTGATTCTTTAATGTATTCATTTTATGTAACAATTTTCAAGTATAAAAGGTAACCCAAAATTGTATTACGAATCTCTTCCTTCAATCACCTCCTCGTACTATCCCTACTTCATGTCATTGTCGCCACAAGGTTTATAAACAGAAACGAAACTTGAACTCGGTCTCCTGAAAATCAATCCCGTCCAGATAATTCCCATACTTAGCAGTTCAACCCAATGGAATACGGCAGATTTTTGTCGTTAAAATAATGATGGAACTGGACACAGCGCCATAGACCAGGGAACGGAGACCGAGTTCAAGTTCTGTTTCTGTTTATAAACCTTGTGGCGACAATGGCATGAAGTAGGGGTTCTACGAGGTGATTGAAGGAAGAGGCCTTTTATAGAATTACGATAGAACTTCACTTAGGCAAGTTCGTTTAATTGTTCAATTAAATTTAAAAGAGGCAAAAAAACATACTTCGTGTTCCAAAAGACATATAATGTGATTCTATACATGAAATGTTTTCAAATTTATTCAGTATGTGGACAAATGTGTCTTTGTACCGAACATGACGCTATCATCTGACAAAAATATACACATTCGGTGAGCACTAACGTAACAGACAATTAAAGTTTCAAGTCATAATCTTATGAACAAATATTGCTAAGATATCTACTGATTTAAAAATAAACGATAATTCTGAAATCTGTCGCACTGTACCCTGTAAGGTGTGTGAAAAAGATATTCGCTATGGTCGTTGAAATGGATTTAAGTATCTAAATCGACGGAGATTCATTACAAAATCGTGTATCTTTATACATATAAAATTATATTATAATAAACACACAGAAGAGCATGTTTTAACTAATAGAAATATTTTAAAAAAGTAATTTCTAACAGAAATTATTGATTGCACAAAAGTACTGTAAACTTTGGTTAGCCAGAGTAATATACAGGGTATTTAAAAAAAGTGGTCTAACATCTGAAGGCCTTATAATTCTCACCGGAAGGATTAAAAAATGCTTAATTAATGTACGTCCTGCAATCAATCCGTTCGATGTAAAATCTAGTATTTACGAGTGTACTGTTTGGAAAGACACTTGTTCAGGGTTGTATGATAATCGAAGATTATCACTAACATCAACAAAATTTACACGACATACACAAACCTGATACAAGTCTGCAGTATTTAACTGTAGCACGCTTAGTGTTATTGCCACTTCGTTATCAATATCTGCCTATTATTCTAACATGGAGATGTCAAACATGCTTGTCATGTATGGTCTTACCACTGGGAATAGTCCCGCAGCCCGTCGTTTTTACACAGAAAAATATTTCACGTCGTATCGTGTTAATTTCGTGTGACAACGAACTACTTCTATCGTCGATATGGTAGAACGTGTTTCAAGAATAGTAGAGAAGGTACTTGTTAATGGTTATTGACAAAGTGCATTGCAAATTCAAACTTCTTTGTGATTATACTCTTTTACTGACGAGGCTGGATTTACCAAAAACGAGTTCAGGAATTTTCATAATAGTCATGAGTGGTCAGATGAAAACCCTGATGCAATGATTTAGTCAGAAAAATTATACATGTGGCTTTAGCACGACGGCGCTCCCCCATATTTGGTGACTGACTTGCATCTCCTGGATTTCTTATTGTGGGGATATTTAAAGACATTAGTGTAGTCATCAACGATAAATGATGTAGTGGATTTACAACAACAAATAGAACAGGAAAGGATTACTTGAAAATGTACAAGGTTACAAGAAATCTGACTTTTCTTTCTTCTATTTTTTCAGATGTTTAACTGTTAGGGAATTTCGACAATAGCATAAACAAAAGATTACCTTTCTGCAAACGTTCGACAAACTGTCTTTTATTGTACATGATGATTTTATATTATATTTATGTTATTAAACACTATTTATATCATATCTCATTTTCAAATATAAATAAAATCAGTTTAAAGATTAATAGAAATTTAATATCATTTTTCAAGAGAACGGTTGAGTTCCGATCTATGGTTCCTCGAGACTTTTTATCCTCATGATAAGTACAAGAATACGTTGCAATGAAACAAATTGACCTTGAAATTCAAGGTCAAGGTCAAGTTTGCGGCACCTTTCTTACCATACTCCCCACCAATCCAAAGGTGTAGAATCAAATTATGGTAGTCGTGATATGTAATTTCTTGACACAATGTATGTCAATCTGTAATCCACAGATGTCAAGCTTGTATTCAAATGGACGGAAGTCACATCCAACATTTCTTTTGAATGTGAAAACATGCTTTCACGTTTTACATCGACAGGATTGATTTCGGACCTATGTTGATTAAGCACTTTTTACTCCTCTCGGTCGGTATTATAAAGTTCTTCTATTCTTATTGAATAAAATAAATAAATATAAAATACTATACTTGAAATTCAAGTTAACAATGAATTTTACGGCGTGTCCTTTAAATAAATATTTATCAATTCAGGGGCGTAGCGAATTTTCGATAAATAAAATTTGCATTAATAATTGTGGAGTATGTGTGAATACGTAAGTACACCTCATAGGAGATAAGAAGATATTAACAAATTACTTTTCAAAAATATCAATAACGGTACAATGAAATATCAGCTTGTTTCTCATTAATTTGAACTTACTAATCAGAGTCAATTGTCTACCGTAATATTAACACTAAACCTACCGAACCCTTCGGAGAGATAGGAATTAGAACGGAAAAACCGGTTATTTGACCGGACGTAGTAGGTTTAGTGTTAATAAACAAGTGATTATGACCAGATTTTGAACGATAGCATGATAGATGTCATGCCTATTGAAAAGTCGACTCTTTTTGCTTGTATGTAAAGCTTTGGGTAAGTAATTCGATTTCATTTTCGTTTCGCCGTACATTGTGTCGGTGGTAGTTTGAAATATTGTTCTGTGTGTTGTTACTTCGACAACGAAATTTAACGATCTTCCGCTGTTCTTCTGTAGAATTCTCAAATACCTCATCCATACACGTTTACAATTATGTTTGGTATTGTAGCATCGGAGCAGCAAGATTCGGGTGATGAGCCGTATTCATTCTCAAAGCTGAGATACTTTTGTTGTACCATTCATCTTCCGCTGACATACCTGAAATAAAATAATATGTTAATATTATTAGAATACATAATAATCCTTCCATTAAAATGATTCGCAACTGAGGCATTTACCTCTAAAATTACTTTATATTTATATTAAAAATAGAAAAAATGTAAGGCCAGAGCCACTTTTGTAAATAAACAGTTCTGTATTAAAGTCAGAAAACAGAAATATACATTTAGATTCAGAATCTCGCGATTAAAGTTATCCTGTATGTAATACAAACTATTTGATCTTATTTATAGGTAGTTGCGTATGTTATGCGACTATCGAGATGTTAATCACATAAATATGTTAATAAATTAAATTTACTAATAGTTTCACGAAAATCAACTGATCATAATAATCACGCTGCAGTATATTATGTTGCATTATATTTTCGTTTCTGAGACGAATTTGCAGCTATTGATAAGTAAATATTCGATGTAATACAAAGAGGAAATTCCATGATCATTCACCCTTCCAGATTAGGTACAGCTAGGTGGAGGAAACAAAGTTTCTTTTTCTTAAAAAGCAATCAGGTAATTTGACTTAAAGACTTTCCTAGGAACCTCGTCGTAGCTGTTAATCGATCGATTTGCTATTACTAAATTAAGACGTTAAATCGTTACGAGAGCCTGAGATATTGACAAAAAAACCTACACCCGGAGTAGACATCTAAATGAAGAGCTGCAGACAGCCAATTTACAAATAGTCTTGATTCGATTTAAAAGCGATATTCCATCTTGCGCCGGAAATGATGTAAGACGGCCCTAGAGCGGAAATAGAGAGAACGTCTTGGACTGAATGTACGTTGCTACGGGTGTCTGGTTCTCGTTATTTCCGGCCTAGATTTTTATGAAATCAATCAATAACATTGCGTCAACACCTGCAAAAACTAGAAAACTTTACAAAGACGTTCATGAATTCAGTTTTATATCACAAAGACATGTATAAATTGTTCCTTTCACAATCGACTTTATAACATCATCTCAGCATAGGAATAATATCAATGAACAGGAAGTAAATATATCTATTCTTAAATTTGATTTTCCTTTTTCTTGGATAGACAAGTTATTTTAGATGAACAGAATTTTCAATTTTACGTCGAAGAGAACTATACATGTATCGCTTTGCGTCGATTAACTTGAAAGAAGAACGGCTCAATGAAGAATGAAAATAAGGATTTATTTTTTTATTTGAACAAAATTTTTCTCTTTATTCGACGGTGAATGGCCCAACTATTTTTTATTTTTCATTTTTTAACTACAATATATTTTAAAGATTTATTAAAAAAGTATGCGATCGATACAGAGAATTCACGATAAGTGTCAGCCGGCTCCTCCACGATGACTGTGAGGACGTTATCCCCACCACTGGGGAAGGGGGTCGTGGAACCAGTCAAACAGTGTAGCATAGTAAACATTTTGTCCTAAGTATCTATATGCCCACCTTCTACGACATAATTATAATGCCGAAACGGTACATACTCAATCAGATCATTTAGCACCGCGTGACGAAGAGAGCGATCGTTACATATCGAGACCGATTGCAATAGAGCGATAGGCAATCAATCCAACGATTTATATTTTTTATAGGTATACCACACTTGCCCCTGTGCCATCTCGCTGGGCATTTTTGCAGGTCTACACGGTACGTAGAAATGATTTTAAACATCGTTTAGAATTCTGGGAATGGGGCCTACAGAACTTACAAAACGATGAAGTACTTGAACAAACTTTTGTTTATGGACGGAGCCACATTTACAAACCGTGGGCAAGTTCGTGACGAATCGTCAGAAAAGTAGGCGTCACCCCGGCCAAGCGCGACATCAGCGACCGCGAGTAGGACCTCTCGCGGTTTCTCGCTGCCAATAATGACCGCCGGTAGCGATAAGAGCCGCGGCAGGTCACGATTCAGGAGTGACTTGTGTTTCACGAATCCATATATCATAAAGTACTTAACAGGTTGAATGCCACGGGGGTCACCGGTGACCGGCACTTAACTTGGCTGTGACGCCATGGGGGCCACCGGTGACCGACGTGCCCGGATTGAAAAAAAAATAAGAAAGGTAGACAAAAGACAACACTTATAATTTCTTATTATTATCATCGTTGATGTAGTGGTCTGAAGAAATGAATGCAGTATAAAACATTTGAAAATAGTTTTATTTATACATTTAATATAGTTTTATTATGCGCGCACGTTACGATGTGTCGTATTAAAACATTCTAAACAAAGGAAGGGTGAACCAGCACAGTCTTTACAATATGTCACGACTTTTTTGGTACAGTTTTTTGCAATTATTCTTCCTAGCTTCTTTGAATTTTTTTGATAACAAATTTTGCAAAATCTTCGCGCCGTTCGAGCTTTTCCCGGCATTGCTTTTAATTCATGTCGTGGTTTTTTCAGCAACCTTTCATGTGGAGAAATGGAAACTTCAGCTTCATGATCACGACTGATTGTTAACAGTCTCAAAAATAATAAAATCGTAACAGTATTACTGAACAATGCGAAGACACAATTTGAGATAAATGACAATCGCGCGAAATCGTACTCCAGCGCCACGGGGGTCACCGGTGACCCCCGCCGAAATTAACATGCCAATCATGTTTATACGTTGTAAATTATCTATTGTAGATAATATTTCAATATTATATGTATCGCTAAATAGAAAGTTCATCGTGGCGCCACGGACAATCCCGGTAAAATTGGCGTGGCATTCAACCTGTTAATGATGTAAACCAGTAAGACTTTTGTTCAGAGTTCGATCACTATTATATCCATCACCATCGGGTCCGAACGATAGTTCGGTTCATATGCCCCTGGATGGGTTCCATTTTAGAAATGTCTATAGAAGACGGATATTCTGTAGCGAATTCTTGTCAGATAAAGAACTTTTTTTAAAAATGCAAAAATATTGCTTAGAAAATATGCACATCACTTCTTTTATTAAAATGTGACAACAGCAATTAACATTCATACGTTTATTCAGGAAACTCTCATCAATTTTCTAAGTTCTAAGAATATATTAAACTTTCTAGCGTTTTTAGTTTTTATATAATACGTCAGTTTTTCCCCAAAATCGTGTGTTTTTATTAAAACCTCATTTTTGTAATACTGAACATTTGCTTCCTACCTCACTGTCACACATTCCAATGCAGCCCTCGAATAATATTTTCTTTTCTACTACTATACAAAACAAGAGTTCTCTTTGTTATTACGCATACATTAAAAAATTTTCGACCGTGTTTCAATGATATTTTTCCGATGAAAATGAGTCTAAACGCAGTCTCATACGAACTGTTTTCATTACATACAATGTGGAACACAGTTACAGCATTTAGAATAAATTTGGTCTCAAATGTTTCTTTATCAGGGAATACTGTATTATAGAGTAAAATTACGCAATTTCAAAGAGAGTAAACAAACAGGAAAACTATAACCTTAGAAATTAATACTATCGTATAAGACGTAATGAAACAAGAATAATAATTATCTTATTTTATTCCAATTGTTAACGAACTTACCCATTGTGTCTTGTCTCATACCAGTGACTGCCGACATATTGGATGCTGAATGTGACATAGAAAACGGTTGTGTCATACTCGGATAAGACGTGGTACCCATCTGTAGGAAGAGATTCACATTATGAGTTCAAGTTAGAAACTGCTTATTCGTATATTTTTTAATTTATTTTGTGACGAATTAAATTTTAACATATGTTATTACAAAGCAAAACCTGAAGAAAAAGATTAAATTACGTAAACGTATTGCAGCACTCAGAAATGTACAATCGCAAAATTCAGTACAGATTATTTTAGTGAGAAGAAACTGTAAAATAAAATCTAAATATAGTATTTAGAATAAAAGGGAGTGTACTTCGTGATAAATCAGGCTGTTGTAAAAGTACACAACATACAGAAGAATAAAAATAAACGGTAATCCTCAGCACCGATTTCAATGACATTGAAATACATTGTCAAGGCCATCATTCTGATTAATTTTTCCCTCCTATACATATAATAGGCGGTCTCTCTTAGTTTCCGAGTTCTCGCGGTAGCGTTGGCTACCAATCGCAATGCGTAGCCAACGCTACAGTGGAGGCTCGGCCGACAGACTCGCGCTCTGATTGGTCGGGGTTTTTCGTTAATATCTCGTTAATAAAGCCTCGGATAACATTTTTGCTAAGGAAAAAGTTGTTTTAAATCATTCCAAGAACCCCTCATTTCCGGAAGTTGACGCTATTTTGGGACACCCTGTATAATGTATGAAATTCACCTTATATTTTCTCAAGATTAGACTTCTGTGTTCTACCACAGCGGTTTCTTCGATACTAAATTCCGACTGTATGTATTAGGTTTTACTAAATGCGTGGTCCGGTACGTTGCTGATGCAATACTGATGTCACATCGATGCCGACACGTTATGTGTGCGGCAATCAGTATCGACGCGTAGACAACTGAACTGTACTGGTCAGATGCTGTTAACACTAGAACTACCGACGACAAATGCATATTTGCTTCTATCGGTGGATAAATATGAAAAACTTTTGAAAATTTAGAAATTGACTAATTTCTTTACTTTCATATCGTAATAAAAGGTGCAAAAGATCTGAGAAAATGTATTTTCATAACATTTCAATCGTCGTTGTAGAAGTGTATGGACAATTCATTTTGATTTGCTTAGTAGTTCTAGTGTTAAATATGTAGCAGTCTTAAGACTGCACAACACTTCCGGCGGTTCTGCTATAACGATCAAGTATCAACTAACTATGCTCGCTTACGCGACTATTACTGACGAAAAACAAACGAGACGCAACAATGTCTGCCACACAATGAACTGAGTATCTCGCTATTCCCGCTTCCAAAAATAAAGTAAAGAATGTTCTAGTCTAAATATGTATCTTTTCCAATATTAATTATACGCGTAGACACGTTAGAATAAATCTTATTAAATAATTTCATGATGCTGCACTTTTGAACGTGGCTTTGAAAATCGATTAAAGTGATTTTCACATTTTTTTACCGACGAACCACCATGCTCGAAGAATGATTGGCTTAATTAAAGCAGTAGGCATTCGATAATCCGTCCGACCGAACTAATCAGGCGAAATGCAATTTAGGTACATCGACCGATAGCGATGCGCCGGACGCTCAGGTGCACTTCAATTTAATACCTCGGTTAAAATCATTAACAAGAAACGCATCAAATTCATCTGTAGGAGTACGATATATTGGCTAGTAGATGCGAAGCATCGATTGTTGTATAAGTAATCCAATTGTACATACATCAAGAAGATTAACATAAAGTAGAGCATTTGCGTTCGTTTTGCACACATTTCTACAAGTTACATTTAATTAGGCGTTGACTTGCACTATTCTTATTAATATTATACAATTAAATACAAGATTATAACATTCATTTCTTCAACGTAACATAGACTACGTTTTTAAAGAATGTTTATAACAGCGGAAGACTATTATAATATAATCTTCACTGATGATTATAGATCATCATAGGCAGTATAGTCCTCATATATATTATCAGCATTATTACGTGGTTGCATAGATTCTATTACTTTTTCAGAAGGTAAAAGAAGAAAGTCGTACAAATATCGTTTAGAAAGTAGAAAATCTAGGTGATTCATGTAATGTAACGCAGAGTACAGGCTGCCTCTTACAAGGTTGTAGTGCTCTATGATGTATTTTCGAAAGGGTCGTCACTTTTGCAACAACCTAATATACAGGGTGGAGCATTTACATGGAAACACGTAAATATTTCTTTTATTTAAGATCGCATGAAAAAACTCCTAAAGAAAAAGTTGCACTGTTTTAAGAGACACATGTAGGGCAAAAAATATTTGGTCTTATATAAAAAAAACATATATGATTTTGGAGTCTTGTAAAAAGTTACTGTGAGAAAAAATTTTTCTATCGTTATACATGCCCCTTAAAATTGTGTAACTTTGTTTTAGGGAGTTTTTTCATACGAAATGTTTTAGTTAAATGCAATCGTTCACTACATCACATTCATTATAAATAATGTAAAATAATGAAGCTATTTTTAAAAATAATTTAGTCTTACAGTCATTTAAAATATTGACAATAGTTCAATGTTACGATATAATAGTATAATGTATTTATTATAACTAAAAGAATAATATACTTACTTGTGGATAGCGATTTATCCCATTTATGCTATTATGGGGATGAGGATATGGCTGGTAACCCCTGCTGGCACCAGGGTAAATATTTCTCATCATGGCGCCTTGACAGGCAGGTATTGGAGTCAAAGCTTTCTGAAGTTGCTTCTCTTGTTTTCGATATTTCGCTCTTCTGTTTTGAAACCAAACCTATGAACAAGACGGGAACAAGATATATCTAAGTACAGATAAAATATCTTTTTTTTCGTGCCATCATAATCTCCGTAAAAAAATCTATAACCACCTAATTTTGTATGAAAATGTCATTTTTACAGTTCTATAAGGCTCGTGTTAAGAAGACATTTCTATAACGTTTCTTTTTAATAATTTTATCGTTGACCTTGCCATTTTTTGGTAGCAATCGAAAGTTGAAGCTTTTAAGATTGTTCTGTTACATTGTCACCTAAATTTATAATTATTAAAAATTCCCGCGAGTTTCCTTATAAGGAAGGTGGACAAGAGTTATTTTATGAAAATGTACATACTATGCGTATTCTCAATATCATCAGGTTTGTTTTCTTTATTGTTAAGCAATTACAAAGTTGTTACGTGCATAGTGCGAAGAATAATACTCAGTACACTTATGTATTATGTATTGCATACCAAAAATATATTACCCTTACGTAAAGGTATGTATTATACCTACATAATACTTATGTTTTGAAAGTATACACGATGGTCACTAGGAATGTCTTGGGAAACAATTGCGGTACTGTTTACATATTTATCAGTATCATTAAAATTTGTTAAAGTATTCCTTCATGAAATTAGTAAAGTATTCCTGCCAGGTTATAAACTTCATGTTTACATATATTTCTCGGTATCGATTTCATATTCTAAATTCTTTAACACTGATTAATTACTTTAATATTTATGAAGCGGATTTCTACAGAAAAGTGGTGTATCTATCGGTATTTTCCGTTTAGGAATTTCCATTGTTTCACGGGATTAGTACAATACATCCATATTGCGATTGACTGAATCGGTAGCAGCTATAACCCTGGCATCTACATTGACTCCATGAACCGTTTGCACCCCTACCTCTGCTTTTCCAATCGTTTCGATCCTGTTTTTCTCGTTTCTTATCGTTCCCTGTGAACTATCCCCTCTTTTCAAGCAACCCCTACATAGAAAGAGAAGAGCCTCTTCTCTGGTTGGGGTCGGCTTGTTTCTACCCTCGTGGTAACGTTACCGGTGCCTCTTGATTGGCCAATGCCACGACTGTGACGTCATTCCAAGCTTCCTCATTGGCCAACGTGTTTTATCGACATTTCTACTGTGCATCAAGTCTCACCCTCTAGCCCTTACGCACGCACGCGCGCCTACGCCATCGCGAAAGTAGATGACACAGGAGGCTGGCCTGAACAGGCTCGCTTTCTTGTTTATTCTGTTTCATTCACTCTTTACCCTATTTGTCAGTGTCTAGTATTACGGGCTCTTGTATGAATGCTTTCATATTCGAAACCGATAGTAAAGAAATTTTAGAAGTTTGTGAAAACAGAAAAATTTAACAGCTTCAAATAAATTCTGTAATGCTTCAATTTGCAATAAAACATATTGGATTTCAAGTACATCAAAAGAATCCAGGATATGGAATTGTGAAGGGAGGTGATACTGTTTCACGAAAAGTGATCGATTTGGCATGCAATGGACCCAACTGCTATGCAAAATGCACGTTTAAAAACATAATGCATGTTAAACTTGAGGTTATAATGATCATAAGGACCTCGACAGTCCCTATCCTAGGTAGCACCTATGATCTTTAAACCTTTTCGTAGGAAATATACCTGTACGGAAGCTAAAGCACAGTCAGGAATATTTAGAAAAGAATGAATATTATCACCAACCGTAATAACTATGCGCAACATTATTATTTAAGTTACAATTGATTACTTCTAGTCAAGTTTCATGATTTCAAGTGGTAAGAGTTCAAATATCGATGAGTTGAAAACAACTTGTTACTAATGCAATGTAGGAATCTTATTTTAAGAGTAGCGACTTAAAATTGGGATAAAATTTCCATTTAGAACTCATTTGATCCACGGATAGAATATTAGAAGTTACGTGATTGAAGTAGGTACGCCATTTTGAATTTTTAACGCTACACGTGGAAATCGCAGGGTAAAGAAGGAAGTTGGTTTATCGAGCGACTGAGCGAGAGGCTTGCGTGCTGAAGGACAAACAGAGCATACAGTGGCATTGAAAACGCGACAACGTCGCACGAAATACGCAGCTCGCGTTGGATCCCCACCAGGCCATGCGCACGGAAACCCCTCAGAGCTCTTTTTTAGTGAAACAGATCATAAGTGCGGAAATCGCACTATCGCAGGAAAGCTAAACTTTTATTTATTTAATAGAAACCAACCTAACGTAACTTTTATCACCTTGGACAGAATGAAATCTAACCGTAACTTTAAACATTTGGGAAATGTTTTTTATACGCCTTTTAAGATATTACCATAGCGTTCGTAAAAACTCTTTAAACGTTCCCAGAAACGTACAGAGAATGCTACTTTTACACATTCGGAAATGTTCTGAGAATTTGACACAGGTCCTCAGGACGTTCCACTTTGTAAATAGGACCTTTCTAGAATATTTAAAGATTTTAACGTGGTCGAGGGAGGGGGGGGGGCGTGAGATATGTGAACCATTTCGGGAGATCCTCCGAATGTACCGAACGTCCATGTACCAACGTTTTATGCTAGGAAGACGTGCTGAGATGCTACAAAGTAAAGGATTTTGGATGAAATATTAATTTACAATGCGAATTCCAATTATTTTGCATTAAAACCTCTTATATTAATAATATTAATATATAACTATTATAGTAATATGATAGACATTTACATACTTTCTTCTTGAGTATTTTGTTTAATATTTTCAAAAACACCGTACCAACCCTTTATTCATATCGGATTAATAATTCCTTTCTTTCGTCCCCTTAGTCTTATATTTTTTGTCCACTATTGCGCATTTGTCCAGACTTATATGAATAGAAATTATAATTTGTATTTCTAATTTTAATAGCTATTATGTAAATGCGCGAAATATTTTATGTGTTCGGGGTGAATGGATACTATTTTGTGTAACCGTAGTTACCTGCATTTAAATTTTAGTGCGTTGTAGTTTAATATTAATTTGGATTAACTAGAAGATTCTTTTTTCAAATGATCGAATATCGGATAAGAACTGATGAAATTCAAAAAGTAAGGATAACGTTTGAATTAATGATAATGGTAAAAAAGGGTAGCACTGTGATAAGAGAATAATTCTCGCATCACCGGACAAGAAATCCCATTACGTCGTAGAGAAAGAATGGTGAACCGAGCCTTGATATTGAGTTAGCTGAGTTTTCATTCGACTTTTTTTCTTCGATTCGACTTCCGATCGAAGCTTAACTACTAGGCGTTTTACGAGAAAATCGACTTCCTATCGAACAGAAAACAAGAGAATTCACGAACGAAATAATGGTCGACTTGTGTTTGTCATTTTATCGGAACGTTACAAATTTTTTACAACACTCGTCTATAAAGCAAATCTAAATACTGACACCTGTCACTGGATGTTTTATTACCACATACTCTTTATACTAATAGATATTTTGCACGGCAAGATTTATATTTGAAATTTTAATAAGTCTCTAAATGAAATAATATTTTAAGAATCATTATTGTTTATTAAGACAATAGTATGACATAGTTTCATTAACTGTTTATACTTTTTGTGGCCTTCAATAATCTTATGTAATAGGTCGTTGAACTCGTTTTAAGCTTCTCTATCATTCTACGGAAACAAAAGCATACCGATCCATTTAAAAAATTGTACTAAAATTTTAATGCATGAATGAAGTAATCATAAAACAAATTTCCAATGATGGACCTAATTGTCTACGATGTATTTGTAAAGAAAATTAAAACAGTTAAAGGAGAAATGTCGCAAAGTATGACAACATAATGATAATAACAAAATATTATGATATGAAACAAAAGTTCCAGCCAGAATTTTCTCATCATTCCTTGGCAAGCGGGTAAAGTTGCAGTGTATTAGATGTAAGACAGGAGTTAGAAAGGTACGAAAAAGACGGGAACATAACCCGAAGGGGTCGGTCCCCTCATGCTTTCTCTACTCTCCTCCACCATCTTCTTACCTCTCGCCACCTAGCGAAGGAAGAACCTCGGCAAGACCGAGACGTTTCAGATCTATCTAGGGTGGAGAAAATTCAATTTAAAATGGCGGCTCAGATATAATGGCAGCCTCCGGTACGGCACCACCCTCCTACGTCCCCAACTCATCTCAACTATGCCACCGTTGCTCCCTACCTATTTCTCTTTCATCTAGAAGCACTCTGCCCGCGTGTACCCATCTTTCACGATACAGAATGCCATAACTATGTAGTGTGGGAACTTTTAAAGAATGCCTTCGGCCAGCATGTTAACGTAACCAAAAATCCTATTGTCCACCATGTTTCCCTGCTGATATTACCTATAATATATTATGTACGTGTCATTTAGAAGTAAAATAAAAAATCGTGGTCGACAATTTTCAATTTCTACCTATCTTATTTGATGAGCAAATGTAGTTTCCATTTATGTTCACAGGTCTTTCTAGTTGGATCATTTTATTAAAGCCATTACATAAAACTTTGTCCTTCTGGTTAAAGATGCCTTTAACAGCAGATTTCTGACTAACTTTTTCTACTCTCGGATGTTTTTCCTGGCATGAAATTCTTCCACGGTCAAATTCTCTTGACAGAACATTGTCGGATAATATTAGAGCGGATAATATAAAAGTTATCGATCGAATCAGAGCAGTTTTCTTTGCACTTTTAGTGTAATGTATGACTGAAATGTATTTTGTATTCGTTTATACTTTCGTGATCGTGTATCCCAAAACAGAAAATTAGCAAAAATTCATCATATTTATGTACATCCGGCGTATTTTTGGAATGTGTGTCGAAGACATTATGACAAATGATTTATATTTTCGATAAGAATGGTAATAAAGACATTGCGCCTGAAGTCGCAAAAACTTTCTGGTCGATTCAATACTCGTATGTATATTGATACCGTCAACAAATAATTAACCACAATTTCAATAATTTGTTGGAAATAACAATAATATGAATATAAAATCTTAATTTCTAATCATAC